AGGTCCGAATCGACACGGGTGACTGGTTGTATACGTAGATTTTTGCACGAGCACAGTGAACACGGGTATTTATTATACTCGTGAATAGTAACATATCTTTTTCTGTGTTTTATTTATTAGTTCAGGATAGGGTCTTCTTGCACGTCGTGTTTTTAAATATTAATATATGTTATGATTAATTTTGATATTTGATATATAACATGATTAATGACAACAATAAACTAATAATATTTATTAAGAACAATATAATGTTGATAATTAATTTGAATTATCATGAATTAAAATTATGTATATGTTTACTAAAGTTATTTATAAAATCGAAATATATTCAATACGGATATTTGCAACATTCATAAATAAATGTCTTTAAATAAAATAAAATGAGGAGATAATTTCGATTAAGTGTTTCTTAGCAGAGAAATCGGATACCCTCCTACTTCGTTGCTGCAAAAATTAGAATTTATAAAATGATAATGATACGATACGTTTAATCTATGATTATAATTATAAATAAACATGTTATATTAATATAACTTGAGATATGAAAATATTAAAATTTAATTCGTTTCGTGAAAGATTTGTTCAATTTCATGTGCAAGAAGAATGCTTCGCGACAGGTAGATTTCAGACTCAAAGCAACAAGTTTTTTAACATTGCCTTAATAATTTCGAAAATTTGCATTGATGAAGAAATCGCCTGAGGGTTTTCTATTAATATTTGACTTAGAGTTATTTGCTTTCGTTAAATTCAATCATTTCAATTTTTTTAATCTTTTGATATTAAATTTTCATTAATTTATCAAATAAATTAGTAGTATTATAAAATTTGAATTATTAAAATTTGTGATAAAATAATATACAAATACAAAGAATTTTATGCAAAGAATTTTAACCCGTTAGATAAACAAACAGTACTAATATATCTTTTTAGCTCAGGATTTTCAGATTTAACCCTTTCCGTGTCTATTGCCAGGATCTCACTCACGTGCCCAGGTGCTACTTGGATGAGAGAAAGGCGATGGGCATGATGATCATAGTTCATAAGCTAATGAACAATTTCTCAGCGACTGACGATGCGTTAGTGTATCGTGCACGATGTATTTTCCACATTATGTGTGTGTGTGTGATTAGGCTGTGGAATTGCGTCGTTTCAAAACTACCAATCCAATCCACTTGAGATGATTAAAATATTCATAATTATTAATTAACATTCACAATTTAAATAAAATAATATTATTTCCGCTATTAAATTGCGGATTACAAACGATAGTGTTATCAATTCTGCTATTAAGTTATAGTAGAAATAATAACAATAATAACAATAATAATAATAATAATAATAATAATAATAATCATATAATCCATTAACCTAATTTCTTTAAAAGATATACATATTCTTTCAATATTCACGATTACAATTAATAATAGACACGAACCTTTTGTCTGTTACGCAATGGTCGCTAGCCATCGTCAGTCGATTTCAGGAAAATGGTACGTACAGTTAGAGTATGAGAGAGAAGTATGCCAAGCTCGGGTGTCGGAGGCGTCCCGGGACGTTTTCCCTAGTGTAGGCTTTTGCGCCCGGGTGTTATGCGTGAGAATCGTGGAGAGAGTGTGTTGGTGTGCGTGTTTTGCCATTTTTTTAAATATAGGGTTAGGTAGGATAGGTAGTATACTTCTGGTGTGCCTCTGTTAATTGCAAGTAGGTAGGGCCGGGCAGATTGTCACAGTCTCCGATCGGGTAGGCGCGTTTTCGCGTGACAATCTGTTTCAGGAAATTTAATTTGAAAAGACGAAAGTGGAGTCTCTCTGGCTTTGCCCGTTCGACTTTTCGAATTTTCGCGGTCGCGGTCGCGAAATGGTCTCGAAACGAACGTTGCGCTCGAGATTCTGTGCATGTACGGAGAACGATCGTTGCGATCGTTGGTCGTTTCATGTGCGTTTAGCTTCCGCGATTTAGTCCTTTTTTTTCCTCTTTTTTTCTTTGGTTTGCGACTAGTGAATTTCGAGCCTAGATTTTAAGTTTCAGCGGGCATTGCGCCCGAAGGAGGAAGACCGAAGAGGCCCGACAAACTGTCACGAAGAGGGCTGCAACGAATGGTTTCTCATTTTTTGGATCTTTTTTTGGTCCAAAGGATGGGAAGTCATTGTTACTATTATGTCACTGTGCTCGTTTTAGTAGTATGTAGTAATTGTTGTTGTGCTGTCTGGCCGATTTGCATGCCGGCCCATCATTCAGATCCAATCATCGTGGGCATCGCGATTTTTTTATTAGTGTTGCGATTGATTAATAACGGGTTGAATTAGTGTTGCGTTAAAATGAGAATCGCGTTTGCATTAGTGTTGCGAATTATAAAATATCACGGTTTTTTTTTGTTACAAATTATTATATAGTTTTTTTATAAAGTATCTAATAATAAAATTTATATCTTTTGCGATTAAATTCATTATTTTTAATTAACTATTAAATAAGTAACTTTCTTTAATCAGAAATAATAATTTCGATTGATAATTCGTTTTAAAAAGTAGTGTTGCGTTGATAAATAATCGCGTTTATTGAAGTAGTGTTGCGAATATTGAATGCCCAAATTTCTTCCACTTGGATTGTGGAAGTATTCATATTCCTGTTCGTTCCTGAATCATCTTGAGTGGCTAAAAAAGCTACTCGGGTGATTATACGAGTTCAAAAATGTGGAAACACCCGACCGATTTACATGTCGGTCCATTATGAGTAAGTTACAATTTTAAAAAATTATAATTTTATTTTTTTATGTATTTATAAATTGTTGTTTTTTTGTTTCTTAAAATAAATTAAATTTGTTTTATATATATATTTTATTTTATATATTTTGATTTTTCATCTCAGTATTTAAAATAAATAGTTACAATTTTTTAATTTAAATCCAAATTCAAATTTTTATATTAAAAAAAATAATAAAATAATAGAATTTCAAGTCTAAATTTTGTTTAAATACTAATCCAATATAGAAGTTTGTTACAGGTTTATTAATTTTTAGAAGGTATTTATTATATGGGTACATCTATTTTATAGCATTTTATAAAGATATATATAAATGTCATAGGATTAATAAAGAAATGATATGAATAGAAGAAAAGAAGTAAAATATTTGCTAAAAATTAATTATATGTATGCTGTAGAATTTGATTTATTCTTTTGTAGTTTAATTTTGTTTCAGGAATCATTATTAAATTAACAGAAGAAGATTCATTTTTCATATAATATCCCATCCCTTTTTTCTTATCAGGTTTTTTTTTTACATAGATATAATAATAAATATAATCAAATGAATTGGAAGAATGAAATCAATGGAAAAAGAGTCCATACGTACAGTCCATACAGAATATCTTTTTCCTTTTTTTTTATCAAATTTAGATTCTTTAGTTAAACAGATTGTGTAAATAAATCATTGATATATTCTTATATGTGTAGATAGGGCTGAAAAATCTGTAATCTTTAATTGGTATGATATTTATAATATTGATGTATATATATATTGATATAATAATTTTGATGTATATTTAAAAGTGTATATAATAAAATCTTTTAAATTTTTATTGGGCAAATTTTGTAAATATGTTATGTAATATATTGTATGTAAATTGTTTTAAGTTATTTGTTTCAGAAATTTTTATAAAATCAGCAAAAAGGTGTAAGTATTTCAAAGTATATCAAAAATATGATAAAGGTAATATATATTCATTCCCTGCAATATCCCCTTTCTTTATTCCCTTCATGTTATAGATATTTATGAAAAGAGTTTTAATAAGAAGAGATTAATAGATTAAGTTAAATTTATAATTGGGGAGGGTAGTTATAAGTTAAATTAAGTTCATAGTTATAAGTGAAATTAAAATAAAGAATATTTTTAAGTTGCTTTGTAGTTTGCTTTGTAGTGTATGCATGTTTAAGTTTCATGTAGTTTTGTAATGCATGTTAATTAAAAGTAGTTAGCATTTATGTAGATAAAGTAATATGCTTTGTGGGATGCTTTAGCTTATGCAATTATTTTATAATTTAATTTAAAATTTATTTTCAGATTTAGCTTCTCGCGTCGGTTTTCCTTAAAAACTCCTTTTGTTATTTATTTTGCACAATGATCAAAGAATTGAACATTTTGCAAATGTATACCAAAAGGAGAATTCATTTGAAAATAAATAAATTTTTTCGTAAAAGGAGGGTGGATGGGACGTGGATAGGGATAGGTCTCCAATTCGCAGCAACCTCCTCGAGGTGAGACCTGGGCAATCATTATTATTTGATATACAATTCATAATCATATCATTGTATAGTTATATTATTATAAATTATATACCAAATAATATGAGCTGATTGGCTGCGAACGTGTAATTTTAAATTAATAATATCTTCATCAATTTGTTTTTCTTCGAATATATAAGTAGAAAATTTTATTTTATAGTATTTGGATAATTTAGGATATAAATTTATGATATTTTTATAAAATATTTGGAATAAAATTTTTACAATTTATTTTTATGCTACATTTTTAAATACGAATATTGATAAACAAGCGTTAAAGATATTTTTCAAAAACAAAAATGAAAATATTATTAATGATTTTTTATCTTATACAATACCGATAACTTATCGAAGGAGTTAATTAATAAATGTTTATAACTAATAAAAATCGTTAAAATAAATATTTTAATATTTTTTTTTTAATTTTAATTTCATTAAAGCATTCGCTTTAAAATTTATTTCTAAATGATACGACTTTGTAATAAAAAATAAATAAATTTTATATGTTTGCATTTCTATAAAAATATAATACATAATTTACCGATATGAGATAAAAAATCCGGCATCAGGTTTCTCGATTTGTCTGCGAGATGGCGTTAAAATCGAATATCGATCGTTGAAGAGAGATGTCAAAAGATATGTGAAAAACAAGGAAAGAAAAGGTTACTCGGCTGGAGAGCCGAAGGATAGTTGTCGTGCAAGGTGACGTAGAGGGGCGCCGAATCTAAACCCGATAACGAACCAGCTGGTGGCAGTGCCGTCGTGCGACGTTTACGTGGAAGTACGGCCTTCGCGAAAATTCGTTTTCTATTGGTCCATTATCGATGATTTGTACTGAAAAATTTAAAAAACGATAGGGACAATATCGTAGAATTGGAAACAGTGTTAAAACAGTGTTCACGAGTCTCGTTATTGTATCGGTGATACGTCGATTTTCGTTAGGATTGCTGAACGAAACCAAGCCAAAGGAAGAGAGGAGCAGAGAATAAGAAGGAAAAAATAAAAACAGAAACATGCCGTGACCGCACCTCAGGTGACATCAAAATGTATCGTACAGTCGAAGGAAAATCACTGTGCTTATAGTGCGCGTATAACTTTTAATTGGACGACAAATGTCGTAGGTATTCTTATCTGTGCTAAGTGTGCGTGTGTGAGTGAAATCGTGTGTGCCTGTGGGTGCTGCTCTTCTCGCTTGTACCTGACCTGACCCAGGTGAGCACCTGGACCAACAACGATGACTACGAGGGAGTTATACGTGAAGGTACGAACCAGTTTAGACCATCGCAGGTATTTACTCCGATCCAGTTCTGCGATGGCAACTAGTTTAGTAACATTGCGACCAGTTTGCCTGTTGACATTTCGAATTGCCATTTCGTGAAATTTCTTTTAAAAAGTTAGAAGTGAAGGGTTTCTTCCATTGAACAACGCAAGAAATATTATTTTACTTTGGATTTGCGTATCGTAAGTATCGTAAGTTAGATTTATTCTTTTAAAAAATGAGAATTTGTTACGTCATTGTCGAATTATAGAAAAAACTTTAATCTCAAATGTAGTTTGAAGATGTTCATTACTAATATATAATTTTGTATTGTGCAGAGTTCATCCTGATATTTGCATATTCTTTTTGAAATTCCGAGAGAAAGAATTTGCTGTCGTCAAACAAAGAAACAGAGTTTCTTGGATAAATACGTGTAGTAGAGTTTGTATAAACATATGTGAAATTCTTCCTTGGAGTTATCAAGGTTTTAAAAGAAGCAAATACTTCCATTCTTTTTTTTTTTTTTTTTATTCAAATTACAGTATTGATTCTTGTTTTCGAATAAACAGCTGACACGAGTAAATTGGTCATGATTTTCGACTTGTTTATTACATTATTATATTTCTGTTCAAATTTATATGAATTTACGTACGCGCAATATCGATTTTTACGTTCAGAAAACTTTAAAGCACATCGTTTAAATTTTGAAACGAAGGATTTTAGATTTATTTTTGAAAATTGGAGATAACTTTCTTTTTTTCCAACGCTGATGCACAATGTACAAAATTAATTATTTGAGAAAATTATAGGATAGACAATATATCAATTAATTCAAAGATAGTATACATCATTGATTCGAACGAAGGTGTCTTTCCCAAACTATGCTTGGCCACTTTCACAGAAGATATTCATTTCTTTGGATTTTTACACTAGCGTCTTCAAGTCTTTGACTATACTTTCATGTTTACAAGAAGAGGTGAAAATCCTCTGCTATTTTAAATCACATGTCAGTTGTAATTCTGACTCATAACGGAAAGCAATCAGAGAATACAGGGGACGAACATGTTTAAAATCCAAACGTACTTCTTTTCAAAACAAAAATCAATAATTGTCGTGCGGATGGTTGGAGGCTCAAGACCTAAATTTCACTTTAAAACCAGGTGCTGCGATCGCAAGTAGGTTGACGACCATGATAACAATTATTGTGTATAAATGAAGTGTTTCTTGACAATGACACTTATTGCGTCAAAGCATTCGATATCTCTAAACATGAAATACCGAACGTATCTAAGGTTAATCTATTAAAATTACGATTCGCTGATATCGAATCATTGATATTGGAAACAAGATTTTCACGAGGTTGAAATATAATTTCGTAATTATAATTATAATCTTCCAAATATAATCTGAAAACGGAATCATTATGAAAAGAAAAAAGTGAAGATTAAGATGCGATGCGTCAACTCGGTTGATAATATTCTTCGAAAATATCATCGTATTGTGAGAACATTGCGTGGAAAATGCACAAATGTAAAAGGAATATTGCGAGAATATACCTTGTCGACGAAAAGGAGAGTTTAATCCAACTCGAACCTGCCCCTTTAAGGTCGTACCGTGGCTCTCCATCTTGGCTGATTTATTGCCTTGGTCAAGTGAACTACGAGGGTTGTCCGAGGTCGTATATCGCAATTTTTGTCGTTTTTCCAACGATATTGCCTCTTTAATGATACTATTTACTAAAAGTGGAATAAAATATATCCGTAATGGTTAACGGGTATTACATCTGTATAGTTATTTCTAAAAGTCAGGGACAGCTATCGCTTGCACGCTTGTATTGATTTAGTCATCCTTTACGAATTTCACGAATTTCGATTGGGAATCGAAAGATACGAAATCGTACACGAGCGCAATTTTTTTTTTTTTTTTTCTTAACGTTCTGCTATGATAATTCTTTTCAATAATCGCTTATATAATATAAATCGCGCAATAAAAACATTTTACGAACCAGTTTCGAAACATATAGAGCCCGTGTACGTGACAGGCGAACCCGTAATAAAATAGAACGTCGTCCAGATATTATTCTAGCCGGTTTCGAGGCACAAGGAAATAACGAAATTACATTATGCAATGGGTTGAAACACGAACCGTAGCCCCGATCGCGCCTTTACATTTAAAGGTAAGCTAACCCCATTCGAAACTGTTGCTCGCACGATCAGTTCGAAGAACGTGATCGCTAGACTTCGCTTACGAGCAAGCTGTTCCCTTTCTCTCGGGACACAGAAAAGCAAACGCGTCTTGGAATAGGTCGTTCTCCTCGCTTCTTCTCGTGCCCCGTCACGAGGAAACGGCGGGGGTTACTCGTCGTAAATTCCATTTGAGCGTTTGAGATTTTATCCTGAAAGGTCAAGGAGGATTTCTTTCGAGATTCGTCGTCGTCGTCGTCGTCGTCAATCGCGACGATTGCCAACGAGTTATTCCGGATGTTACGATTGCAAGGGAATATTTTCCACTATCGTTTCTTCACACGCGCTTCTCCTCCTCCCCTCCTCCCCACATCGACGAATCCATTCTTCGGATTTCAAAAAATGCCACGTGACGTTGCTGTTTCGATTTTAATGAACTTTAATTCGAGGACAGACGATCTCGACACGCGGTAATTTAATCGCGGTTGGTTCAAACGCGATGTTACGATTGTCCTTTGTGCAGTCTCCGTAAAAGGGAAAAAAAAAAAAAGAAAAAAAAAAAAGAAAGAAAGGAAAGGAAGATTCCTCGTAGCAATCTCCCACGAAGGCATCTCTCGTTTCGCGATCTTGCTCAATGAGGATGAAAGTATGCATAAGCTCGTTGTTCTCACGCTTGTAAACTTAGCTCGACGGAAACCTTCATTCATCTGGATTTACATCCATAGCAACTCCACTTTTTCCTTCATAATTGATTTTGTTAACGACACGTGTGGAGTGGATGCATTTGAAAAATAACTGGACGACGGATAATGGATATAAATTTTGTGTTAGTCGATCGAAAGGGAAACTACTGGGATGCACATGTGACACGATGGGGATGTCAATTTGAACGTGTGCACGTGGTAAGAAATATACGTGGGCGGGAAACTTGACCCGGTTATTCTCAATAACGGAGAACCCGGCACCTTTCTCAGGAGCTATACGACGATCGATCTTGCAACGACAAACACGACGCGACGTCAAGCGGTTTCCAAGTGTAGCATGATGCTCTAAATGCACTTTAAATTCACTGCTCGAACCGTAATAACGTTAAGCCTTGGCAACAAGAATCATGGCCAAAAGATTTTTGGCCCCAAATCTTTTTTCCCTTTTTCCATTTTATTTTTATTTTGTTGTCCGCTCGAAAATCGTTTATTCGTTATTGACGTTAAATTGAAAAGTTAGATGGATAATAAAAGATTGAAAAAATAATGTTTGATATTTGCATTTGTATCTTTTTTAAGATGAAATTTACTACTTTTCACGGAATTCGATGAAATGTTAAAGTTCATTTTCGTTTTATACACATGGCACAGATAGTTAAAGGGCAAGCATCGGCAAATGTTATATTAAAAATGATGGAAAAGTAGTCGCACGAAGCATGTCGAACAAACGAACGTGCGATCATAAATTATGTTGGGAACCAAGGCTGGAGGGAATACGACGCGTTGTAATTTCAAGCATATATGCATTACCAACGCATGTTTATACCAATTGTGTTACTTTATTACGTTACGGTCTTAATTTCAAGAGAAAGGTTTCCGCCGTGTCCTTAGCTTTCATTTTGATCAATAAACGAACAAAACAATTCGAGATGCGCGTGCAACAGATTCTTTCACGTTTTCAATTCGATGAATTCCCTTCCCATGATCGTTATATCTGTTTGTATAATATTTTGTGGGAGTAGTCGCGAAATGATTCATTCTGGAGTGGTTTCGCCGTGATAGATAAGATTATGGGCTTTTATCTTCCGTTTTCTTCATTTACATGAATATTATAAATTCGATATATTGAAATAGTAGTCGGTGTGAAATTTTTCATTTTACATAAACTCGAGAAAAAAATAAATAAATAACAATGGAAAATAAATCTTGCAATCATTCTTTGAATCGTTGTTTCGATTAATCACGCTCAAATACGTTTCGTTATTTTTTTAATTCATTGTTAATATGACGAACGATATCAAAGATATTTGTCTTTCTTTTTTTTTTTTTTTTTACGGTATATGATAAAAATTTGCTCGAATATTGAAACGAATCGTAGGTAGGAACGCGACAGAAGCCGTAGATCAGTAGTCGGTTGGCAAAGTTCAGACACAACATGCGAATGACTGCTGTATTTACAGGCGCCGAAGCTTCCCTTATATCTGTGCGATGCTACTACTACCGCACCACTACTCTTTTGTATCTTTTCGTGAATTCTATCGATACATTTTTTGATATAGAAAAAGGAAAAAGAAAGATATTCAATTTAATCAAGATACGAAATATTCATGAATGAAGATTTGCCTATCTAATTACGGAGTTACATAATTTACGGAGAATTGTGCGAGAGAAGTCGAGGTTGAGGGAACACTAATTAATATGGAAAAAAAAGAGAGAGGAAAGCGTATTCTCATCTTCGAGTTTAGCGATTCAACCGCGTGCAGTTCGCTCTTATTTTGTTGTCCACCTTTTCAATTAACAAGCTGCGTGGGAACCCGGCAGGATTTTACTTTTTCTTTTCCCTTTACGCGAGTAAAACATTTCTGAGAGTAATCGTTATTTGGTACGTAACGTAGAAAGTATGGGAATTGTGATACGCTTGAACGAAGTCAACCGAATCGAACGTTTATTCGAAGAGAAAGGATAGAATTTATTTATGGGATTAAAGTGATAGGATCTTTTTGCGAATCATCGGCCGCTCACTCTTCGAAAAGCAAATAGTGGAGTGAATTTCTAAAATATGTATGAATATACGTTGAGATGGCGAAGAGGGTTAATCGGTCAATTTTATCGATCAATATTTTCTTTTTGATAACATCGTCCAACGTTATAAATGCACGTGTTTTCGAGTCTTCTTCGTTTCTGATTTTATTCGTACGTTGCGGATTATAATATTCGTAGGTGTTGGTTTATTCGTCGATTCGAAGATTGGTTTAATGCGGTTAATTCGAAAAAAATTGTGTAATTTAAGATTGCAATGTCAGCAATCGACCTCAACCTAACCTCAAAACGGAAAAATAAAATAATTATATTAAGCGCGATATAGCATTATTGTTAAATTATAGCGCACGTTTTACGGTTCTAAATACGATGATGTTCACAATTTCGAGGTTAATCGTTAATAATTTCATGGAAGAAAAAGTATTCCAATTTGTTGTTGAGAAAGTTGTAATTATTGGCTCGATGATAGTTTTTTGATAGAGATAGCTTACGCTCAAATATTATATTATAAATTATTCTTAATTAAAATATCGATGCAATTTTTAATTTACATTATATTTATATTAAATTTCTAGAATCTTTTTTACCTGTCTCTTTTCTTCAATCATTTTTCAAACAACGTTTTGCATAAATGATTGACACGCTAAGATCTAATTGTTCACGATTACTTTTCATTTTTTTACTATCATAATAATTGATTCAGACTTTATATCACTGTTCTGTGATATAAAACATTTTGTCGTCCTCAATGTACACTTCGAGGTAGCTTTCAATTACAATGATAAAAAAATACAAGGAAGTTCAAGAAGGCAGTGAACTATATACCGTTGCTTAATATTTCTTCAGATCACGTAATCCTTTTTCTGTCTTTACACTTTGTTCGATAACAGTACATTTTGTCTCTCATTTGTATAATCTTGAGACACGTTCGAACCATTATGTTTTTAAAACCGTTACATATATTTCTTCATCTTTTGGAAAGAAAAAAAAATCGTATTCTTTTCTATGCCTCTCGCATCGCCTTTTAAAATATTTCTTTTTCTTTGGAAGACTTTTTTTTACCTATCATAGTAGTTTCATAGTTATTACATTCGCCTCCTCCTCCTTTTTTTTTTTTTTTTTTTCAATATTACGGAAGAGACCGTTCGCGATAAAAGTGTAATGACAGTTCTAACGCGATAACCAATCCCGATTTGGCGCATTCGGCGTCGAAATCGATATGCCATATTACCGACCTCATTTTCATACGTACTGCTCGCGGAAAAGAAAAACGGGTCATCTTTTGAAAAGGAAAGGAAAATTAGACGCTAAGAGTAATTAACTCGCACGAGCTCGTTCGTACGAAAAAGAAAAGGAAAGAAAAAAAAAAAAAAAAAAATTTACCTACTTGGAGCCATATCTCGAGGCGATGCTTCCTTGTTACATTGTAAAAACTTAAATTATGAAACGACGATGATAGTGCAAAGTATTTTTCAAACTTCTATATCGATATTCTATAACGATTTGCGAGGTATCTTTGTTGATAATTACTTGACCTTAATGAGAATGAAAAAAAAAAAAAAAAAAAAAAATGAGTATAATTCAAAGGAGAAAAAAATTGTATGTTCTTCAGGGTGGTAGAGTATGGGTACCACATCCGGAAAAAGTTTGGGAAGGCGCAGTTCTCTTGGAGGATTATAAATTAAATCAACCAAGTTTAAAAGTTCGTACGGACGAGTCGAATCAAACGAAAATCTTGGAAATAAAATCGGATACCGATTTGCCACCGTTAAGGAACCCCGATATACTCATAGGGGAGAACAATTTGACATCGTTGTCGTTCCTTCACGAGCCAGCTGTCCTCTACAATCTTCAGATACGTTTCCAGCGACACTGTATTTACACGTATTGCGGTATCGTTCTGGTCGCTTTCAACCCTTACAATGAACTGCCGATTTACGGGAACGACACGATATGGGCGTACAGGGGGCAGGCGATGGGCGATTTGGAGCCCCACATATTCGCCGTCGCAGAGGAAGCTTACACGAAGTTGGAAAGGTTCGAAGCAAATTTTCCCTTTGAGAATTTTTCGTTGTTGTGAAATATATATATATATATAAAAAGGTGTGATCGTTCAAGATTTCTAAGAGATTTGGATGATAAATTTGCGCAGGGAAGGTCACGATCAATCCATCATCGTTTCTGGAGAATCAGGGGCCGGGAAAACCGTGTCTGCGAAGTATACGATGCGATATTTCGCAACTGTCGGTGGTTCGACGACCGAAACTCAAGTTGAAAAGAAAGTTCTTGCCTCTTTGCCGATCATGGAAGCCATTGGCAATGCGAAGACGACGAGAAACGATAATTCCTCGAGATTCGGCAAGTTCATCGAGATTCAATTTAACAAGTATTATCACATAACCGGGGCCAGTATGAGAACTTATCTGCTCGAAAAGTCAAGAGTCGTGTTTCAGGTATGCCTTATATTAATAACGATCGATATTGGCGAGTGAATGGAATGGTGAAACGTAGATTAATTTGTAGACTCACGAGGAAAGGAATTATCATATATTTTATCAAATGTGTGCGGCCGCTGCGCGGCTTCCACACTTGCACTTAGGCCATCAGAATAAATTTCACTATCTGAATCAAGGAAATAATCCTTTCATCGATGGCGTGGACGATTTGGTGTGTTTCGACGAGACTATAACCGCCCTCACCATGCTTGGATTTTCGTCCAAACAACAGGACGACATGCTTCGTATTTTGGCGGCTATAATACATTTAGGGAACGTAAATATAGGGAATTCTGATAACCAAACGTTGAACAACGAAAACGACACCGAGACCAGTTATATTCACGTAAATATCGATTGCACCATCTCAATGGGCATTCTGACAACTTGTACACCTTATTGTCGTCTTTTTTCGTCCTCTTCTTCTTCTTTTCTAGCCTGCGGACAAACATCTTTTAACGATGTGCGAGCTATTGGGCACCGATGTGAACGCGATGAGGAAATGGCTGTGCCATAGAAAAATCGTGTCTATGAGGGAAGTGTTTTTGAAACCGATGAACGTGGAGCAAGCGATCGGTGCCAGAGACGCATTGGCCAAGCATATTTACGCGGAATTGTTCAACTGGATCGTAACTGGTATCAATAATTCCCTCCAATCGCAGAACAAACCCCAATGTTTCATCGGTGTTCTCGATATTTACGGTTTCGAGACGTTCGAGGTCAATTCGTTCGAACAATTTTGTATAAATTACGCGAACGAGAAGTTGCAACAACAGTTCAATCAACACGTGTTCAAGTTGGAGCAGGAGGAATATTTTAGGGAGGAGATCGAATGGACTTTCATAGACTTCTATGACAATCAACCCTGTATCGATCTTATCGAAACGAAACTGGGCATCCTTGATTTGTTGGACGAAGAGTGCAGGGTAATAATTTCTCTGATCATCCCTCGATATTTAACGATCTTAATCGTCAATTATCATGTACACGTTTCGCGCAGATGCCAAAAGGCTCGGATAATTCGTGGGCGGAGAAACTGTACTCCAAGTGTGGAAAGTCGAAACACTTTGAAAAACCACGATTCGGCACTTCCTCTTTCTTGATTCATCATTTTGCCGATCGCGTGCAATACGAAGCGACTGGTTTTTTAGAGAAAAACAGAGACACCGTTATCGAGGAACAGGTCGACGTACTGCGAAACGGAGATGTACGTAAAATGCATAATGACTTTTACACAGAGAAATTGTTGGAACATGTTTCTACGTACATTTTCTTCCTATTCTTTCAGAATAAGTTATTGAAGAAATTGTTCAGCGACGAGGATCCGAAGCTTGTAGTGCCGAACGTGAGAGTAAAAGTATCCGCTCAAAAACCGGTATTAAGCACGCCTAAGCAAAATAAAAAAACGGTAAGTTTAACGAGGAGGGGGAGAGAGAGAGAGAGAGAGAGAGGGAGAGAATTTCAATTGCAAATCTCTCCCGCGACAAATTTTTAATCAATCAACAATATAAAATTTGTACGAAATTTTTTCAGGTGGGCTCGCAATTCCGTGACTCGTTAAACATGCTGATGTCGACGTTGAACGCGACCACGCCGCATTACGTGCGCTGCATCAAGCCGAACGATTCCAAGGAAGCTTTTGAATACAATCCAGTCCGCGCTGTACAACAATTGCGAGCTTGCGGAGTTCTAGAGACGATTAGAATATCCGCGGCTGGTTTCCCCAGTCAAAGAACGTATAACGAATTCTTTCTCAGATATAGATGCCTGTGCAAATTCAAGGATATACGACGAGACGATCTCAAAGAGACATCCCGTCGTATATTGGGGAGGTTTGTTCCTCGTTATCGTTATCTTCCACCTGCTATTATTTATTCTCTCTCCGTTCGATTTCGATCGAATACAAAAACGAACAAAATGAAATTTCTTCATTCAGGTACATCAAGGACGATGATAAATTTAAATTCGGTAAGACGAAGGTTCTTTTTCGCGCTGGCCAAGTGGCTTATTTAGAAAAATTACGGGCGGAACGACAGCGGGATGCTTGTATCATGATCCAGAAAACGGTACGCGGCCTGATCTGTCGTAGCAGGTACAAGAAGATTCGACGTGCTGTGCTTGGTCTTCAAAGGTATGGAAGGGGTTATATCGCGAGGCAGAAAGCTCAAGCTGTGAGGGAAGAAAGGGCCGCGATAAAAATTCAAGCTCGCGTCAAAGGTTGGTTGAAGAGACGCCGATACCTTCAGATAAAGCGCACAATTCTTGGTATTCAAATATACGGGAGAGGAAAAATAGCGCGACAAAAGTACGAACGGATGAAGGACAATGCAGCCGCAGTTGTGATTCAAAGATTCGCCAGAGGGTATCTTGTAAGAATGGCGTGCAAGAAGAAATTGAGAAATATTATTATCGTCCAGTCTTATGTGCGAAGGTATTTGGCGAAAAAAGTGTTCAAGAGACTGAAGGCTGAAGCGAGAAGCGTGGAACACGTGAAATCTCTCAATAAGGGATTGGAGAAGAAGATCATGACGTTACAGGAAAAGATCACTGAACTTGTATGTTTTAATCATTCCTTATTTAAGAATTTAGATGTACATATATATATCGATGTCTTGATGTTTGAAATGAAATGTTTGGATCTGTTCGTTTTTTTAGACGAAAGAGAATCATGTATTGAAAAATCTTCAAAACGAAATGATAGATTTGAAACACAAACTCGAAGGATTGAAATCCGTAGATGCGGAAAATAAGAAATTAAACGTTATATTGGTAGAGAAAGAAAAAGAATTAGAAAAAATAAAGAATATAGTAAAAGTTGAGAGAGATGAAAAGATGGATATATTACAGGTATTTTGTTGGAAAATGTTTTAGAAAAATTGTATAAAAAAAAAAAATCTAAATTTTTATTTTATTTTATTTTATTTATATAGGACAAAGAGAGAAATGTCCAAGAAAAAGAACAGCAAAATATAGATCTTCAAAATGAGATTGAAAAGTTACGAAAAGAATTGTCGATAGCTACTGAAAAGTTGAAGAACAATCAACGTGGTGTTGAGGAAGATTTGAAGCATCGTTTAGAACAAGAAAAAGATCTTCTCCTGCTGGATCAGGATCAGGATCGTGGCGCTTATCAAAAATTATTGAAGGAATATCACGAATTGGAGCAACATGCAGAAATGTTAGAGCAGAAACTTGCTATGCATGTTCCTGCACATTCTCGTTCTCTTAGTAATGCTTCCAGCAGCAGTGGACAAATTGTATCTACGGAGCTTCCACAAGATGATCAAAACATTGTAAAATTTATTTTTATCATATTTTTATTTCGAGATTTATTTTATTTCCATTTTACGTTTCAATGTTATATTATTTTTCGAAGGATTTGGGTTACGGATCAGTAAGATCGACTGCTTCTTCTTCGGCTCCTTATTCACGATTGGAAACGATCGATTGGAATCAACAAAGATCAGACAGTCCTCCCGATGGAGAAGTTCAAACGAATAAATCACCCTCCGAAACAAATGGACCGACACATGCACCAGTAGATATTGGACTAGTCTTAAAATTGCAACAAAAATTGAAGGACGTTGAAAAAGAGAAAGGAAGATTAATCAGGATGGTGGAAGATTTAGAACGTGATAGTCCTGAAGAAACTTCGAGGATGCAAGATACATTTAGGGTAATTTTATGTGGTTAATAGGTCGCAAGCGCAATAACGATATTGAATGATAAATATTTTTTTGATTTTATTAGCTTCAAGAATTGGAAATGGAAAATGCTCAATTAAAGAAAGATTTAGGTTCGTTGAGAAGAAGTATGACTTCAGCAGGCGTAACAGGAGCACAGCAGAATCTTATGGGTAACTTATTAATTTACATAGCTAAAGAGTTTATCCATTATATGATTTATCGATTATTGTAATTTGCTTTCTTTTTTTCATTTGTGTTTATTTAATCTATCTTTAATGTACAATATTTTTGTCCATTTTATTTTTCTATTGTGGCTTTCTATTTTCCACTGTATTAACCACAAAGCTTGGTTTATATGGTGATGTTTAAATATATTGCATCTTTATAAATTTTGCTTTTGTTTTTCTTGTTATCCATATACTTCATATGCACATCAACGTTAATAAAAAAAAAAAAACAACTCTCACCTTAATAATAAAAGTTCATATTATATTTTACCTCTCTCGATGTTTAATTACTTATAACGTATAAAAGCAATAAAAAATTTATGGAAAAATTTGTTTTCTTTTTGCTCTTTCATTTTATTTATTTACTTATTTATTTTGTTTTTGATCGTATATTATTTTTAAAAATATAAATTAAGTAAAAAAGAAAAAAAGAAATACGATGAATAATTTTTATTTTAGGACAATTCGATGCACTTCAAGAAGAGCTTGAAAGAAGGCGGGAAGAATGCATTCAATTGCGTAGCGTACTGGCGGATAATACACGAAGAATGAAGAGCTTAGGTTCAAATTATGGTCGTGACGTGGACATAATAAATGAAGATGGAGAATTAGTACTCGCCTTTGAAGCGCAGAAAAAAATTAATAGGTAATTTGAGATTTCTTAAATTATCTAATTTTTCTTTTCACGGAAGAAAAGCACCTAATCGTGTTTTGTCGTTTGTGCATGCAATTCAATTTTCAGTAGACTTAAAACAATGGCCTCAAGAGAGTGAGTTGAGCAGATATTTTGCCGTGATTAATCAGCGATCCATTTAGCGATCTTTATACGATTTATAGTCGGAATAAATCAACAAAATTTATTGTTAATGCGTTAAATAATATTTATTGCTAATACATTATTCATTTATTATGATTTAGTGCTAGTTTTTTTCAGTTCTTTTCGATTAAAATTGATGTTTTAAAAATTATTTTTTATATGTCTATTTAAAGGCAATTAGAAGATGAACTTCAAATGAAAGAGAAAGGATGGAGATTACAGAGAGATGAATGGCGAGCAGAAATTGATAGATTGCAAGAAGAAATCGAGAAACAACAGAAATTACTTTCTGTAAATTTGAGTAAATCGCCACAGACTCAGACTGAGGCATACATGCAACACGAAATTGCCAGGCTGACATCTGAAAACTTGGTACATGTTATTTATCAGAAAATAAAACATCGATAAAATGTTTAATAATAATATTAATTAATATTTCATATAGGGATTACAAGAAAAATATGATAAAATGGCCGAAGAATGTAGAAAGTTTAAGAGACGATGCAAAATACTTACAAAACGTTTGAAAGATGCAGGCTGTAAGTATAGATTATTTAACAAGCAAACGAATTTATTTTGTTTTAACACTCTAAAAAAAAGTATTACGTATAATAAGAAATAATTCAATAAAATGTAGTATTAAAATTATGCAATATTTAAATGCTTTCAAAGATGAGGGAGATGATGCTAAGGAACATAAAGATCGCTCTTGTATATTAAGGGGCTCTGGTGAGTGTGTGGTCGAATGTTTCATTTTCATTGAATTTTGCGAACCATAACTCACCCTAGCTCTTATCATTTATACATAAATATTTTAAAAAAAACTCATTGTTCACGATCAAAAATAATTGTTATATATATTTTTTATTTTATCCTTCAATTATTTCAATTTATGCACATTTTCAGTCTTATTTTTGATATTAAACTTTAAATAAATTAATCATTTGAACAATAAACATTTAATATCTGTTTTATAGTACCAGATACTACAGAATCTGTAAATGATTCCACAATAATATCTACTGGCAATGGAACAGCAGATAATGGAAGTAATTTGCCAGTTATTCGAAAGAAAGAGAGAGATTATGAGGGAATGTTCGAGTTCAGAAGAGAAGATATTAACGTAATAATACGTCATCTTGTTATCGGTAAATTCAATTAACTTTTTATATTTTAGATGATACCAACATTTTTCAAACCATTTTCGTTCTTTCTAGATTTGAAACCTAGAGTTGCGGTGACGTTACTTCCTGGTTTGCCAGCCTATATTCTTTTCATGTGTATAAGACATACAGACTGTATAAACGATGATGAAAAAGTGAGATTGCTGTTAACAGGCTATCTCAATGCCGTAAAACGTGTAGTTAAGAAACGTGAAGACTTTGATTCCAGTGTGCTCTGGTTCAGTAATACTTTAAGATTGTTACATAGTATGAAACAATATTCCGGAGACAAACCTTTCCAAATTGAGAATACTCCAAGACAGAATGAACAGTGTCTTAGAAATTTCGATCTAAGCGAATACAGGGTTGTGTTAAGCAATGTAGCGCTCTGGATTTTTAATAATATTATAACGAATCTTAAAGAAAGAATTCAGGCTTTAACTGTGCCCGCTCTTCTCGAACACGAAGCCATATCTGGCTTGAATTCTAATAAACTTGGTAGACCCAGGTCATCTTCTATGGGAGAAGAGCCAGAATCAACCCAACAAAAGCTTAACAAACTTCTTGATGAACTTACTTCAGTGTATAAAACTCTTCAATATCATGGTGTTGATTCTGAGATCGTTGTACAACTTTTCAAACAATTGTTTTATTTCATGTGTGCTAGTGCTCTAAATAATTTGCTTCTGAGGAATGAACTTTGTCACTGGACAAAGGGCATGCAAATAAGGTTTGTAAAAGTTTGCTACATTCATTTAACATAATTACTTTACCATTCTTATTTGATTTTGTAGATATAATTTAAGTCATTTGGAGCAATGGGCAAGAGATCGAAGATTAGAACCAGCATCTGAAGCGCTTCAGCCTATTGTACAAGCAGCACAGCTTTTACAAGCTCGTAAAACAGATGATGACGTAAATTCCGTATGTGAAATGTGCAACAAATTAACTGCGAACCAAATAGTAAAAATTTTAAATTTGTATACACCCGCTGATGATTTTGAAACGCGTGTGCCAGTTTCGTTCATTAAAAAAGTACAGGCTAAATTGAGTGAACGTGGTGAGAACAACGAACAAGTAAGTGTGAATTTTATCTTAAACATTCTCCAATTTATTAACATTACATTAATAGAAAAATAATTGATTGGAAATATTTTTTAGCTGCTAATGGATCTTATGTATTCGTATCCAGTAAGATTTCCATTCAATCCATCAGATATTCGATTAGAAGATATTGAAATACCGGAAGTACTTCATTTACCCATGCTCAAAAAAGTTTAATAGAAAATAGAAATGGAAAAAATTAGAGAGACCCTATTGTGCATATAACTTTTAGTTGAGTAACAACCTAATAAATAATATAGCCTATTTATTAAAAAAAAAAAAAAAAAAAAAAAAAAAAAAAAAAAAAAAAAAGGAAGAAAAAAAGAAACAGATAAGGGCTTACATTACTTTTGTCAAATTAGATAACGCATCGAGAAGGGTCATCGATACATTTTATATATTTTTTTTTACTCATGTAATTTGTATTTTATGAAACATCATTCCTATTCTTCCTTATAAAAATATTAAATTAAAAATTTCGTTGTGACAATTTTCGTTAATATTATATAAAGATTGTACGTCAAGATTTAAAAACGGTGTTGATATAAGGCTCTGCTGGAGCTTGCAATTTATATAACATCTGAATTGGATAAAAATATTAGACGTACGATAAACAAGAATAGTGAGATATACGAATGCAAATATAAACGATGAAACGAAGTGCCGAATTCTGTATTATAAAGTACAGAAACGTTGTTATCAAGATTAAAGATGTTTAAGAAATGTGTTGTTTTTCGGTATTGTTAGTCTATCAAAAGTTATTATGGTAAAATATTGCAACTCCAAGCATGAACTTTATGTATGTAAGAAAAGAAATTTATGGAAGATGTAAAAGTTATTATGTAAAAAAAGAAAGGCAAGATATAAAGTTATGTTGGGATAGATTGTATATTTTGTGATACGAGGAAATCTGCCTAGGAAGTCTATTTCCATAGACTAGAGGCAATATAGAAGAAGGAGAAAAGATAGAGGTATATAATATTGTTATAATATAATTTATAAATGTGCAAACAATTGTATTTTGTGCCATTTTATTAGTAGAACGTAACTAAATTCTGTTTCTTACGTTAATCGATCTGTATTTACGTTTCACAAATATATTCTATGGAATAATTTCTAACGAAATTCCTATAACCCGAATTGTACAGAAAAAAACATCTGTCTACACAATTATACCTTGACTCGATGTGACAAATTTATTTGTTCCTACAATGAAAATAAAAACGAACGTTGATGAAAAACATGATCCTACTATTTAATTAACATATTGTATATACTACTAATAAGAAATTAAGGAAATTAAAAAAAAAAGAAATAAATTTTGACGAAAGTAAAATTATTTATTTCGTATCACAATGCTGTTACATAAATATCATTTTTATACCGACGATAAAATGTTAATTAAATTTAATACATCAATTAGAAATGTGAATGAAGCTTGGAAGAAGCAAGGAAGGTGAAATATTGAAAAATCCAATAATATTGGAATAAAAAATATGCAATTTCTTTAGGCAGCATCGCCGGCATCACTAGGTGAACGTATATCATCAATTTTAAGTATCATTTTGACCAATTGTGTAGCTAATAAAATCTGTTGTGTTTTACTCGTCAATGTTTCGATAACATTTTGTGCTCGCATATCTGAAAAAATAAATAATTATTTATTTCTACATATTATAACGAAAAATGATTGCAAGTTCAATACGTACCATAAGTGCCACGATTTAAGCAATCTACACCAAAAGAAGAATTGTTTTCAGCTATTTGTGCTGCTTTAATATCAGCTAAAGTATTTACAGGTGAAAGGCCAGAATTTTCAGCAAGTGCCATAGGTACAGCATCCAAAGCTTCGGCAAATGCACGGAATGCATATTGTTCCAAAGTACTGATCTTATTAGCTTTATCTGCGCATGCCAAAGCACAAGAAATTTCGGCAGCACCTCCTCCATATAAAATTTTCTGATTTTTAATTACATTACGAACTGTACATAATGCATCGTGAATAGCTCGTTTTGCTTCTTCAATGATCTAAAAATATAAATAAAAAAAATTCATAAATTGATATATTTATATTAAATAAATAAAAACAATAGAGTAAAAAAAATGTAACATTAAAGAAAAAAGTTCAATTAAATTGATTCAAATTGAACAACAAAATAAATATCATAATGTTTTATTCTTGCAAGGTGTCTGGTCAATTAGATATATCTGAATATCATTGAAATTCTCCTTGCTTTCATTATTTTTATAAGAATTCTAAAAATTACTTACCATTTTATTTCCACCACGGATAAATATGGTGACTGCTCGAGAATTTTTACATTCTTCAATAACAAGCATTCGATCTTTAGTAGTACCAAACGTTAATTCTCTAACAACGCCTGCATGACCAAGTTTCTCTGGTGTCAGTTCTTCAAAGCGAGGAACAATACGTCCACCCGTAGCGATAGCTATTAACTGAAAAAATTTAATATTATTTTACGATTTCTTTTTTAATTTCTTAAAAGAAATTAAGCCTTCAGGATCTCATAATCTATTGGTCATTAGAGTTATGATAAAAAGAACATAATTAACTAATATATATATAAGAAAATTTTATATTCATTCTTACAATAGAGTACTAATGATATGAAAAAATTAAATTACGAAAAATTAAATTAACTTATTATCTTAACTTTTATGCTCTTTCATTGCACTTTATCATTATTGGGCAAACAAAATAATCATATAAAACCAAAACTTACTTCGATTTCTGGGCCACCAACCCATCTAACAGCAGGTAATTCATTCTGAAGAAGAAGATGATTAGCTTCATCATCAAATCCCCATTGACAAATGGCAAGTGTTGCACCAGCATTTTTAACCCTTTTCACCATTTCAATAAATTTTTCTTGTTCGTATTCACGTAATGCTCTATAATCATCAACTGAAGTGACATCCAACTTATGCTTAGTTTTTGGTTTGGGAGGTTCAAATGGGCATGTTAAAATAGCTAATTTAACATTTTCCAACCTCTGAAATATAACAAACGATCATTTATTAAAAATTTTATTATCCAATAAAATATTTCATTAAAAAAAAAAAAAAAAAGAAAAAATGCCTTCAGCTCTCATAATCTTTTGATCATTGAAGCCACTGTGAAGATCAAATTATTCAATAGTTACTTGAACAGAGACTTTTATTTTTTTCAAAAGTTAAGAAAATATAACTAAAGAAACAATTTAAAGTCCCAAAAACAAGTAAACTAAAAAATTTATTTGAATTTTCACCCTTCTCTGTTCTCTTTTTCATCATCAGGCAAAGTAAAATATCTTTTCAAATCAATACATGTTATTTTTTTCAACTAATTATACCTTAGGCATTTGAGGATGGCTAAAATCTTTATCAATAACAACACCACGAACTAGAACTGTATCTTCCAATCTGCCTCCAACTTTCCCTTCTATTTTTATTAATTCAAAATTTACATCACGTGCAACAGGATCTAAAACTGCAAATACAGCATTTACAGCTATTTCTGCCATTTGTCTGTGACATTTATTGATGCTAAAACAAATAGAGAAATAATTATTCTTTCTTGTCCATAAATTAAATTTAAATAATAATAAAATATTTTTCTTACATTTTGGAACCAAGACTGGTCATTGCAATTTTTATGTAAGGTTCCAGATTATCTGGAGTACCTTCAAAATCATGTACAATCATTTTCAAGTGATCTGTTGCACATTTTGCTGCCATTTCAAAACCATCTGCTATTCTGATTGGATGAATTCCTTTATCTAGTAATTGCTCTGCTTGTTCTAAGAGAGCACCCGCTAAAACAACTACACCAGTAGTGCCATCTCCAATCTCATCATCTTGGGATTGAGACAATTGAACCATTAGTTTTGCAATTTCATGATCCACATCCATATTTTTTAAAATTGTTGCTCCATCATTTGTTACAGTAACATCACCATCAGAACTAACCATTAGTTTATCAAGGCCCTTAGGACCTAATGAAGTTTTCAAAATATTGGCTACATCACGAGCTGCTAAAATATGTGACTGCAAATATTCAACATTTATTAAAGATATTATTAATGTATTTTACAAAACATATGAAAATAATATTATTGAATAAATCTCAAGATTCTACTGAAATTATTTCATAGAAGCCATAATATCCATATATGGATAAAAATCATTACCAATGAAATTTATTCAATTCTTTAAATTATTGAAATATTAAATTGATTAAAATGAAAAAAAATTATAATAATAATTATAAGATATAATTTTTAAATATGTGTAATATATTATTAATTTAGATTTCATATTTTTATAATATTTCTAGCCGTTTCAGAATAAACTGGCAAGCTTAAAATGTCGCCATGCCGTTTCACGTGGTCAGTTTAATTAATCGTTAACAAAAGTTTTTAATTTTTTTAGTTCAATAGAATCATGAGAAAATATCAAGAAAAATTTTTTACTACTTTTATAATTGAAGTGAAAAAAAAGTTATTTAAATAATATAAGAATACCTTGATGGCATCAATACCGGTTAGGCGTTTTTGCTTTTCCTGGTTACGAAGAATAATAAAAGGCCGACCGTATTCATCAAAGGCCACAGTACCAGGTATTGCAGTCATTTTGTTCCAAGAAACTTGGACTTTACGTTTAAAGCAGTTATAACGAAAAGACTTATAAACTTACAAACTTACGTTTCTTTGTCGTCAAAACTACGCGACCATTTTGTTGCCCATAACGGATGTTCATAAGCATGTAGTGCCATCTATTCTCGAATATTCTGGGTTAGGTATATTTGAGGATAAAACTTGAAAACAAAAATTACTATCATAATCTACAAATTTTTTTTTTTAAATTGTTTGAAAAACCTTTGGAATAAATAGTTAGAAAGATGTAATCTTTTATTGTAAAAGATAAATAAATAGCAAAAGAAATATAACATATTTAACTCTTCTTGTTTATTCAAATTGTATAAAAATTTAATAAAAATTTTTTCAAATATTTGATTTAAATATTTCTAAAAGATTTAATAAATAAAAAAAATATATTTTATAGAAATGATGAAAAAAATGAACAAAAGATAGGTTTAAGTATTTTATATGCATCACAATTTATTTGACATTAAACTATTACAACTTTGTATTATAATTTTGAACATTACATATACATAGTTATAGACATATAATTATTTTGGAATTAATTCATTTAATGAGAGGTACTTTCTTTTAATTCCAGGCCATATTGCCTGTAATCCCTCAATGTGTCGTACGTTCAAACAATATGAATTTTGTTTAAATTTTTCATATTGGAAGGAACTTACTATTCTATATGTATATATATATATATATTATTTTCATTCATTAATTTTCTTCTTCATTTTCAAATAATAATTACTGAATAATAAAAAAATACATGATAAATTAAATACATAGAAAGAAATTAATATGATAGTAGAATATGATAGTAAATTAAATTAGAGTTAAATTTCACGCATTAGATATTCAGTGAGTTGATTTCTTATAATTGCAAATTAATCATCTCGAAAATAATCGATTAATATGAGATTACGCACGACGCATCAGAGAATAATTATATTTCTAATTTTATAATTATATGTTTACGGAAAATATATGAATATATAAATATGTATATGATGTTTAGGTATACATATTGATTAAAGATAAAAATATAATTTCAATAAGATATATCTCATAATATATAACATTCACATTTAAAACTTTCTTAATGGATTAGGCATTCATATAATATATTAGAATTCTCTTATATAATAAAAGATCAACGCTGGAAGTATAATATCGTGTAACGAGAAATATGTTTTCTTCATTTTGTGTGTTTGGACTCTCGACTAGCATTAATAGCATAGAAACGAGGAGTTGTCCAAATTTCGCAACAGGTACTTTACGCATCAAATAGTTCTTCGCGACAGTGTTTAAAATAACACTGCGGTTTCTTGTAAATTACAATTATAACATTTGCTTCATTTATATTCTTTATCTTCATAACTATGTTCGTAAGTAATACTTTCTTTCATCATATGTATCTTTTAAAATCTTGATTCTCATCAACATTTAACGTAACATTTAACGATTTTCATCTATATATCCAGTTTTAATTATATTATATTTAATAGGATATTTAATAACATTTAATGCGAAGCGATTAACTCCACATTTTTAACGTATTCAATAGAGCGATTCCCACAAACAATATTTAGAGATTTCCACAATAAATGTTTAATCGAGTAATTCACATTTGAATAAGTTTTTCTACTAAAAATCTACGTACATACGTATCTCTAATAATTTAGAATCTAGACTAGCAAAGCAAAACTTTATTGCTGTATCTTTTAATTTCTTTCTCGATTCGCGTTAATTAAAATGTTTTGCTTTTGGTTACAGTATTACTTATTGTTAATAATATAATTACATTTGTTAGACACCGACGAAGATTTTGAAAACTCTTCAGATTAAATGTTCGATACAATCGAGCAAACTCTCATACGCGATTCACGTGTAGACATTAACATTTATGTAATAGTGTAACATCATTTCAATGTTTCAACTTTTCCTCGTGAAAAATATATAATTCTATCATTGATATCAGGATATTTGATCTCTTTCTGAGAATTAGAAAAAATTAAAATATATTATTTTCTGTGCGTTTGAATAATTCGAGTAGATATCTTAAGAATAAATTTAGGGAACTTTATTCAGGAATTTTTTAAGATCGTAGATTTCGATAATGAAATAAAATGAATAAGTACAGAGTGAAACAAGTAAAAGCTATTTTTTTTTTTTTCAAAGAACTCTCAACAAAATTTTACTAAAATCAATTTCTAGAATTATGATTTTACAATTAATATATAAAGTACAATTTTTCTAACATTTCTATCACTATTATCATTTAGATCCCAGCTATTCAATTCCTATCTATTTCGTAAAATTTTAATTTCTATGTTTAACCAGACGAGTGGGAAAAAAGTAAGAATAGTAAAAGAGGAAACTTCTTCTCTTCTATCACACATCCATTACGCATTATTCATCGATTATTAAATTCAATTTTTGAAAACACGCTGTATAATTCTTTTCACTAATATTTAATAATACCTTATAATCTTATAAGACGGACTATTCTGATATGTATCGTATTTTTTTCAGTCGTAATATTTGGAAGAAAACAATCAAAAAGCGCGTTTGTGATTTCTCCACTCTTGACAGACTTACGAACATCGAAACAATTTAGGAAATTTCGAAATAACAGACTTACATCTTAAGTTTTTTCTCGTTTTTTTTTTTTTTCAGTGTAATGACAAGAGGGATTCGATTTATCTAGACACGCCTTTCATTCTCACCAGTTCATGAGGAACAATATAGCTTTTAGGCGAAGGGAGCCTTAAGGGAACGTTTAAAGATACGATTTCCCTGTCCAGTAATCCGTTTTTCGCCAGAAGTATACTGAACGATCGATTTTATTTGGTCCGTTGCAACTGGTCCGATGCAAACCAGAGGATCTTTGAAATACGAGCAAACCTAGTGAGAAGAAAGAAGATTCGTAGGGATGATAATCCTTCTGCGTAAAAATATCTCATGTTTTTATCTTTAAATAAAATTACCTTTCTTGGCGTTTGTCGATGACGTCTCTGAAGCTGACAGCATAAACCGCGACTGATATCGCATTCCCCGGACACGTTACACTCCTCATCTGTGTAATTAATTAAAAATAGGATATTCTATATAATTAGAAATGGAATATAACGTATAGTTCTTACGTAAGAAACGATTCATTTGACGTAGTTATTTTATCGATCATCTTTGAATTTTTGTCGCGTAAAGGATATTTTCTGACCGGTTAATACATCGATGACGTCACTTGCCATAGATTTATCTTTACTTACTATATAATTTGTTGGAAGTTATCGGCACCTGACACGAACGAGTTTCGCTACCGGCAATTTCGGCGCACATTAAACCAGTTTCGCAATCGTTATCATTCCTGCAAAGTTCTCCCTGCTTTTGCCCCAATTCAAAAACGCAATGACCAACATCTATAATTCAAGAAGAGGAATTTCCAGTTTGCGTCTTCTAAAAATCATTTAACAATGGGGGAAGAACGAAGAATGATAGTTACCTCCATCGACATTCATGCAAATAGAACCCGGACAACAGTGCTCGTTAAGTGTACATTTTCTTTCATAGCATGGTATAACTTCTTCTAGAGAGTCATACGAATATCCATAACTGGTAGATAATGGACGCTTGAAATGAAACGCATGATATTTTATTATTATTATTATTAATATATGAAATAGAAAATAGAAGAAATGATGGATAGCATGTATATCTTTTTGATTTGTACATTAGAAATGAGATATTTGAAACAATTTTTCAAATTTAAAACAAGCCATCGGATTAATAATTGATTTTAATGAAAATTTAATGATATTTCCCCTGATATTCTATCGTTATGCAAATAAATGCGTACGTGAAAAGCGCACAATTCTATGAAAATAATATATCGATCGTACACCGGTAATACTGCGGCAAAGTTGCAAAGCAGTTTTATTTGATGTGTGAAGATATCTCGACATTGGAGAAAACTTGGTTGGTTGATAAAAAATTTTGTTCATACCTGATACAATCCTGATTTGCCTATATGATCACCGTGACTACCGTAACCAAGATTCGATAACATTTCTGGGCTGAAACGATTAAATAGACCACCCCATGCCTCGACACCAAAGTGCATCGTGCTTATTAGAGCAACGACGGTCAATGCAACACACGTGTACATTTTTTGTCCCATGTAAGTATATCGCTCTTGAAACCTCTGAAATTCAAGTAATTTTCAAATAAAGATATTTCAAATCAAACGTGTAGCATCACATAAAAATTTCTCAACGATAAATATTTTACATTTCCATTTTGAAATTAAATAATTTTTCCTTCTTTTTTTTTGTTTTTGTTTACAGAAATTAAACTGACGTTGACAAAAATTATTAACAATGATAAAAAATAATGAAAATAATGGATATTTTCATGACAGTTTTCAAACATTTTTGTTCGTAAGTTGAAACAATTTTACGAAAAGAACAGGCAAGTATTCCTTTGTCGGTTTTGTAAATTTAAAAAATTCTTAAACTTACGAATTTCTTCACTTGCTAGTATTTCTTTGTAAATCGACCTGGAAAGATCAACTCTTGTCTCTTCTCGGGATCAACAAGTCCTCAATGAAGCTTGCTGGAGGACTGAGTCTGAGCCGTGCTTGCATTAGCAATCTATACTTCTACGTTGTTCCGGTTTCCCTTGTACAGGCTTGTGCAAACATCCGCGCAAGCGCATCCCTTGACTTTTTTTACGCACATGACCTAGGTACCATTTTATTCATTCAGATTTTAAGCTCGTATTTTAGTTATTTATAGATTTATTTCTCTCGTTAAATGATGAAATGGATAAATTTTTTTTTTTTACAATATAAATTTTCAATACAAATCTTTGCAAGTTTATTCTTTAGTAAATTATGAGAACGTAAACGCGAAATCAATGGCAGAACTATTCTCTTCGTGTTTACCCTGGAAATTTTCCTGGAAATTTTGTTTGCCTCGTAAATGCAATTTCAATTTAATTAACAATCGTGCGTATTGTATTCGCAAATATCCTTGGGGGAAAATATGATATGTAAAAATATTTTTATAAATTCATCTTGAAAGAAAAGATTTAATGTGAAAGATTTTAACGTAGAATTATAATGTATTTTATAAAGTATTTCATAATTATTTATTTAAAAGAAAATAAAAATTTCCGTGAAAATTATATCTCGTTTCAGGATACAGCAGCGCCATTCGTTGAGCACACTTTCACGTGGGTGTTTAGCTCTTTCTTCGTCATTCAACCTGAATGTCATTGTTTTCATCTCTGTTGGTCGTATTGATCCGGGATGTCCTGATGTTCCACAGGGCGGTCGATCCTGCTCTATATATTCCTTTCCTAGCTGGCTCGTGAATACTTATATATATATATGTAATAATAAAGAGGATGCACTTAACTTGAGTAAAACAATATAATATAGGGTCATTTTATTTTTACTTCGCGTTCTTTTTTTACTTACTTCGTTTTCCTTTTTTTTTTCTTTTTCTTTTTTTCTTTTTTCGATAAAGAAAAATTTTCTCTCGTTTTATAATTGAACGGCAAAGCAAAGAAAAAAAAAAAAAAACGAATAAGAAATTCCTCTTCCGAGAAAATACCTTTTTCTAAAAAAATTTTGATTTTACATAAATCTTTTTTATGTTTGCAGATCACGATTCAAGTATTTCAAGTATTTTTAAAGATTTATCTAAATGTACCAATACACGACCACCTGTCTGTGAAAATGCCAAATATGTAATTTACATTGCATGTGTAACAACTATTTATAATATGTAACAACAAGGTCTATGTGTTTTGCATCTTTTTTATATTTATAGAGAACATCTAAAATCAAGATTTATAAAAATTGGAGAAATTAGATATACGTGATACAATAATAATCGTTCTTGATTAATCATTTTTATTTTTACTCTTTATCAGGTTTAAATTATCGGTAGTTTAATCATTCGCGCATGTTCGGATTAATTATAAAGTGTTCGTTTAAATATTTTCGCCAGATAGAAATATTACATTAAATCTTGATTGTTGCGTGCAACGTATAATGCAACGTATAAAATTCTGAATTTCCAAGAAATTTCCATAATTAAACTTTTGCGACTTTATATTATAACTCGAATAAGTCGCTAATCATTACAAGTTCGTTCGAAGGTTCTTAAAAATGAGTTTTCTCGTTAATTTTAATCTGTGACTTTTATTTCATACTTTTATATACTCTTATTCTTATTCTTTTTCTAATTCTTATTCTTTTTTTCAGGTAAGTGTGTACTTTTTATCGGCGTGTGATAAGGATAAAAAGAAATGGTTATTATCTCGTATAAAAATGAGTTTAATAAATAACATCTAACAACGAAATAAATAAGGCTCACATTTCGTAACTGTATACATATAGTACGTGTAATACGTACTCACGTATATACAATACAATGGAACACGCAATACGTTCAATATTGGATGCACATAAATACACGGTGGTGAATTTTCGTATATCGTTAATAAAATATCTCGAAACACTTGTTATAAGTTATCGATCGTAATATTAATTCTCCAAATTTAAAACAATCGAGATACAAGAAAATAATTTATTCTAACAAGTATTTACTTGTTAAAAAAAAAAAAAAAGAAAAGAAGAAGAACGAAATCAGACGACGCAAAGAAAAATTATCTAAAATTGGAAATAGTATTCACGAAACGTATTCATGTTCGTATTTATGTCCTTTTAATCAATTGGACGATATTCTTCAATCTATTCCGAAGGAAATAAATTAATTCTTCCTTTGTACATTTATACAAGTGGCACGTAATCATCAGTGCCTGTCACCTTGTCCAGGAAATACACTATCTTCTGTCTTTCAGACCCCAGTGATACTTTGTAGCCAAGGTTTGAAGTAAGTCGTCCTCATGTATACACCTGGAAGATAAGGTGCAGCACATGTTATTCCATGGGATACCGTGCCTACTAAGAACCATCTTCCGTCTGGTCGTTGCATTACTAATGGACCACCACTGTCACCCTGTACAATTAAACAAAAATAGATGACGAATAATTCTGAAACACGAGAGAAAGAAAAAAAATGAAAATTGTTGATAAGAAAAATACCTCGCAAGAATCTTTTTGTCCATTTGCATAACCCGCACAGAGGAAGCTGTCGAGAATTAATTTAGAATGTCCAGCTGTCTGGAACATTTCTTGACATACGGAATTCTTAATTATAGGCACTTGAACTTCTTGTAGAACAGAGGGTACACCACCGTCTGCAAAATTAATATTACTTATAGAGGCGTCAATTAAAAATGAAGCAAAATACGTGGTATGAACAAAAATGGTACCGACTATATTTCAATCGTCCCCAACCGGTCACGGTAGCCATTCTACCAGTGAAATCTATACCATCATCGGGCATACAAATTGGGACGATATGAACGTCAAATTGTATCGGTGATTCCAGTTCCAAAAGAGCCAAGTCACTCTCGAACGTAGTTGGATTGTAACCCCTGTTCACGATTACTCGACGAACGTTCCTCGTTATGCTTCGCTTTGCTTCCAATTCACCGGATAAATCGAATTCTCCAAAAACGGCGACCAATGTTGCCAAAAATCTGACGACGATATTCATCATTTATGTACAAATGTACTATTCACGCGTTCAAAAAAAAAGCATTGAAAAATATCGATTCACCTACCCAGGTTGACAGTGAGCAGCAGTGATGACGTACTTGTCTGTAATAAGAACACCGCCGCATTTATTTTTGGTAAAGAGACCCAACCAAGTTGCCTCTCGAACTAAAACTTGCCACGGCCATTCGCCGAATGTCGCTGCTTTGCCACCGACGATCCTTCCAGATTTGACCAAAGGTCTTACGCCGCATTCTGTGAAATTCCAATGTGTCGGATCAATGAAAGAGTATTCACGACGAAACGATCGAACTTGAACAACGATCACGAAGAGGACAACAAAGAACTTACGAGAACGAAAATCGTTGGACGAAGAGATCTGGGGACTCGTGGTAGTTTCGAGTGCGCCGGAAGTACTGATCTCCTCCTCCATAATTGCCTCTTCCGTACTCGTTGCCAACGTTGTAGTAGGCCTCTTGGTCGGTCTCGGACGTTTCGTTGTAATCTGGGGTTTCTTCGTGGTCGCGCTGGACACCGTGTTTGGCTTTGGTTTCAGAGTAGTCGGTTTCGAAGGGCGAACTGGTTTCTCAGACGATACGAAAGGTTTCAAAGTTGTGGGACGATTGATCGACGGCCTCTTCGTGGTCGCCGGTTTCTTCGTCGTGATGTACGAAGGTTTGGTCGTCGTAGTTGGCTTTCGCAACGGTTTCCTCGTGGTGGAAATGGCAGGCCTCTTTGTAGGTGGTGGACTCGACGTAGCGTTGGCGCGATTGTACACGATATCCTTCAGATCCTAAAGCAAATATTATCTCATAGTCTCGACCCTTTTAAAGGGAAAATTGATGGGAGTAAGTGGTTACCTGGAAGTTGTCTTGCAACGATTGCATGATCTTGTTCACGAACGTGTCCACTTTGTTCGTGAGCACGTCGTCCTCGATGAAGGTTGGCGTTGGAATATCGTTTTCGCTTAATATCTCGATGTCTGGGTAACCCGTGTTGTTGAAGGTTTCGACGATGGTTGGTTTTTCCTGTTGCGAAATCGGAGTCGAAATATTGAGATTCGGATTTCGAACTGGAGGGAAATTGATCAGGTCGTCGGGCGCAGCTGTCTCTTCGTCGCAATGTGGCGGACCGGTGGTTGATTTGATTGGATACGTCTCGGATGAAACGACGGGATCTTTGAATATTATCGTGTCAACATGCTCTCCTGTGTTCTCCTCGGTGAAAACTATGTTCGAAGGAGTGGATGGTTTCAGATGGAAACTCGGTTTGTCGGACCACGTGGAAAAGGTGGTCCAAATCGTGGGTCTTCTCGTCGACAACCTCTCCGAATTTATCTCGGTCTGGTAGGTTGTGGATTTCGTGTTATAGCTACCACTGTCCACCATTGGCTCAGAAGTAGCGCCGTCTTTCACGTTCACGCTGAAGAAACTGGTCGAGACCACGTTGTTTGTAGCGACGTTCGAGATAACTGTGCTGATGTTGTGAGTTATGGTGGTGGAAACGCTCGGCTTTTTCGTGGTGAGCGGGCTCGGCCTCGTCGATTCGATCGTAGGCTTGAAGATCGCGGTGGATCCGCCACTTTCCGCCCCCGACGGCTTCCTCGTCACCGTTTTCGGAGTCGTCTCCGTGGTGAATTCCGTGCCCAGAGGGCCTAGGACAATGACTGTCGGTGCTGGCGGATTCGTCGTGGTCACTTTCGTCGTGGAATAATCGGAAGTCGGGACGCTGGTGAAAATTGATTGGGTCGACGGTCTCGAGGAATGCGCGTTCGAGGTCGAATACGAAGCGTGAGTCGTATCCGTGGGGATCGTTTCGTAGCTGTAATAATTAGACGATTGTCCCGGTTTATAGAAGGTGTAAGGGAATGATTCAGCGGTGGTCGGTTGAGAAAGAAAAGGAGGTTTAGTGGAGATTCGAACCAACGACGGTTTCGAAGTTTCGTCGATGCTGACCCATTTATTAATGGACGAATTCGGTGTTTGAATCGTCGTTCCCGTGCCCGGTTTCGTGTCGTTCAAGATCGATATTATGTGATTAATCGCTATTTCCTCCTTGTCTATCATATCGTCCTTTTTATTTCCAGAGGGTGCGTCGTAAGTGATGGTCGGGACTCTGATCAATTCGTTCTTCTTGTCGCTTAGAACAGTAGTCATCGGAGTGGTCGTTATTTTATCGATCGGTTCATCAGCATCCACGTCCTTGGTCGATACCCTTTCTTTCAACGTGCCGATCTTTTCGAAGTTATCGATCGCCGTCTCCTGAGGGAGGGAAGCGGTCGTGAGCCTTTGCGTGTTGGCGTACAATTGGGTGATCGGCAATTTCGTCATCGACGACGTGCCGAACGTTTGATCTTCCGTGGCGTCGTGCGTGGAGGGCGAAGATTGATCGGAGAATTTAATCCACTGTGTCGTCGACGTGCTGATCCGATGAGTGGTGTGGTCGTGGAAAGGCCTCTTAATTTCCGTATACGACACGCTTTCGGTCACTCTCGGCCTCTGAGTGGTGCTCAAAGTTTCGGTCACTCTCTTCTCCTCGACGGAGGTCGACTCGACGTTAGGTTTGAACAAATCATCGGGATTGTTGGTCTCGTTTAACATCGTCCCATTCTCGTTTAATAATATCGTGTCGGGCGAGGTGTGATTGTTCTGGCCCAATCCTTGGGAGAACAGGGCCGGAAGTTGGTCAACCGGATCGGCTATCTGAAGTATCTGATCCGGGCTTAGCAAAGTGGTAACCGGATTAATAATAGGATTGCTCTGATGATTCTGTATGTTATTATTCGAATGAGTCAACAATCCCGGGAGACCCAGATCGTCCAAGATGTTCTGCTGACCCAGCAGAGCCGGAAAATCCTCTTCCAGATGGGTTACGTCTGGTTGCGCGGGTAATTGTGGTTTCTCCGCGTTCTCAACGCTGTCTTGGATCTGCCCGATCCCGGATATCGACTTGGTGGTGGTCGAAGAGGGGGCGTCGAACGTTGAAATTTTAGTGTACGTGATCCCTTGGTTTTTGTCCATTTGGGTGGACGCGTGATGAATATCCATCTTGACGGTATTGTCCTGGGACACCGTCATCCCGAGCGGCGTCCCGTCTGGATTTAACAAGATGGGAATATCCGGGACGTGATCGATTTCGTGTACGTTGAATATTTGATCGGTGCTCGGGACGTTGGTGCCGGTCAATGTTTTCAACGGCAATTGGCAGCACGCGCCAAAAAGGAAACCGTCCATACAAGCGCCGACCACTTGTCCATTTCGTCGCGAGCATTCATAATTGAACATGCATATAGCTGGCTCGTTTGACTTAACCCGGGATGGTATCGTCGGTTGACACGCTTTCGGTACTATTCTATATCCGCCGAATAATCTCCTACCTGTTGCAAACAATAATTAATAATCGTTAATGTTCTATTTTCGATTTTCCGCCTCGCGCGATATCGGTTCGCGAAAAAACAGGACGAGATTTTTATTATTCGAATCGCGGCGTGCCGCTGCAATTAGTCGCTGAGTCTACAACGGTTCACGATAAACGAGTTGAAAACGAAACTAACTCGGCTCGTTTCGTATTCGGAATTTAATCGGAATTGTTGAAGGCATGCAAATCGGGGAACAACTTGTTTAAAATCGTGCTCCAATTTTTAGGGGAAGAATTTTGGGGGGACATGAATTTGAATACGTTTGTCGCAAGTTAATTTTGTTCTTTCTTCTTCTTCTTCTTTAGGTTAATCCGTTAAACACGAAATACGTTCTACTTTAATGGAAATTCGTCGATAGGAAAGTTTTCGATTCAGACGGATAGAATTACAGTTTTAAACGTCTCTTTATGCCTTTATATTTGTAAAAGTCAGTATTTAGTGTGATCGGTTATGCTCAGGTGACTAAGCCATAGGCGAGCAAGCATGTAGGCTTTGCACGTGCCTCCTTATATGCCTGCATACCGCCAATATAATGACCTACTCCGTGAATCGTCCGTAGAGCTTGTCAGGATTCTTCCGGCGTTCCAGATTTTTTTATTTTTATTTTTTTTTTTTTATTTTATTTTATTTTTCACGGACTTTCGTTTCGTGTCGAACTATGTCACAAGCGATTCGAATGCCAATATTTTTTTCAAATTTATCTTCCAATCATCAGATTAGTTAGATTCATCTTGATTTATTTGGAATATTGAAATGTTATATCATATACGTGGTTATTTTTTCCAAGAATAATTTGCGATTAATTAAGTTCAATCGATTAAATAAAATCCGCTATTACACGAAACTAATATCTTTTGTAAAATATAATTAAATGTTTTTCGAAATTTTATTGTTCTAATTGCACAATAATTATTATTTTTATCGCGTTGCTCATTCTAGCACGCGTAATTAGAAATTTTAATTAATAGAAATTTTAATTAATAGCTTAACATCGAATCAGATCGTAATATCAATTACTACCTTGGTTATCTTAAACAACCAGCGGCATAATCGAGGTAATGTACCATTTAAGTAGAATAAAGACGATTGCGTGATACTTGGACGAGAAAATGGAAATGAGAAAGTGATAAGGATCTTGCGTGAAATAAATGCCGGTATCGATCGATAACGATTCAGAAACATTTCTTCGTCGAGGAAATCGATCGAAATTTTTTTCTCCCCTTCGTTAAACCTGTTTCCACTCTTGTAATCTTGGCTGTTGCTTGAGATAGCAATAGTGCGTATCGCTATCGTTATCGATACACGAGCCGTGCACGACGAAGCCACCATCGTGCTTTTATTTTAAATATTCTTGAATATTTAAATGACGGGTAACAATATAGCGTGATACTTTATAGCGATGCTCGAAATTTCTGTCGTTTATTGGGAACAACGTGCATCTAGAATGAGATACGCACACTATACTATAAATACGCGTCTCGTGGAATTCACGACTTTCGAAAAGGAAGTGAGTATGTAAGTGGAATTTGGTGTCAATGTTGGTACGTGCGCGATTGGTAAAAAGTCACGAACCTACGTCTATAAGGGTATGTGCATATATATATATATATATATACACGCATGATACACGGATGATATTCGAAACTAAACTACTAAACTCGTGGTATAATTGATAATGGGTGCGATTAAAAAAAATTCCATGAATAACTTGGGTTAGAGGAAAGGCGCGTGGGAAGAAGTGCGTTTGTTTTATCGGGTTGACACATGCAATTACTGGTGTAAAAGACAATTGACGCGTGAGGCACCGTGTTATCGGTTAAAACGAACGCGTGTAACCATGCGGTGAACCGAGTCGTGGATAACAGATTATGGGATTCCACGCGATTGAAACTTTTTCATTGACCTCCGACATTTCCCTCGCTCCACAATGGAGATACGTGGCGCAACACGGGAAAATAAACGTTTTACGCGGGATCGCGTAATAGGGAAAACTAGTTCTGGAAAATTTCCTGCCAACTTTTCTAATAGATTGAAATTTATCGCGTCGTTCTTTTGATTAGAAGATGCGGGAAAAGAATTGGAAATTCTTGGAATTCAGCAAAGATATATATATATATATATATATATATATAAGAGGATTCATTATACTTAATCCATTATGCTTAAATTTATTTAAATGGAAGTTATATACGGTGGTTAACTGCGAAACAATTGGGTCGAGGATTGAAGGATCACGATCTATCTTCGTATCCGGACGTATGTCGGAATTCGTTGGTCGATTGATTTACGCCTAGTTTCTCGTTACATAACGTAATTGTTACCTGTGGCTTCGGGCACGTAAGAGCGTGAAACGACGGACATAGAAGAAAGGATGACGAGTAATAAATGGATACTCTTCCCGACAGTCATCTGTAACAAAAAGACGTGTGAAAATTATCAAACGATTTATTCGGCAATTAGAGGAACGATCTAAACGATTTTATAAACGGCATAATATTTCTAATATAAATAAAGAACATCAGAGATGCGTGATGTATTAATCGTTACTTTAAATCAACTTGCATTACACATATAACAGTTTCTTTTGTAACGGTACAAGAAATTAGTATCGTGCGTGCGTCTCAAAAGCTACGCATTATATACGAATTTATACCCTATATTTTAATTCGCAACTCACCTTTCCCCGTCCGATTTAATTAAAGATAAAAAAACGATAAAGAATTTTTGAACCGCTATTTAATAACCGCGAACCGCGTTATTCTTTTCACGTACATGTATGCATCGTATGTATCGTATTTACGTATCGTACTCGAAGCAGCAAGATAATAAGAGGAACGAGATCATTTTCTTACTTCCCAACGAGACAATTGGACGAGCGGATTCTGGAACAAGTAATAAAGCGAAGATAGCATCGAGATTCGAAGAAATGAATCAAGGTTCAAGGTTTTATATATATAATATATCATCGCTCCGCTCTCTCGGTTTTCCTCATCTCACGATACTTTCCGAGATTTACACGCTCGCGTGCGTGTCTCGAAGGTGAGCGCGCACGGTATCCCTTCGTGTCCCGAAATCCCGTTATACAGTCAGTCGGTTCAGAGGCGTTCTCTCTCGCGTATCACGGCTGCGTAATGCTAAACAGAGAAGCGGGGAACGGCGATGATGATGATGAAGAAGAGCGAAGAGAAAACAAGGAGGAAGAGACGGCGGGACCGTCGCTGTTGCGTTCATCTTGGCTCGACGCGAAGAAAGAGAAGGAAAGGAGGCCGTGAGAAAGACGAGGAGAGCGAACGAGCCGATTGCTCGAACGTTGCTTCACCGAGCCACCGGTAACCTAGTTACCAATTCCCCCTCACTGTCCTATTCTCTTCCTCCTTCCTCTGACCTTCTTATTAAATTCGATCCTGTGCGTAATTTAAACGATCCAATGCGTCGATTCGCTCAAAATCAATCGATCAAACAAACGTTCCAACACGGTGCTATTTCCGCCTGTGTGTAAGGTATTACATTGTTAACATACGTTTCTTTCCTTCGTTTCCTTTATTTTTCCAAAGATTTTCAAGCAAACCGAGTTGGAGTTTAAAGTGTTTAACAGTATTTTTTCTTTTTTTTTTTTCTTGAACACACTGCGCCTCTTCTTCTTCGACGAATAGTGTGACAACAGAATACTGGAGGAACAGAAATTCAAGAGTGGAGGAAGATACCGGTACTAGAAATTATCAATTCCTCGTGTTATCCATTGACTTCTTTTTTTCTCTGTCCCGGAATGTCATTACACGCACGCAACGTACAATATATATATATATATATATAGATATATATATATAGATATATGCGGGACAATTCATTGGAAATTCGTTTTCTATCGGCCGGTAATCACAAACGTCATGCAAAACTATGTAGAAAGTTCATCCTTTTCTGGTATTCAGGACATTATCTGGTATTAGGTCCGTGTGAACCCTGCACCGGGTGCAACGTTCCGATACCATGATCTCACGGAGAAAGTATCGTTTCGACTTGGCAAAATCGATTACACGATGATTATGAGATACCGGGAATAATTTCACGGTGTCTTCGTACACCGAGCAGGATTTCAACGCTGATAACGCTTGACAATAATTCCCTTTCGTTCGTCGCGAGCTGTGCACGCGTGTAAATACGCGGAAGTCACTTTCCTTCGAATCGTTCCGTTTCTTCCGGGCTTCGAGCAATTTCGATCGCGACAAAAACAGAGAAGGAGATGAGGGCAATTATCGTTAACGATCTTTTCATTTCTACCAAGTATAGTTAACAGAATTGGTTAACAATCGGTTGGTTAAAAAAAAAGAAAAAAGAAAGAAAGAAAAAAAAAAAAAAATCTCGACTAAAGAGACGCGGGAATAGATTTAACGAGACTTTTACTTGTTACTTGTGTGTCATAGATAATTTCACGTGACCAATCGTCCAATATAATTTTTGCATATGCGGCGAGAAGAAATTAAAAGGCGAGACGAATTTTATAACACGGATGAATGAAACGACTGTTGCGATAAATTATAGTTCGAAGCTCGATTTCGCGTAAAATTTTACGCACACGCGTGCATACACGCACACACAGATACACGTGTGCATCCTGCAAAAGGACAGGTCACCGTTACTTCAATGGAAAATCATGCATTTCCTTTAAACGCGCTTGAAACGGCGCTTCAAACCTGCTCGACAAACTTTCATGCAATGCAAAGAACAGTCGTGTACAAATTTCAATACCGCACATCCGGGTACGATATTGCACGTGTTAATATTTCTCAAATCGATCATCTCGCGAGGAATCTTTGTTGGACGCGTATGGGACGAGAAGAGGAGGTACACCCTGTATGCGCGCCAAGATCACGATCTCCTCGCGCGGGATAAAAGAGTTGACTCCGAGTACCTCGAAAATTCTTGGCCGTTCATTGGCCGTTCGTCAGTATGCGAGGAAGAAGTCTCCTGCCGAACACACGAGTGCGTGACTACAGGTATGCATAGGATTCTGCGCGCACACGTAAACTTTGGAGAAAGCTCGCTTCGACTCTTCTTCATTATTGGATCTGGGTGACCCGATTGGCTTGCCCTCGTCGACCAACCGAGAAATTTCCTCGTCATCGTCATCGTCTTCGTCGTCGTCGCCCTCTTCTTCCACGTTCTTTCCTTCGAATCCTAGCCTACGATCGTTTCGTCCTTTCCGATCGATCGCCGAGCATAACTGGATAGCCTTTGTATTACGGAAGCAATTTATCATCGTTTACGGAAATCTGTTTGCATTTTAATCAAAGATCGGTACGAATGGTTTTGTTAAATTGTAATAAAATCGGTGCGATACATGGATGATCGATGATAAGTTTCATTCCTCGAGAGAAAAGTATAAACAGCAATTCAAAACGGACGAACGGAGGGATATTTTGAAAGGATACGAGATGCGCTTTCACTGAGTCACATCACTTTGATCGTTCGTGCAAAACCGATCACCGCCTCCGCAGCACCGGTTCGACTCGAGCGATCGTTGTACGCCTATCTCGCTACGAATTGTTGAAAGCGAAAGCGATGAATTATTGCATTTCGTGTCGATAAAATAATATGGAATGAACATTCGACTAATATTCCTATTGGAACAATGGGAATCGGTGAACGACTGTGTAAATTGGAGTGGAAAGAAATTATTCCATGACCACTTTCTTCGCATTGTGCGTGCCGAAATAAAAGGTGTTTACTTGGAACAAGTTCGAAAGGGACAGTGCGCCTTGTGCATTTTAAGAGGGTCCGAAAAGTGGACGGCCGAATGTAGGGCGGCAAGAGAGCAACGAGAACAAACGCGTTAACCTGGCTAATCCACGTTAGTCACGCTGACAGAAGCCGATCATTATGAAGTCGTACTTCCTTGATAAAGTAATAATTAAGGGGAAAATAATAAGCGCGTTAAATTACATTACACGCAACTTGTCACGAGTCTACGCTTTTGCTCTGTTATTTTATGCGTTATCCGTGCAATTTAGATTTCTGTGTTCAACGTTGCAACGCACACGTAACGAGGAACGTATCATTTATTCGATGCGGCGTGCAACGCTTATCAATCGCGAAACATTTTCGATTATCCATTCTCCCGGATTCGGTTGCTCCGTTTGGAACGAGGAGGAGCGTTAAACGTACAAATCAACGACTAAGATTGGAAAGAGTGACACGAGGCCGTCTGTGCGCTGACAACCGTTACCAACTTACCACTACCTGGTGCTGTGGCATACCTAACTTAGGTACGCAGCTGCGCGCTTATACTACTCGAAGCTATGTGTCAGACGCCGATGTCGGGGTCAATGCGGAGGAATCCTATTCTCTCTTGTTCGCAGCATCTCTTTCAAAGTTTCACGCGCGCGAGATCACGTTCGATCGACAGGGAACGTTGGAAATAAATCGGGACGGATAAGAGATGGAAGGAGTTATCTCGAACGTTTTGACGATCGAACCATTCCTCCCTGCTCGAAATCTATTGATTAATTCTTCGCGACTAATAATTCGAAGATTGATAGAGAAACGATCGATATTCACGAATCGTGGAAATTGGGGAATTGAAGAAACGGTTCGATAACGATTCTTCGAAGTTTTAAGAATATAATAAAAGCAACCGTGAGAGAGGATCCGTTCAAAATATAATTTGACTCGGTTGTTTAATCTCGAGAAATGGGATTTTAAAGAGGTACAACGTGTGCGGGTAACGACGCGTGGATGAGATCACCGGGAATGGAACATCAGAACGAAGAAAGAAAAGAGAGGGGGAAAAAAGGAGGAATAAGGATGCGGTGAAGCAGCGGAGCATGCCAAATGATCTTCTATGTATATCGCCCCGTTTACTACGGGCCAAAGTCGGAAACCCAGCTTTCTCCTGCCTCCACGGTCAGGTTACCTTGTGTACGATCGTACCGATTCCTGATCACGTCCTGGTTCCGATAAACGATTCGGATTGACCGATATTTTTTTTCGTCCTTGCCACTATCAAACTTTCTACATTAATATTTATCGCATTGTTTCAATCGACGTGGAACGGAAAGCACGTTGGACCCAGCAAAGTGTCACTGCGAATCCGTCCACGTGAACCAAGATCGAGGTAGCTCGATGCGTGAAGCAAAGCGGAGCTGCGCGCGTTCCGATGATCGATCAAATAAAAATCAACCGACAAATTCCTCTATATACAAGCGTGATATTAAAACGAATACGCAGAAACGAACCTTTTGAATCCTTTGATTTTTAACACTTACTGTGTTAACGTAAGCAACACTTACCGTGTCAACGTGTTAACCGTGATACGTTCGCCGATTCGTCAGACTCGTCTCATAACGTTAAATCCTCTGGACGGAAGCCCCTCGTCGGTCGTTCTCCAGAAGAAGAAAACACGACCCTTTCTCACGTCACGTCACGAACGTCTCTCGCCAAGTTCACACGTTCTCACCGCCGATTTTTCCGCGCTTCGCACTTGGTCACACAACTTCCTCCACTTCCCTTTCCTTGATCCCCTCGTTTCCTCCCCTTCGAAACGAATCATATACCAGGAACGATCCGAACGCCTGCTTCAGATACAGACAGAGAGAGCGAGAAAGAGAAAGAGAGAGAGAGACAGTGAGAGAGAAGCCGAATTTTCCGCAAAATCGACAAGACGGAGAGAGGAAGACGAGACGTGCACTGATCTCTACAGGCGAATCAAATCCACGATTACACCTTCGATTAACTTTCGATCTATATTCGAAACGTTGCATCCGATTGTCATCCGATATATTCTGATCTGTGGAGTTGGGCAGGCGTTGGAATCGGGTGGACAGTGGACAAGTAGTCTATGACACTATGACGGAGTCTCTTACGACCGGCAAACCTGTTCGATTGAACTTTTCACGCGATCCTAACGCCGATCTCTTCCGCGCACCGTTCGCCCATCCGGTTAGTCAAGTGGATGGTGGCTGTCTGCCTGTCGTACCTCGTGCCACGGCATGTGCTGGAATCGCATGGCTAAGTCATAAGCGGCGCCTTCGAACAGAGATCGTGTGGTGGTGGTGGTCGAGGAACGAACGAAGTGGTGGAGGTCGATTATGGTGGAGGCAACGTAGCCAGGAAGACCGGCCGATCGCGAACGATCGAAGTGGTGGGGAAGGCCCGTGTTCGAAGGCAAGAAGCGGCCGAGCATCGGGCGTCATCGGGGAGAAGGAAAGAGACAGGCGCGGAGGAGGAGGAGAGGCCGAACCAGGAGAAATCGAAGTGGGCCAGTGACCAGGTCACGTGGAGAAGAACGAGGCCCAACGCGCACGACAGCGACACACTGTCCTACTCATCGGGATCGTCGTCGCTCTCTCGCTTCTATCCGTCCATTCAGGAAACGCGTCGCGATGCGTTCAGCCTCCACTCCGCTAATTCAGCAATTGGACCGATCTGAGAAGAGGGAATGGCGATGAATCCGAGGGAAATGGTCAAATATCGGAAGAAACGGTTCTCTTTTTAATTATTCTCGCTCTAAGGAGAATCTATGGGGAACGATAGTGATATCGTTTTATACGATTTTATATGTATATTGATGGAGAGAATTTTGAGACACGTTTTATCCATTCACGGTACAAAATGTACAAAGGAGTTATTTATAAAAGTTTCGACGAGGGTGCGACGTTTCGAAAGTTCATCCCGTGACAGGGGAGTTGACGTTGCAAGAAGGTGATTGATCTCGTAGTTAAATTCCGTAGAATTCAAATTATACGGGTAAAAATTATGGGACAGAGCCGGCTAAATATAACCAAGTTTATAAAGGAGAATATTTAAGTAACTGGTTTCCTTTGTTTAAACATATCTGGTAAATAGAAGATTTCTCTTGCAAGCCGTTTGGCAAAAGGAAACGAAGATTCTTTTATATCCATTTTGCTGATTAATGCGATGGTAATAATTTTAAATGAATTACACAAAACAACTTTCAGAAGGGTTATTGGATTTTGTTGATTAAATTGATTCGAAATTTCCATTCATTATCTTCGAAATAATCGTCGTTCGGCGTGAATCACGTAGTTAAATATTGTGGAATTAAATAAAGATATTGAATTAATTGAAGATAATATCCGTTTGGTATCGAATATGACGTATTGATAAATTCATCCGTGAAATTGGAACAAAAGAAAAATCGACATCGAAGATAGAAAAAATTAACACGATCAAGAGAATCTCAATCGATCGAATTTCACTTCATTTCGGAGTCAGATCATTTATCTATGTCAACTGCTTATGAAGAATCGTATCATATATACCATTTCAAAAACTGAACGTATGATTATAAATTAAACGCACACGGAGTTAAGAAATTCGAGGTGTGGAAAAATTATTTTTCTATTTTGTAACTACCAATATATCGCAATATATCGAAAGAAACTCTGACAACTTCGATATCGAGCAATTTTCCACAAAGAGAAATTTGATGTACAAACGTGTAAATTATCGAAATGTTTTTCTTTTTTTTTTTTTTTTTTTTTTGCCGAGAAAAAGATTGGAATAATCGTTATTCGGAGAAAGTCCCGCTTTTCCTATCATCCCCGATTGAAATTGATATTCGAAGCATCACGATATATCCAAGATTCGAGATCTCACGAGGTCAAAGTCGCAAAGTGTGTCAAACTTCGCCTTTTACGGTACCTTCGGATTCGCCTTGCGATTAAGAATTCCGGATAAGATCTCGTCTAACATCTTTGTCCTGTCGTCGCGGAGACCACGCAGTGGTGGATCTCTTTGGGATAATTATGCATTTCAGACGCGGCTACCGCGGTGTGTACAACATTTAGAGAGTGGATAAAATTCAATTCTTGATCGCGAACGTGACTCGGCCTAAGTAGGCCAGGACCTGTACCTTTCAGCGCACAATGTTTTCTTTGATATGGCATCCCATTTATACCCCAGAAATACAACGACCGAGAGTGGATATAATTGATTGGCGAATATCTCGGATCAAATTATTGTTGGAGACGAGCGAGCGTGCGGAAACGTTTGTAGAAATTTACGGACAAAGTTTAATGTATATTTTTACGTCAGCTTTTACGAGTATCGATGAGATGCTGAGACCGTACATCATACGTATGCGTGTTTATCTTCGATTATTTTCTACATACAGTTATTTTCTATATACCTTTAAATACGATCGTCGAAAAGAGATAATGGATCCCCCCCGTCGAAGGAAATTAAGGAAATTATTGTTTCGAAAGATGCGAATGGAGGGAAATTTTTCTATTTTTTTTCTTTTTTTTTGTTTTGTTTTTTTGTTTCTAAAAAGAAAAAAACGTAACAGTTACGAGAACAAATATTTGACCGTGATCGTGACTTTGGTCAAGTAGGTTAAAACTTGCTTTTCTTTAAATGGATTTTACACCTTCGTGAATTTACAAAGAATACCGTCGGCATTACGAGTACTCCGTAACGATTAACAAATTTTTCTTAATTAACGTCATTATAGCGATTAATTGGTTGTGGCGTAACGATCGTCGAATAGAATGCTTCCATTACTTTGTGAAAATTATGATAAATTGGTGAAAGAAATAGTAACGAAATCGTTACGTAAAAAGTAAGCAGATTATCTTTAAGCAGATTGATTTAAAGAGGAGAAAAATCTTTAAAACTCGCTAATGGACATTATCCATCTAAATGAAATACTTTGCGCGTATCGAGGATTCCAAGAAGAGAAAAAAACATAAATCAGTGAGCGCAAAGACATAAAACGATTTATTATTTTTTTTCTCATCCTTCATTCCTTATCGTAAAACATTTTTAAGTGGCGTACTATACACCGCCATAAATTTTCGGTCGTTGCAATACCTAATTCCGAGTAAAAATCCAATCGAAGAGCATTTTTTAGGTCGTGACCCCATAACCATGGGAAGAGACACCCGCGAGAAGGAACGAGGAGAAACAATCGATGGTCATGACCCAGGACACGCTTGACAAAACTAGGTCAGAATTTAGTTACGTCTTTTCACGTTCGGCGCATCATTTTTCTTTACCGTTGCTCATACGAATTCACCAGGCTTGCACACGTGCGTACGACAACCTCTCTCTCTCTCTCTCTCTCCTTCCTCATCCCTCCTTTTCTTTATTCCGAATTTTTCTATAAAAGAAAAAAAAAAAACCATGGTGATTTCACTTTTTCCCCCAAACACGACTGCTCTTCTTAGAAACTCGGCTTAAGAAAAAAATATCACGAGTCGTTCCTTTCATCTTACATTCCCTTCATCTCTGGGAAAAACGTAAAACTTAATCGATTGTGATAAAGGATCAAGAGTCCTTGACTCGATTAATTACTCGCGAGATAAAATCTCGGTGTGGCGTAGCTACGAATGGTGGAGTACTATGTTGCTGACAAACGTGACGTCATTCCAGAGTCTGGTAAGGTCAGACCATGACCCTGTCCGATTCGAACGAAATCTGTTGATCGATCAGTGGCGTGCCAGGGCGCCGACGCGCCTCGTCCCTCGTCGTCGTCGCGCTCCTTCTAAGCCCGGATAAGATCCTTCTTGCAGCGTACCACTTTTCTTTACACTCTGTTTGCATGCTGAATCGTAATATCACGCGATACGTAAATTGCTGCTTTCGTTTTGGCAAATAGAACTCGGTGGGAAAAAAAAAAAAAAAAAAAAAAAAAGAAAAAAGAGGGAAGGAACGGGGAAAAGCTGGGGATAATCGGTATCGTCCACCGTTTCCGTATTCAATTACCGTATCTTTCCCTACGTGTCGTGTACATCGTGGAGGGATAGTGGTGGTTAGCAGGCAGAAAATTTGCACGTTTTTGCACGGGACGGATTGGTGGGTGAAGGCCGTCAATGGCCTCTTACCTGTTTATCCGCGCAGTTTCGTGACTTCATAAGGAAAAGGCGGAGGTAGCTGGTAGCTTTCTCCAAAGCCACTTAACCCGGTCCAGTAACATCCATCCATGAACCGTCACGCCTGTGACATTTTCGATCGCTTCGGAATCGGAAGTGTAAGCGCGGTAATCCCTTTTCAAACGATTACGTTTTCGTTCCCGAGCTAGAAATCGATGAAGATAAACACGTGATTTTAGAATCGGCGGCCGAGGCGTGGCAGGATACATAAAACAGGAATTACGAATCATTATTGTTTTCTCGAGAAGACACCACAATGTATTCCATGCGGTTTGTAACAGTTACATTCTTCTGTTACTGTTCCAATTAGGGGTTACACGGTGCAAGGGGCCCGAACACGTTGAAATCACTCACTTTTCCATGAAATTAAAACAAATTACTTTTTTCTTCTTCCTTTTTTTTTTTTTTATTATTATTTTACAACGGTACGCACGTTGTATGTGGAATAACGATAAAAATAATAGAAAATAACGAGATAAAGGGAAAAAACATGTGTGCATTTTATCTTTTTGAAACGGCATAATCGAAAATTAAAATTCGCATTCGCATGTTAGATATATCAAACAGCATTTATGAATTATTAGCGTCTCCAGTTTTTTTTTTTTTTTTTTTTTCATTCTTGTCATGCTAAAGTCAAGAATGTGATGCAAACATTTTGAGAAGAATTCGCTTTGAAATCGCATTAAGCAAGCATCATTAGCTGCTCAACTGACGAAAAACTGCATGAAATTTTTTTCAATTATTATCGGGATTGATTATAATAGTAACACGAGAAAGCAAGAAAAAGGATGATGTTAAATGGCGGAACATGAAGTTAAAGTTAACATACCGATGAAATGGCGTGAAAGGAGAGAGAGTTACATTCTCGATGACATCGTAGCACAATTGGGCGCGACAATCTGTTTGCCCCATTCAACCAAGTTTAAAAACCGCGATACTTTCTAGGCCAGGCTATTTATCGGCGAGAAAACGATTGTCGATTATGTCTTATTCACTTCTTTTCCTTTTTTTTTTTTTTTTTTTTTTTTTAATCCATACAAAAACGTCCAATTATCCCAATTATCAATTATAAAAATAAAAGCCTGATTACGTAGATTATAAAATTCTACATTGATAATTTCGATTTATCCAATTTTAATCTTTAAATTAATCAAAATTCATTATCTTTTATTGATTAGTGATTATTGAGGAAAAAAAAATTATATATATACATCGTAATATTTATGTCGTAAAATTACTACAATATTTCTGATCGAGATGTTAATCTTTCTATTATAAAATCGAAGATCCTACATAATCGAAAAATATATAAATCGATTATTGAATCGATTTTTCCAATAATTAATAACAACATAACTTGGTGATAACTTGGTGAAAATTCAAAATTAAAATATTTTCCAGGGAATTTTCTTCCGGATTATTCCCTTTTGATTAAATCTACAATTTCAATCAGAAGTATGTGGATCATACCCATTTCACGTGGTTATTTTCTACTATTTTCTTACGATTTATGAGAGCAATATCACGCGATAATAATATATAATGATATATTGAAAAGAGTTTTTATTCCGTTGAAAGAAGTTATCAAATTTCATAGGGGAATATTTTTAATATTCGATATCGAGACTTGTTGTAGAAAGTTTTAGAAAATCGTTCCGCTTCTTCGAACATTTTTATTAAAAAAAAAAAAAAAATCAAGCCAGCATCTCCAATCATTACTCCAATCATTAAGAAGATAAAGAAGATGTTCGACACGTGGTAGCTTCATCATTGCTATTTCGCGTCACGTTTTCTCTTCCCTCAAACACGTTTCACATCACCTGTTTAACTCGACGTGACACTTCATCAAACAAGCTATCCTATTGTCCTCTCAAATTTTGCATATATTCAACATAGTTATATAAAATCCTAGCCAGTGGAGGGAGGGGAGTAGGCGTTGTGTGTAGGTGAGGTTTGAACTCTCACTTGAGACTGGTTGATAAATATCAACACCCACGTTGATTGCTCGAGAGAGGACAAACAAAGTGGATGGACGAGGAATTGCATTCGACAAACAGGTAATCACTGAGCTCTTTCCCGATGAAGAACATCGATTTTTTTCTCTTTTTTAATACTCGATTGGTAAATACAGACACCGAGGGGGAAAAAAAAAAATGTGAAAGGGATAGTAAAATTGTAGTGAAAAATAATAGAGTGTGATAAAATATAACACGCACTACACAAATTGATCGAGTATTTACAAGCTCGGGGTTTTGTATTTTCGCAGCCCCAACTAATAACGTACATTAATAAATTATTTTTCGCATAAACGGCTGACTATACGCGCGTGTGTGTGTGTATTACGTTTAATGAACACACGTATGTATATTGCATACATATACATATACATATACATATACATATACATATATATATATATATACGTGTATGTATGAATTTTTATATAAATTAAATTAAATAATGTGTCCATTTTTTTCTTTCTCATTGAATTCATGGATATTTTTATTACGTCGTTTGTTTAATTATAACGCGTATTACGAATTATAATAACGCATATACGCATTCAACTTGAAAACTTTAGAGATAATGAACACATTTTTATTCGAGATTTAATGGATCGAATCAAATGATCATTGAACGATACTTTGATAAATTACTTTGATAAGTTTTGAAATTTGCTACAAGTCGAGTTCAATATATCAATAAATATATCAAAATAAAATTAAGTTCATATAAAACGATTAATAATCTTTGTGTAATTCGATCAAGTTTCATATCATGAGCAATGATTACAGAATAACATATTGCTATTAATCTCTCGTATGCACTTTAATATTTTTCTAACAGATCTAATGATCTTTCTGACGCTTTGCGCTTTTATACAATACATTTATTCTAATTGTTACAGATTAAGCATATTGCTTAATAATGTAACATTACAGAATAACAACAATATCGTGGATTAAATCGCTATTTTTTGACACTTTAAGTATTGGAAGACGTAAAAATGATCAAAAATCTGTTAAATGTATTTCTTTCGTCTATCCCTTAAAATTCGTATTTATTTTATCTCATTAACGAATCTGTTAATGAATATCTTACAAGGAATATAATTAAAATGATATTTAATTGCGTCTAATTTTGCAAAAATTCTCAATCGTAATGAGAATATTGCAAAAATTTCTTTCTTATCATCAGTCGATCAGAATGAGATTCATCCTGGTGATTTTTATTATTAAATATAACGATATAATAACGAGAATCAAAAATAAAATAATCCAAAAGTATTGATATAATTTTATCGATAACACGTAATTATATAATATTTGTTGATATCGTAGAACGCTATTTTGTCGATCGAGATTGTTCGAGATTTAATTGTATAATGAGAGATGGCGTTACTTGTTCACTTTGCGTGCATAATCTCTTGCATTTGAAATTATGTAGCACATATACACAGTAGTAAACCATTGATACGATCGACTCCAAAATCCATTACTCCATTAGTAATGATATCGCGTAATACAAAACGTATGTCTTATCATTTGATTTCGTGTTTGATAAAATTTTATGGAAAATATATTACAGGCGAGTACGTATAACGCCTCGTATCTTTCTCGTCCCTCTTTTTCTCTTAATATCCATTACATGCAAAGTTTTCCTTAAGAAAAACTAAAATTTGCATGCAATTTGTATAAAATATATTATGTACATGCGTAAACTTTTCTCACTATATTCAACCTATATTTTTCTTTCGAAATTCTATTAGAATCGAATTCTAATTCGTGTCCCCTCGCGCAGTTTTCACCGAGCATCAATTTCAAAAGGGATAGAACTTCAACTCAGAATTGAAGAATTTGATTTATCCACTCTCGAAACTCGGAGATACGCGTATAAACTCCTGGTTGGTTGGGCACGGCACATCCAATTCCCCAGCTGATAACTCCGGCAAGGATCCATCGTTTATCGCGTGCTCTTCGAATTACCATTGGTCCTCCACTATCACCCTGTGAGAAGTATAAATTCTAGTTTCCATATATTCTTCAAAATTCATTAGATGAATGAAATTATATTACTTCCGTTTTCCCCCTTCTATAAATGTATCGAGGAAGAAGAGGAAAAATTTAATTTACCTCGCACGAATCAAATCCTCCATTTTTCCAACCGGCACAAATGAATATGTGTGGAATATGCTCGATGTATCCAGCGTTTCTGTACATAACTTCGCACATTGTATTATTGATCACTGGCACCGCCACTTCTTGCAGAGTAGATGGCAATGGGCCCTCTGAGAATTAAGATTCGATCAATATATCGTTTAAATTAAATCGTGGAATTGAATTTGTTAAAAGAATGATGTAATGATACCGTCATAAAGTCGACCCCAGCCAGTGACGTAAGCAGTACGACCAACGTAAGTTTCGTCATCATCGGGTAAACAAATAGGAAGAACGTTCGGTTGAAATGGTAATAGAGGTTCGTAGAATCTCAACAACGCAAGATCGTATTCGAAGGTGCGAGGATCGAATTGCGGATGGCTGGCCACGATTTGAACTCTTCTTTCTTGATACCCATAAGGCTCGTCTTCGTTTGCAAGATCGTGTTCGCCGATCCTTAGCAATAAATCGCTAGGTGGTACGCTGCCAAGTTAGGAAGAGGTATAAATTAAAATAAAAATTTAATTTTTTAACCTGTATAATAATAATCTTTGTAATGTGTGTATCGATTACTGTTTCAAGATTAAATGCACGATAAAGGAAATAAAATTTATTGGAAATAATCCGATGAAAAATATGATACCAACTTTTCGACGCAATGGGCTGCAGTTATGGCCCAATTTTCGTTGAGCAAAGCTGCACCGCATTTGTGCAGATACGTCGATGTTCTCCATTGTCGTAACGAGATCTGAAAAGAAAACATTGATCTTGTTTAACAAAGAATGACGTTTAACGTTATTCTGTGTATCAATTACGCGGATACTCCTCGAGAGGCGGAAAATCATGAATTACGTACAGAGAATACGATCGTTCTTATATATATATATATATATATGCAACTCGATTTAGTAAAAGCACGAGAACACCGTAGAATTAAATGAGAAATAATTCGAGATTTCTATTTTAAATTTTATAATTAATAAGCGAAAAAAATTAACAAAAGTTTATAAAAAGTTTGTCATACTTACTTGCCAAGGCCATTTTCCGAATGAGCTACGAATACCACCGACAATTCGCGATTCCGGAAACATTCTTCTTCCGCACACTGCAAGAACAAGCATCGTCGAATTTAATCCCTTCAACAAATTCATGAATCTCAATGACACAGCCATGTTGGGGAACGAGTCTTCTATATTCGTCCGACTGGATGAACCGGTATCATCCCTTTCCGTTTTTTTCTCTTCATGGCTCTAATTATGCATACGATTCTCGTTCGCGTTCAACAAGTGAAACAGATCATCGCACTTTGCGACAAGTTATTCACGTACCGATGAGATCATGAATGAAAACGACTCGTCGATGCTATTGCAACGCTATTCGCTTCGCTTTTATGTAATCAATGCTCGTCTATTTTTTTTTTTTTATTACTTTTTTTTTCAAAAAAACACGTATTTTTTCCCGGTTTATTCAGGTTTCTATATTATCGACCATGGATTCCCGCTTTATTGCAATACCGTGATAAGCAAGATTTTAAACGATTACCAATTCGAATGATTTATAATCGTGAAAGGATCGAAATTATCTCGATTGAAAAATATTCGTAAAAAGAATTACGTTAAAAAGAAATTAATTTAATATTGATTTATTGATTTATACCTTGCTTATAATCCGACATGTTGAGGGTTTCCATCGGTACCGGAAGTTCGGTATCTATCGTCACGCTTGCAATTGTAGATAAGGTTGTTAAGATAGTAGGTGTTTTTGTCACCTGCTCCGTATCAGCTTCTGTCGGTGATTTAACTAAATAATCGTGGATTAAAGGAGAGTATTAAAAAAGATGTAATTCCCAAAAATATTAAATCGTCATCGTACCAGAAGTCATGATGGATTGTATCGTGGATTCGAGAATAGGCTTATCGGTCGTTTCTTCTACCGTTTGCGGTTTTTTGGTGGTGGGCGATTGAATCATAATCCAACCATCTGGAGTAGTTATCGGAGTCCAATCGCTTTCGGTTTGATCTGCAAAATCATTGAAAATATTTTATCGATATCGATAAACGGAGAGAGAGAGAGAGAGAGAGAGAGATAAAGGAATTATACGAATTATACGAATTAATTATACGAATCGAAGGATTTTCTTTTTTCACCACGTAACGAATAAAATAATTGAAAGTACGCTCGTGAAAACTGGAACAAAGTGCAGTTATTGGAAAATAATTTGACTCGTTTAAATTACAACGGAGAGAGGGAAAAAGAGAGAGAAGACGAGAAATGGATGCTGTTCACGAAGTATTCGAGAGGAAAGATTACGGTGGACGGTTTAAACCGTTACAGCATACCGACGCAATAGAATTTCATCTCCTATCGATGCACGAAGAATACGACCTTTCATTCTTTTAATAAAGTGCCAGTTTCTAGACACGATTAACGCGACTCTCGTATATATAGAGAAATTTCATTTTACGCGTTTGTTTCACGTGCGTTTGAAATGCAGTTATTCGCGGCAACATGAAGCAACACGTCAAGATTTTAACATTAACCATGGTTAACATAAATCCAATAATATAGCAGAAGTATTATACACAGAAATTATTCGTTCAATGTTGAATTACAACATGTGTTTATTTTATTATATCTTTATACGATTTAACATAGGTAGATTTTATTTCACGATCGAATTATCTTTCCAAAAAAAATATTCGAATCGAATCTCTAATCGACGTATAACGTATTATCATTATTATAATTCAGAAATATCGTATAGATTGCAGATATTTGTTTTAAATCGCATATTCGATAACGCGATAGAATGAAATAATTAAAAATTATTGTTGAATAAAGCGCAGACGATTCCGGGGATAATCTATCAAATTCACTAAGCTTTCGTGATTCTCTCGATAATAGTTAATGCAAGAGGCGTACACCTCGACGTGAATTGCCATCGAGATGATTTCCTATTGACGACAAGACCGTCACGTTACACAATGGATATCCGTTTTCTTCGATTTCACCTAGCCAACGGGTAAACTTTTCGTTCGGCATGCGAATGAAAAATGCAAATATTCTCCGTGTATAAATTAATCACGCGTTATTACATTACACGCGTTGATTATTTACGAATTATAAAATTATAAAATTTCAATTATATCTAATTACATCGTGTATATTATCGAATTTATGACTCGAATTATACGTCCAACTTATCCCATACATTGGACACAATTCAGTTTGCTCCGTCATTTAAAAAAAATTATTAATAAATTATCGATAAACTCACCAATTTGTGGCGTGGTTGCCGAAAATATATCTGGAATCTTTGTAGTCGTGTCGTCCGAGCTCGACGTCCATGTGACGAGTCCGGGCGAATAGGTGGTGTGAAACGTTTCCTCCAAGGTTTGGTTAACGATAGGCGGCTTCGTCGAAGGCACGTATGACGACGTTGCGTCGGTGGTCGTGTCGGTAGAAAACGAAGACGTGAAACTTACGGTATCCGTTACGGTGGAACCAAGAAGCACAGTCGGGGATGTCGTGGTCGAGGAAGGCTCGGTTGTGGGCTTGGTGAACGGTTTCGTGGGTTTTGACTCTACCGTCGGCCTAGGTTTCGTAATGGCAGAAGTGGCGAGGACAGACGACAAAGGTCCCGTTTTCTCGGTGGTCGTCGTCGCGTGTACCGGCTTGGATACCGGATTCGAGGTAGACGCGGGGATCTTGGTTGGTTTCGGCCTCGCAATCGTCGTCAATGGCTTCGAAGTGGTCGGTTTGACCGTGGTGGGTTTGACTTTTTGCGTGGGCCTCGTTGTCGCGATGGTGGTGAATTTTTGAACGGTCACGGCTTCCGTGCCAGATGTTGTAGAAGGAGTTGCTTCCGTCGAAAGAGAAACGGCCTCGGTGATCGTGGCCAAGGTTGGCCGATGCTTGATGGACGTCAGAAGAGGTTTGGTCGTTGCGGGGGTTGAAGTAGAATTTACGAATGGTTTTGGAGAAGTGGAAGGTCTCTTCGTATGCGTGCTCGGTTTCTTCGTGCTAATCGTCGGTCTCTTCGTACTGGTGCCAGTCACTGGTTTCTTAGTGGTGGTAATAGGTTTTCTAGTTGTGGCGTGAGTAATCGGTCTCGCGGTTGTCGAATTTCGCGGTGGGAACCTCGTGAACGGAACTATTCTCTGAGTAGTGGTGGCTACGATTTTCGACGTTGTCGATTCGGTCGTTCGTTCGGTCGTAGACGGTGGAAAGGGTTTAGATGTGGTTGCATTCGTCGGCCTATGAACGGTAGTCGAGTGTATTGGTTTATAAGACGTGGACGAATTAATCGGCTTTTTAGTAACGGGTTTAATCGTTTGAGTGAACGTTTGCATCAGGGTGGACGGCGCCTTTGTCACGACCTCCAATGTCGTTGGATAACTTTGAGTTATCGACGAGGTCAATGCTGATTTGCTCGTGGTAGTCGTCGCTATTTCCATGATCGTGCTCGAAGGTTTTTGCGCCATTGGTACTGTACTGCTCGTGATTCTCGGCGGACTTTTTGTGCTCGATGAATCTCCCTTCGATGAGTTTTGCACGGTTTGAAAGGTCGACAACCGAACCGGTTTCGTAGTCGTTTCGATGCTCGTCATTACTGGCTTTTTAGTTACGAGTTTTGTCGTTTCTTTTACAATGGTTGATTGCGTGCCAACACTTTGTGTAGTGGTAATTGTCTCCTAAATAGAGTTGATAGAAAAAAAAAAAACCATGAAATTATTTTATCGAACGATTACATATTCGTTGCTGCAAAATACTTTGTTATAGCTCGATGATTCAATATCAACTTTGAAACAAGAAATCCCCAAAAATATATTTGAATCGAACTGGTCTCACCTCGGTCGAATACGTTCCAGGTGGTTTCTTCTCGTTGATCGGTTTCGGCCTTGAAAAGTACTCGGGTATATCGTTGCTCTCGATAGATCCATAGGTCGTGACGAACGGCCTAGCCGGTGGTCCATCGTCGATACTGTTATCCTGAGGGAATATTTCAGGTTCTTCGTCTATCTTGCAACAACTGCCGAAATAGAAACGATCGATGCAGGTTCCTAGATGGGTGCCATTCGCTTTCGCGCACGTGAACGCAAACATGCAAACGCCAGTCTCGCCGGTTCTTCTAGACACGCATGGCAAATGCCTGATATTCCTTCCTATACCTGTGGATATAATAAAGAAATTCTTCAAATGAATCGCTCGACATTGTGTGTTTTCATCGCTTCGAAGATCCTGAGATTCGTTTAAAATTTTAGATGAAAGGTTAGTTCCACTCGAGCTTTTTTCTTTTTTTTTTCCGTTTCGAGAAGGAGAGAAGAAGATCAAGAAGACGTTCTTCTCTCGATCTCTAATCAAGTTAATCATCCTTTCATTCGGTAACTGTGCGTTCGATACTCCGCGTTCTACATTCTTACATCACGCGATCCTTCGAACCAGCCATCATCATCCATTCGTAATTCCGCATAATCCGCCCTATTGTATGCGCCCATGCTCTCCGTGTTCCCGGATAATGAACGACACCGAGAATTTAATATGATCGATTAATATGATCGCGTCGAAAGAAGCTGTAAATCGCACGGCGGAAACACGTGTGCCGTTTCTGCTATTTAATTGCAACAATCCATTATGGAGCGATTATTGCTCCGGAACAGTGGGCGCAATTACTTTAATAGAATTCGTGTAGTTGAAGTTGAGGAGGCGAAATGAACTCGGCGAAGAAAAGAATTCCAGAAATATTGTGGATGGATATATAACCGAATATTTTTAATATGATTTATCGAACTTTGTACAAATGACTTAACAAGATGACTTAACAAGAAGAGATTCAAGAAGAGAAATATTTAATGCGTAAATTTTTATCAATCTCGATTGTAATCTGTCGTCTGTATCGATGACTGTTTGTTAATTTCCAATCCTATTATGGAACGGCGATTATATTATATATATATATGTCTATAGTATACTCATAACGTAGCGGGCGTTATCGAAGAACGAATTGATGTCAGGTAAAGCAAAGCATCTTGGTACCGTTACATTTCGATGTATGAGCTAGTTGCCCGACCCAAAAGTCGGTCACAGTCATAGCCTAATGTAACAGCCCGTTTTCCTCTAAGACACCTCACAGTCTCGGCTTCTCCGTCTCGTCCATTCTCCTGCTAACTATCTAGCAAAACCCTTGCTCACGAACATTCCAACATTCTTTCTTACTCGATTAAATCGTGATTGAATCGATTAAATTGTGATCGAATCGGTGATTGAATCGAGCCACTGGAACAGATACACTCGTCCCTTATTGCCGATTATTGAAAAACAATCGATCTAGTTCTTTTTTTAAAAGAGAAGGATCGATAGAAATTGGTTTAAAATTTCCGAGCTGGCCAAACGAGACGAGATTGTTAACCGATCGACAATGCGGTTCTCTCATGATATTTACTTTCTTCTTGGCATTCGAGGTTGATGGCCGTAGCGAGTGAAAATCGACCGTAAAATTATATACAAAGTCTTGAGCCAATCCTTTCGGGTCAGTCGGCCAGTTCCCTTGTCCAAGTCGTTCTACGCGTTTCGTGTCCTTCCGTATAGAAAATGTATGCTACCGGAAGTGTCGTTTGAGTCACATGAATCGAAAGAAAGAAAGTAACCGATTTCGTTACGTACTTGTTGGAATTTCGAGTGGTGGACATATCGAGCATACTCGTATCGGCATACGTGTACTATCTACGTGGTGTACGTATCGCCGTTCGAAAGGATTTCACTCACTGGTAATTAAATATTCCGTCGTGTATGTCGAAGATGAATCGAACGAGAAACACCCGCATTTGAAACACTTTATTAAGCGAAACGCATACTTTCCACCTTGCGAAAATTGGGAGGAAAAAGGGACGAGTGAAAATAATTTTACCCGGCAAAAGTAAAGCAACCTGTTGCCTGTCGCCATTTCTACGTCTGGAATCGGATTTTCGGATAAACGATTTCACCTCGAGACCTCGGGCTCGGGACTGGCTTGAATGAAGCGGTTCGAATACCGATGAGAACGAAGATGACGAGATCGGAAAAATCAGTGTAAGTCGTGTGCACGCCGATGACCGGGACTGACCCACTTGTATAGAAAACTGACCAGTCCGCCCACGTTCCGTACGAGCTCGAATCCAAGGTAGGTTCAATGTCGTCCTGCGACTCGGACAGGTAGACGGACGTGTACGTGTATACGCACAGCCCGTGTCCAATTCTCCTGTGCTCGTGTCTTTCGTATACGCCAGTTGGAAATATACGTGCACGCACACGGGTTTAACCCTGCCCATCCCAAGTATTTGCGTACCGATCCGTTATTCAGCTGACACTCGAGGGAAATCCAAGGATCCCGGAAAAAGAAGAAGCAGCAAAATGTGCACGCGGAAGGAGGGGGGCAGGGGAGGGGGATTTTGCGTTCGAATCATGCTCGCGTGATCTCAATTAAGGATTTTATAGAACGAATAATAATACGTACACGCGTTAAGAATAATAATAATTTTTGTCGGATTCGATGTTTTTTTTTTTTCTTCTTTTTTCCTTTTAAAAGGAACGTACAGTTTTACGCGTGTGTTTTAAATGTGTGTTCCTCGACGCGAGTTTCACTTCGTTATACCATATACCATCGCGAAATATATTTTCAATTTTGACGGTGACAATAATCGAGAGACGACGACTTACTTCCTGGAATAAATTGTGGGACGTAGATCGGGGAAGCGATCACGGTATTCAACAGGACGTTCCCTAGGAAGACGACGATCCAGCTTTTTCTTTCTCGATCCCACATCTGGAAGAAAAAAAAAAAAAAGAAGAAGAAGAAGAAGAAGAAGAAGAAGAAGAACAGGCGAAACAAAAATGAATTTCAGATTTGCTCGTATTTAACGTTAGCACGCTCGTGCCATGCAAGAATGCCATTCATTTCATGATATATACATGAGAAAATTCTCATGAAATGAAATTAAAAATCCCGTTCCCAACTGATCGTTCCAACTTTTTAATATTTCCCCGCTGTGGAACAAATGCATTATTTCTTTCTTCTTTTATGATACGGACTCTTAATCTCAACTAAATTCATAATATACCGTGAATAAAAAAAAAAAAAATCGTAATAATTATCAAAAATTATATTGCACGTATAAATAAGATATAAATCAATGTTCAACTTCGAGTAACGTAAGCACGCGAGTTAGGATAAATTATTACACGTTGCGAAAAATTATTAGAAAGATAATGGAAATGTTAAGAGTCAATAAATAATAATGGCGAGAATGGAAAAGTGAACGACCTTTTGGCAATGAGAGTAGACGTTCGATTTCAGCAATCATATAGGAATACAATCATACGAAAGGAACAATAAGGCGGAGAAACAAATCTAATTAATTTTCACCGCGATGATTTCAACTACTTTCCAAGTATAATACCCTTTCCTTTTGTGTCCCGTCTCGACGGTGTGCCGTTGATGTCGATGTATTTGCGAGGCTGACACGATTTCAAATCGAAAACGATTATTCGTCGTGCAAGGATGAAATTACAGTTATGTTGAAGAAACAAGAATTCGGGTATAACGTTAAATCTTATCCACGGTTGAATCACCGGATTGCGTTAGAGTCGGATCGGTTCAAAAGAACAACCTCTGCGCGTCCTCTTTTCTTTCGCCTCTTGCTCGATCCTCATAATTTCCGGTTAAGATATATCAAACAAACGAGAAGATAGATAAAATGTATCGAATTGAGAAAATGGTGTGAAAAATAATGAAAAACGTTTGCTTAGAAACGACTTTTTTTAACTTCGTTTTAACATTCAAATAGGTACGCGATTCTCGTTTTCTTTTCAACTTGAAGAAATGCAGTGATCTCATCCAATGTGCACTCGCTCCTCCTCTTTGAAGAGGAAGTGATAAAAACCGTTACAGTTACCCAGAGGCAGGAATTCGGGTGGATGAAGCAACAAACGTCGAGTTGTGTTGGCTTGTCGATGGTCAGGTTACTGGTTTCCTGCTTCTGATTAGTTAGGCGACAGTTATCTTCCTCGTCTCGATTTGGAACAGATTATTTTTTTTTTTTTTCCCCCTTTATTTTTCTCTTTCGAGAACTAGCGCGCACTTTCTTTTTTCTTTTTCTTTTTCTTTTTTTTTTTTTTTCTTTAGAAAATCGTACAAGTTGAACACGATCGAACGTTTCTTTTTAACGAAATTACTTCCTTCGAACGAAGTTGCGAGTAACCATTGAGATTATCTCTTATTACCGTTGAGTTATCCTCTCCAAGTATTAATCCTTAAGTTACGCGATTTGCGATCAGAAATTCTCGCTTCGTCCCTCGTTCGTAACTCGTTGCGTATAATCAAATAATTTAATTCATCTTTGAGGATATCTGCTCCGTGATTAATTTGCAAAACATCCATTTGATTTCAGTCTCGTATCGGAAATTATTATTATTATTATTTTTTCGTAACTAGAAGACTCGAAGCCGAAAGCGGGATACATTGCTCACACGTGTACAAACGTGTACGTGTATAAAAAGCTTTTGTTGTAGCCTAGTGCGTATGTTGTAACGGTACAAGCCACTTTCATTTGTACGCACGTATCTAATACGAGGCGCACATGTGGGTTGGCGCCGAAGTACGGTTCAGTAGAATAAAAAAGTCATTTGGGAACGAAAAGATAGTATTAAGCAGAATTCGTTAAAAGTTAGTACGATGGTAAATACTTTGATTGGTAATTGGTGATGGATAGAGATAATTTCCGCAAGGATATGTGGAAATTAAATATTTCAATATTTTTAAAGAGAGAAACGTTGTGATCAATTAGAAAATTTATCAATGATAAATTAAAAATTTTTATTTCGATATCATCGTAACAATAATTTTCATCGAAATGAGACAAGTATTTTATATTAATTTTATATCTTACGCGATTTAATCGTGAATGCGGCATCTAATGGAAAACACGATTATATACTTTGGCATGAATTTTATCGACTTTTTTCCTTTCTTTTTTATTATTATTATTTTCATTTGCTCGTGAATCATATATTATCGAATGAACGATATTATCGAAAGAACGAGACACCGTTCTTCTCTTAAAATCGCGTTTGTTTGTGAAAGTTTGAAGAATTCTGCTCGAAGCAACGAATGGTACCGCTATTCGTGAACGACATACGGTTCATATTGGCAAATTTGCGACGATGGGTTTTTTTAATCAATTTCGAACAATATACAAAATATTTTTAAACCAATCGTGCGATAAATTATATGAGAGAATTTTTTTTTTAACATTCGCGCGAATATTAGTCATAACATCAAATCGACACTGTAATCTACACAGAAAATTAATTATCCATCCTTTCCTCGATCAAAATGTAAAATATTCGTTTCGTATCGCGATCTCTTCCTCTCTCGTATCACGATTTTTATTAAGATTAAGACAAGCTTGATAAACTTACCTTTCTTAATAACCGGCGAGCGACTGCAACGATGAACGCTATTCCGTTGTCAAACTTCGAAGGACATCGTTCCCCCCCCTCGACGAACTTAGAATTCTCGCCCTCCTGAAACGTATTTACGTAGCTGGTTGATCTTGGCACACGGGATAAAAATCACCTGGAGCCCCGTCGTCGAAGTGGAGTTTCGCGCGCGGAACAATCGACTCCTCATCGAACGAAACCTCGATCCGCGACCTCGAAATGGACCACCTTTTTTTTCCCTTCGATATCTTCTCAAACTCACGGTTGGACGATTGTGGCGGGTCGCAAGGCCGCAAGGGTTGAGAAGACTCTCGTGGAAAAGGAAGACGAAGAAATTTTGACCTGTTAGCCAGCACCGATCGAACTGGTTTGTCGGTGATCTTAGCGTAGTTCACGACTTCTGGATCACCGATCCAGGTGCTCTCGGGTGCGCTCCGCATGCACGAATCCCAGCACGGCGCATCGTTGTCCGTGAAGGCCCCACCATGACCGATAGAACGAAGCCAAGCTAAACTACAGGACAATTCCGCACGGTAGACCGTGGCAGGGTCGAGGATATCCCACTTCCCGGGGACTTTAGCACTGGCTCGAGGTGAGGTGGTGGCAATGACCGTTCTCCTCCGTTGCTTCTCTCCTTCTGAACCGCCGATCATCCTTCTTTCTCTTTCACCAACAGCCACCTTCGTGCCTCTTCTTCTCGAGGGCCTGTTGGTTGACGCTCTTCTGGCCTTTCAACGTCCCCACTTCGACCTGGTTGTCGTCGCAGGTCGCTTTATAGCCGAGGGAAAGAATTGTAGTCACTTCTTTGCGCGCTACCTGTGCTGCTCCTTTTTCTTACCCTATTTAATTCATCTTTTCCTATTTTAATCTCAAATCTCTTTTTTTTTTCCTCCACAATAACTTTGCAATTTTGCAGTTATCCTTTCGAGACGAGAAATTATGTAGTTCTTCGATCGAAGATACGTTGTTCCCATTCGAATAATATTAATTTTTTAACGATCAAAGCGGCGAAGAGAGATAGATAGACAGTAAAAAATATTATATCCGTATACAAATATTTTTTTTATTATAAATTAATCGAGAAGAGTTGTTACTTATTGTTATCCTTAGAAGTTATCTTTAGAAGGTAAGTCTTTCACCTGTTGGATCGACCGCCTTGCCAAATGACAGTGATTTCAGCGCCCTCGTAATTATAAATTGTTAATTAAAACAATTTTTTGATAATCTTATTTCATAATTTGTTTGTTTCGTTCGATGCCATAAGTACACGGAAATAGTAATCAATGGAAAATATAACAGAAGGGGATGCAAAATTATAATCATATATATATATATATAAATCAGTCGACCGATAAAACCCACTGACAAATGTAAGATATGAAAATTACATGAAACAGATATGGATCGTCGGCATACTTAAAATTTATCTTTTAATAATCCTTTGACAAACGTGCTAACTCTGAAAAATCAAAGAAACGTACAACGTTTTCATACGTGTATGATTACGAATATCGAAAATACGAGGAATCCGAATAATCGCGAATTATAAAATAGAAAAAAGAAAAAAAATGTTGTCGTATAATATTCGAACGAGCATATTAATCTATTGAGAGGCACTGTAACCCTCGCGAAACACAGTTAAGATCGACAAATAGGAACATATGTTCCTATTCGAATTAAGAGAACAGTTATCGAAATGACATTTATTCTTTGGTTGTACAGGAATTATTCACGATTATTTATAAAAGAATTTTATTGTATCGATCGAGCGAAATTCACGCTCTAAAATCCAATATTACGAAAACAATATCGAATCGCGAACATGACAAATAATTTCAACAATTAAAATGATTTCGTATAGAAATCGAGGTAAAGATTCGTGGCTCGATAAATAAATAATTTCGAGCAATTTTTATGTATTAATGAATAGGATACCTTTTTATTAATAGAATTTTCATCCCATTATAGATTTATTTTTTTTCTTTTTCTTTTCATTTAATTGATACGTTCATCAGGATTCGATAAATATATATGTTATAAATATGCTAAACGAGACGTATTTTATTCCGATATTACATCGATCTATTTTCGTGTGTATCGAAGTTCCTAACTTTTGAAAATCCCTGAGTTTATTTAACGATCTTAAGATTGGCAAATATATCAATTAGATATGCTTTTTAAAGTTTCAAGGGTGGATATATTTCGAATATATTATTCGTGACGATGAGCGGGATCACGATTCATTTTAAATTTAAAATTAATTGAGAAACGCGGATTGATTCCGCGTGGAACTTAAATGGATAAATTCGTATGAAACTTGATAGGAGAAATAATAACGTTAACGGGTCGATCCTATAAAGTGATTGTCGTGGTTTTTATTTTATAAAAGAATACGAAATTCGTTATATTTGCAATTTTTATCAAAAGAAAACAAAGGTAATATTCCCCTTTTACTTACTACACTATATATCTTGGCTTGGTTGAAACGTTTCATAAAATCCATGTGGCATGACTATATTACAATCTGATTACATTTTTGCAGAGCGTGCTTTTATTACTCGCAAAGAAGGGAACTGCTAGGAAAGAATGTTTATCGTAAAATAAGAGAAAGATTCGATGTAGTCGTCGCTTTTAAAAACTCATTCCTTTTTTCATCAAATTTTTATCGAGATATACGTTCAAAATATTTCTTTGTGGCGTGTACATTTTTGTAACACGCCAAAAATAATTCGGATCGATTTTCATTGACCGAATCAAATTTGAACAAATTTCAAACGAACGATCGATAATGAGATCGAGCATCCTCTAATCGATCCTTTAAATCTAATTGCTAATTGCTAATTATAATATGTAAAGTGTAAAAAAAAGAAAGAAAAAAAAAAGATCGAAAGGATCGACGCAAGGATAGTAGAGAAAGAAGACTGGTGGGGTTGAACCTCGTGGATTGGCTGCGCGATACACGATTTGTTGCCGAGGGGATGCGCCAGAGGGTATGTCCCCAGGTATATATACTCTTGTCCTGTGGCACGAGCGGCCGATTCGATTTCAACTCTTGAATATTTCGAAAGGATACACACAGGAATCTTTTCTCGTCACGACAGATTGATATCTCGACTAGTGAGTATGCATTGCGAATATATAATCCTTTTGTTGTAAAAAAAACTCGAAAGAATTCAGGATTATGTGTCTCGTTTTATCTTAGTTAATAATAATTATTCTCATCAAAGTGGTGATAATTTGAGAAAAAACATATTTAAAGTTATTTTCAATATGTAGTATTGTATTAATTCGGATTACTTCGAAATTAAAAGCTAATATACGTTTCAAATTCATTTTTTTTACATCATTCATTTATTTCGTGCATATCTGTGAACACAAGAAAATACAATTTTTAATCAAATAAATATAATTTTTAATCTTCGATTGTACAATTTTGATAATTGAAACGTATCGTCATAACGATAACCTAACATTTTATCGCGTAAAGTGTTTTTATTTTTTTATAATAACGAATTTAAAAAATATCATGATTAAAAATAAAAAATATAACAGTGAATTTCAAGAATTAATTCATTATCATCGAAAACAAAATACGTTAAAAAATTATATTTTATAATCAATCTGATAAATCGTTGTTTTTTTATTTTTTTTCGTCGCACGACATCGCAATCAGTTTTACATATTCAATAAGTACATATTAACTCGTCGATTCTCGACATTTCTCTTTCCATGAATATGAATTTTATTTTTTAATCACGATGCAAATGTCGATAGATAGTTGAATTATCGTGCGTAGTTACCATCCTTCTCAATTTTCGAGTTAACTTTTTCTTCGATTAAGTCGATCTTCACATTTATAATACCGACAATATAAAAGCAGCATAAAAAGTTAATATATTTGTAAAAAGACGTAATATACAGCGCATGAAATCCTGTCAGGATATTCGTTCTCCTCTACAAGCAGCTTTGTTGCTGGATTATCAAGCTTACGAGGATATATTTTATATAGTAGTTTGCACCAAACGATATATATTCTTTTAGTCTTTCTCTATAAAAGTTCTCTATAAAACGAGAAGATAGGCTATTCGAATTTTTATGAATACTGTTCCATATTATTATATTAAACAAATCGGTAATCAATCTCATATTGAGAATATATACATATTTTTAATGAGCTATCGTTAAAAATCATCTAATCATTTCTATGAAATCAATGAATTTTTTTATCGAAATCAAATACATTTTTTATGAAATTTTAATAAAATTTTCGGAAATTATTACCAATTTATTGCCTGAATTTTCGAATAACGATCCACAGATCAAGTACATTTCCATATCCAATTTTAAACCATTAATTGCTCCCCGCGGAAAACATTCGATTATCGATGGAGTGATATCAAACGAGCAACAGGTAACTCGAGTTTAAGTTCAATTTCTATTCGCACTTAATATCTTGCATCATATAACGCGGAGTTATATTCAAATCGTTTTCAAAATCTAATTTAATCGCAACTTATATTACGTTACCACGTGATTTTTATGATTTTAAATATACGAATATGTCAAATAAGTATATTTTTAAAACTTTAATAACGCGATTTAAATATATCAAATAATGTGCGATAGAGAAATATATTTGAGCATAATGTATATAGTTATAACGAATATGATTAGCATATTTCTATGGGTATATTGAAACACGTGTGAAACAATTTAAATATTTTGAAATTAATCAATTCGTACAACTCTTTTCAAAATTGTTCAGATATTTATATTATGATAATAAAATATTCAGTGGAATATTGAAAAAAATGAAAATAAAAAGTCATATTTGTTAAACCAAATGTAATTAATTTAAGAAACAGAAAAATTTAAACAGGTGGATAATGGATAACGTATAAATTTGTATTGATTTATAATTTGCACGTTTTATTATGTAAATCGAATATATCGAAATTTGTGTAACGAAATCGCACTTTTTCAGGAAAATTTCGAAATTTATTTTTTCCAACAAATATCCGATGACTTCTAAAACGATGATGCAACCGTGTTCCAATACCATCTACTTGTATCTTGTCCTCTTTATTTTTGGAATTATAATTGTTCACGGTGAACCGGAACCGATGGCCAGACCAACACGACCAGAAATATTTACAAGTCCGGAAGAATTAAGAAAATACATCGATCATGTTAGTGATTATTATTTGCTTAGTGGAAAGGCAAGGTAATAATGTATTTACGTTATCTAGTATTTCGTAATATATATTATAGATTTTTCGATTGATAATTGATTTTTAGCAAATATATATATATAGATTTGATAGAAAAATTTCATATAAAATATTTCAGAAAACGAAACTTCAAACAGATTTAAATAAAAATTTAAAAATATAAATTTTCTAGAAGATTAATTTGAATATAAGTATATTTGTATGCGATATAATTGAATAATTATAATGTTATGATATGCCTGATATTTGAATAGATATGGAAAAAGAGGAAATGTTCTATACTCTGTGCCAGATGTTAATTATCCTTGGGATACGATGAAAACAGTGGTGGAGAATTCTCAACGATCGCAGCAATTAAAGTTGGAGAAAAGGAAACAAAAAGATAGTCAACTTTTGGGTGAGCACGAAACCTATGGCGCTAAAAAGGAAACATCACGAATCGATACTCGACCTTGTCACGTGTTAGACTCAATTGAAAGATACTATGACGATGTGCAATAAAATAATTTGCATATCTTGCCTTGTCTATAACGTATGCATCTCGTTGTTGTTTGATTCTTTGTCACATGTTTCATTTTAATTGCTTATCAACTTTAATACTTTTCTTTGTAAAAAAAAAAAAGTTTATTTGAATTTTCAATTGAAAATAAAGAGTGCCTCTTCGAATTGAAACAAGGATAAAATACAGCTAATCAGTTAAGTTTTTCGTTAAAATTTATACAAACAACAAGAGATTTTAAATTTAAATAAATAATATTTCACTTGATACAATTTTGAATGTTTTATTTTTTTTAAATCTTGCTATCATAATAATATTCTTTGATTAATCTAAAAACTCAATCATCTTCGTAAAATATGTAACACGTTCAATTTTTGCTGAAATTATTTTTCTCTCTCTAGAAATCGTTTCAATATATTTCAACAGCATATTTCAACAAAATCCAGAAAATTTTTCTTCCCCATTATTACATTTATTTTCGAAGTGGAAGACTTGTTGAACAAGGATAATTCGCTGGTCTGTCGCAACTTTCGATTATCGGATTGAAAACGAGTCCTTCTTGGCATTTCTGTTTTTGCTTTCTTCCAGTTTTGCAATCATATACATAATAGTATCTGCAATCCTCTTTATCTTCTATATTTTTTGTTATACAAGGTGTTGATATTTCTGGATTCGTCGTTGATGGTGTCGTCGTTGACGATGTCGTCGTTGACGGTGTCGTCGTTGACGGTGTCGTCGTTGACGGTGTCGTCGTTGACGGTGTCGTCGTTGACGGTGTCGTCGTTGACGGTGTCGTCGTTGACGGTGTCGTCGTTGACGGTGTCGTCGTTGACGGTGTCGTCGTTGACGGTGTCGTCGTTGACGGTGTCGTCGTTGACGGTGTCGTCGTTGACGGTGTCGTCGTTGACGGTGTCGTCGTTGACGGTGTCGTCGTTGACGGTGTCGTCGTTGACGGTGTCGTCGTTGACGGTGTCGTCGTTGACGGTGTCGTCGTTGACGGTGTCGTCGTTGACGGTGTCGTCGTTGACGGTGTCGTCGTTGATGGTGTCGTCGTTGACGGTGTCGTCGTTTCTGTTTTAATAGATGATGTCGAAATTGATTGCCCTGGATAAATGCAATTTGGTAGATTTGGAACGTTAAATGGCCAATCGCAAACTTGTTCTTTCGGATTAAACACTAATTGATTTCCATTGCCATAGTGTGGACATTCCTTTAAACATGCCATTCCTCTTGTACATTTAAAAAATTTGTGGCAATTGTTACTATCAGCAAGATGGACTGCATAGCCATCATCATTTAATGGACATTTCGAATTTGGATAACAATCACTGGGTAATTTGAGATTTTGTGTATTTGCCGTTGCCATAAGCATGGCAAAGAATAATATATATAAACCTGAAATTTACGAAGAAGAAACGAAGTTATTATATTTTTCCATTGTAACATTATTGAAATATTCAAATATCGCAATTCAAAAATTTCGAAAATAAAATAATTGGACCCTTTCGTTATCTTGTCATTATAATTTTATTTGAGACAAGATTCTCTGTTCTTAAATTTTCATTTATTCTATATTTATTGCTATTTTATTTATAAATTGTTACGAGAAATTATTTAAAAAATTTGAATCACTTACCGGTCATTTTAACACTATTAAACTATTAAATTTATGAAGTTACATACGTTATCGTTTGAAAACTAACAAATTTTATTAGCAAAAATCGATTTTTATAGTGTCTTATCATTAAAGTATTATTTATCTTATCAGATCTAATATGTACATACATTCCATTTGATTCGATTGCCGAAACTTTATTTGTTCATCATTATTCTTTCATTTTCTTTATATTTAAAATTTGATTTTCTTAAACGAATATTTACATTGAAATGAAATATATAATTCATCAATTAAAATTCTAATTGTTTTTATTCTAAATAGTTATATATATATATATTGTATATACTATGTTGCTTTATTAGAAAGAACAGAGAATAAATTTAATATCATTTTGACAAGTATTTTTATAGGAATGAATTGTTTATTTATTGTTACATTAGAATATGAAATTGTTATTATTAAAAGAATTTTTCGCGATATTTTTTTTAAAAATTGATTTAATCGAATTGATCGATAAAAACATAAGCCAAAATTATAGATAGCGATAGTGAAGGGAATTGTGTCTTAAAATAACAACTCGTAATTTTAAAATCATTTTTAATGTTTAAATTTAAAATTAAAAAAAAATTATCATTATATTTCAGTATATATACTTTACGATTTAATATTATTTCTATCGAGTAATTTATTTATTTTGACAATAAATAAATTTTTTTAATTAAAAATGTATATATTAAGAAAAATTGATGTGGTATTCTGTTTCGATAAAATTTATATATACGGTTCATTTAGAAAAAATATATCGATTAAAAAATAAAAAAAAAAATAAGAGATGTATCTAAAGTCAAACAGAAAAGATCTAAAAGTATTTATTTCTTTCAAATAATTCTATCTATTTTTTTCATTTATGAGATTTTATAAATCCCACAATTTGATTTTGATGAAATCGAACCAATAAGAACAGTATTGTACAGATAACACGTCCCCTATGTGATTTAATCCAAATTCATATTGATAAAACAATAAATTTTTCATTGATTTCGAAATATACTTCAAAGAAAAGATTATCGTGTTATGACAGAGTTCATTGTGCAGTAATCGATAAAATTAAATTTAAAATTAGATTTTTTTTAATCAAATCTAAACATTACTTTATTTGGGAATTTCGATATTGTTTTTTTTATCGATCTTTTATTTCATATTTTTATTATTTTATATTTTTTTATTTTTGCAATTTATAAGTTTACATACATTAATATGAATGATACGAAATTGTAAAATATAACTTTAATTTATAATGAATAAGAAAATGAATAAAAAACGTGAAAAATTTTGAAAAATTCCGATATAATTTTTTGTGTATTATCGTAATAATAATAGACAAAATATAATGATTCACATTATTTTGTATGCAAATTTAATAGATTAATATTTATTTCAACAATCATCAATGAAGAATCGTATCAATATTTAATTTCAACTTGTCTGATTAGAAACATTTCTAATCATAGTTTCATTCAAACATTCATAATAATATAAAATTTCTTTAGAATTTTATAATAATTTAAATTTTATAATAATCATTTCCAAATTAATTAAATCCAACAAATTAATGAATTACTTATAACAGAATTTAAATTTTCCACATTAATACACATATTTACATATATGTATGAATATTAATTAAATAACATCAATAAATGACATAACATAATTTCAAATAATTCTCTATATTTTAAATATATTATTAATTTTATTATTAATGTTCATTACATAATTAAATAAAATATAATTAAATTCAAGAAATAATTTACTAAATATATATTCTAACACAGTTCATTTTGCAAATAATGCATTCTATAAAAATCTATTGATAAATAAAAGAATACCTTTGACGTGATTTTTTTTATTCTTTCTAATTACAATTGAAAATCTACATTTGTTTTCTTATTCATTGTAATATGTTTTGATATAAAATTTTCTTAAAGAACGCAACATTATATATAATTTTAATGATGCAAGAGAAGGTAGAATTGAATTACGGACAAATATCCCAATGTATCTCTCGATTCCTATATCGTTTCAATAATTCATAATAACAATCGATTTCTACTTCGTGTTTGAAATACAAAATCAAAATATAATCCTTTGTCACATTTTTTCTAAATATTTAGTTCCATTATGACATGCATAATATTACAATATAATTACTTTCATGAGATAAATTTTTATTCTTATCATTACATTCGAATAATTTGCGATAAATTTTGTATGTTCTCAGGTCAATCCTCTGTCCTCATCATAGTAGAGATTTTTGGGATACGTGCTGATTCTTCCCGTTTCACATTTTCACATTGCATGCAATTATAAAGCTTTGAATATGTGGAATTATAAACTATACAGATTCTATTGCATTATGGTTCTGATTTTAATTTTTCACCACGATAACAATGGGCTTGATTAATATTAACACAAATTTCTTTTTCATAATCAAAGTATTTTCCTTCTTCGCAATTTTCACGGTATTTCATTCCATTTCTGCACACGAAATATTTATCACAGTGACATTCATGAGGAAGATTATCTCCCTCGGAACTGGAATCACACTGAAAAGGATCGCACGTCAAATCCGCCACGTTTTCTGGCCAATCGCATGTTTGATTCTTTGGATTGTAGACCTTTTTCTTGGGGCAATTAACGATATAGGGATATCCATTTTCGCATACGCAATACTTGTCACAATCTTTATGAAGCAAATATTCTGTGGAATAAAACGACGAACAAGTACCAATACAACCAACTCGATCCGCTTGGTCAGGACACTTCCCTTCTTTACATATTTTTCTCTTCCAATCAAAGTATTGTCCCTGAGGACATATCTGAAGCACTTCGTATCCGTTTATGCATTCGTAATATTGATTGCATTGACATTCGTGAGAACGTTTCTCTCCCTCTTTACATTTTTCGCAATTCACATTTTCCGGAAAATTACAAATCTGATTCACACTGTCGTAATGAAGGCCTTCGGGGCATGCCTTTGAAACTTTTTTATCATTTTCACATTGATAATACAGGGAACAATTGTGAGGATCAGGAAATCGGCTAATACAATTGTTGCAACCATTGGGACATTCCACGCATTCAGAAGGTTCCGGCGTTGTAGTAGTGGTAGTAGTAGTTGTAATAGTAGCAGTAGTAGTAGTAGTAGTAGAAGTAGAGATAGGAGATATTGACAAATTCTTACAATTTACATTCCAAGGTAAGTCGCACGATTCGATTAAATCGTTGAAATAATGTCCTTGTAGACACGATTTCAGACGTTTGTAACCATTATTGCATTCGTAATATAAGGAACAATTTGTTTCATGAGGTAGGCGTGCATGACCAGTTGGTGGACATTCAGAATTTGCGAGTGCAAAATTATAATTGAACTTTTGGTTTTTGCATTTGGCACGATACGGATAATCGCAAACTTCTCGAATGTAATCGTAAATCAGACCGTTCGGACATGTTTCACGGAACAATTGTCCATCCTTGCACTCGTAATACACGGTACAAGAGCATTCGTGCGGAAATTTCGCAGGTTTCTCCTCTGATCCCTTCGGCGGACATTTTCGACTTATCTCAACTTGCTCAATCGCATTAGGCGTAGCCTTCCTCGGTTTTAACGATTTCGAAGAGCACATGTTACTCGGTGGCCAAGTGCACATGGAAGTTTCCTCGTTGTAAGACAATCCAAAGTCGCAAACTCTCTTGCTTTTCATCCCATCCTTGCACAAGTAATACGAACTGCAATCGGTCTTGTCAGCGATATATGCGATACCGGTTGCAGGACAATCATTGGTAGAGATCATGATGCATCCCAATTTTTCAGATAAAACGCATTTCCTACTTTTAACATCGAAATCTTCATTTTTCTGACAACGTCTTTCGACGAATTCTCCGTCGACGCATTCGTAATATAGAGATTGACATTTGCATTCGTGGGGCAAGAATACAGGATCAAATTTACCATTGGGGCATACGTTCTTATAAACGTTACACGTCGCCTTCTCCTTAGCCACACATTTCATAGTTTTAGAATCGAACAGCTCTCCTTCTTTGCACGAGTTTTCAACTTTTTCACCGTTCGTGCATACGTAGTATAAAGTGCAGTTGTAAGGATGGGATTGTACGTAACCATCGGTAAAACAATCGAATGTTTGGGATACACATTTTGATTTCCATGGTAGAACGCAAGATTGAGATTCAATGTCAAAATGTTTCCTATGGCCTGGGATAAATATTGGACAATCCATAGATTGTCTTTGTCCGTTAAAGCACTTGTAATATTTGGTACAATCGTGTTCGTGAGCGAGCAATGTAGTTTTGTTCAAAGAATTTGGACATTCCGTTGAAATCTCGTACGTTTTTGCAGAAACAAGACTTGTCACTGCGACAAAAATGGCAATTGCGATTGCCATCAATAATTCTGAAATTTAGAAAAATAAAATAGATTATTTTATTTTGATTTTATTTTGATTTTATTTATGAACTATTCGTTAGATTTATTATGATTTTTTGATAATTATTTCTCAATTATCGCTCTTATTTACTTTTCTAATCTTTTAAAAAATAATCACGGATCAAATTACTCACTTGTCATTATGAAAAAGATAATTCTTATGATTAAAAAACAAATAAGCTCTCTAACGTTACTTATTTAAAAAAGACTGACAAATTAAAGATAAAAACTGACTTTTATACTCAATGAAATGTTATCATCATCAAGATACTCGTTCGATACTTAATCTATTTGATTTAAGCAATCGATATACGCTCATCATAATCATGTCCTTGTATTCAGAATTACATTTTTAGATTATTTTTAAATAATTTTTGTTAGTCATTTTTATTACTCATATTTCAAAAAATTGATCCTGAATATTATATATGTATATGGTTTGAATATTAATAATTTTTTACAATTCAAGAGAATTGTAACTGATAATGAAAATTTGAAAAATATCGAGAAATATTATTATAATTTCTGTGTATATAAGAAAAAGAAATATAAGTTTCCTCAAAAATTTAAAAGATTAAGAAGAGTTGCTAATAATAGATGTAAAATACATTTCTAATAAATAAAGTTATATATTGGAAAATAAAATCATGACGCAATTTAATCGCAAAATATTTTCCTTAATAAAAAAGAAAAAAATATTATTCATTGTAACCATTTTCCATTTATTTAAATACATTTTCTATTTTTTTTTCTTAATTTGCGAAATTGTTTTTTTAATAATATTTGATCGAAAAATAAATTTAAATAGAAGATAAATATATTACATTTGTCTTAAAACTTTTTTTTTATTTTTATATATAGAAAAGAATAGAATCAAATTAAAACAAATTCCAATTCTATTTTTTTCGTTCGAAGGTATATGTTTGACTATGATAAAGTTATTCTACTGATACGCAATAGATGATTATTATTGCAATATAATCTTCATTATGAATCCAATTATTTGTGAACTTATCAATGGTCGATAAAAACATATTCGATATTTAAAACATTACAACGGTCGATCATGTAGTTGCACGGATAATATGTTTCACGAATGCAACGCTAGTGTCTCTGGCATCGCTACATCAGTGGTACATGTCTTCGTCGCGCTCTCTCAAAAATAACGATCCAATAAGAAGCGTGTAAACAATGGTTGGAAGGCATGCGATTGGCGGCGTTGTCGCCAAGTCAGGTCAGAGTAGCCAATCGGGATAAATAAATTTCGATCCAGCGGAAAATGCATTGGTCGTCCTTTCCCCCCACCAGTGACGGCGGCTCGGCTCATATTCAGTAGACTCGGCCATTTCTCTCGCGAAGCGTAGTTATTTGCTCGGTCGCGACATTTTTTTCCGTAAAACCGTGCGGGTATTCCCGTAAGCTTTGCAAAATAACGCGACGCAAAAGGATGATACACTCCGGGCGCACCAGGCTCGAGGTAAGTCAATGCATCGTTTGACAGTAAACGAGTTTGCTATGAAACGCGCGTCAAAGTCACTACGGGGGGGTCGTGCGTGTGTCCAATGTTGTCATTGCCGAGGCGAACAGCTGATCCGCTCCCCTGGCCTCCGCAATGCTTGGCAACATTTTCTCGCTCGGTTCTCGATCTTCTACCATGACGACGAACTGCGAAAGCCAATAATGAACAGTACGTTTCGATGATGCGTCGTTCGTGAAGAGTTAAAGGAGTTCTTACTTTTAGATCGCTACCATTTCGCGTATATCTCCCTTCTCACTCTCCTTCCTTCTATTTGCCTCTCTATCATGTTCTTACTCTTTCTCTTTCTGTGTCTCTATTTCTGTCTCTTTTTCTCTTTCTCATTTACCGTCTCTGTTTCTCTGATCGACCAACCAACAACCAGGCAACTCCATCCTTTGTTCTTCTTTCTTTTTGTACCTTGGTACGTTCCCTTTCAGTTTCTTCGTCTTCAACTTCGTTAAGCTCATCGTCAGCATCGCCGTTACTTTTATCGCAGATCATCCTGATTATGATATATTGCATACAACAGTATATTCGAATAATGTTTCTCACATTTTGTGTATTATCTTTTTTATTTGTTTTATTGTTATCATCGTCATTTTTATCGGAATTGCCGCTATTCTGGCAATTAATATAATTATTTTGATCTATCTTCGATGATTGCATTGTATACAAACTTGAGGAATATCGTTGTTGTCAACGAGGTCTATCCCCTCCCCTCCCCTCCCCTCCCCTCCCCTCCTCTCCCTCCCTCTCCCTCTCTCTCTCTCTTTCTATTTTCCCCTTCTTCCGCTTTCTCACTTTAACTTATCTATTTGTACCTGTCTCTCTCATACTCTGTTTCTCTTTTCTTTGTCTTATTTCATTTCTATGTTTCTGTCTCTTTTTCTCTCTCTACATTGTATCCCTCTTACTCATTCGACGATCGTTACGCGTTATTAGAATGTCAATGAGCATTGTCCTTCTCATCGGTCAAACAGTCGAACAGTTGAACGGTTGTCATGAAAAATCGACTCTTTTCGAATTCATACTCTTTATCTTGTCTCTCTTCTCTTGTTTCTTTGTCATTCTCGATCTCCCCACTTCTCTTTTACACATCCCTTCCACCCTTGCATTTCTTCCTCTCCTACCCTTCTCCCCCATCTGTACAACGTCTCATTTATGTGGGTGCTTCTACGCTCACTGATCCTTGTTTCGCGTCGAAGTTTCGCGGATCGACGAATTGAATTCGCATCGTTTTTATCATCTTCTATATCATCGTTCATCTTTCATCTCACAGAAAATAGTCATCACATATATAATTGCTCGATTGTTGCAAAAGTGCTATTTTCAATCTTGTTGATTTGGAGGGAAACTGATGGTCCAGTATTGTATCTAGCTAGTAAACGTGACTCGTATGTAAACAGAAACGGCGCGCGTTGCGAATCAGAGATGATAGTTCATCTGCGTTTTTTTCGTAATCCTGATCGCATTTTTCTATTTAACGATTCATCTATATAATATTTTTCTCGTGATAAATTCATAGAAATTAATATTTTTTTTTTTTTTTTTTAATATCTATCAAATTCAATTTTAACAGTTTGAACATATACACATATGCACGAACATACGTTATGAATTCGATAATTCCTGTAAATTTGAAAAACTTTAACATCGTTAAAGTTATATCTATATATAACTATATCTATATATAAAGTTATATCTAGTACTCTTAAAATTTGAGTATTTCGCATTTAGATAATAAACATGCGTCGTTATTAAATCTCATGCTATTATGCGCGCTATTTGACGCAATGATCGCATTAATTGCATCGATCTCGCCGTAGTGCATGAGAAATTGTTATAAATTCATCGACCCCTGATGCATTTCGTGCTCGACTTTCTCTCGGAAACGGGAATAAACATCACCAGAAGAAACGCTGTTCCGTTTCATTAAAAAGAGATATTTTTCCATAGAGAAATAGGAAGAATAATGCGATCGTGCATGTAAACACCGCGATAATCGATACGATGTTCATATCAGATTACGCAATGTATATTTCTCAACGAAAAAATGATTTCGGAAGAGAATTTCATTGGACAATTGTATTGGCGAATGATTTTATATATATGATATATAAATTATCGATTGAATGATCGATCAAATTTCTACGACGGCGATCGATACGATCATTTTGAAATTTTTAGATATGTTTTCACGTGGTTGGAATGCTGATCGAAAATGAGTTGTGTGCGAAGAAAAACCATTGAAAGTAAGTTCGTTAAATAAATCTTAACATCTTGTTTAATCGGGGTGCTCAGACGAGTTCGATGACCTGCTTTGCAAGGTCATCGAAGGTCACGTGTAGAAGTGATATGGTAGGTGATCGAACTTCAAAGTATTCTCGTTGTACGATATTTATATAAACTGGCACGAACATAAGATAGACTAAAATTTCAGGTATGCCTCGTTTCTATATATCTCCCATTGCGCGACGAAAAAATTTTCTTCTTTAAATTTAATTATTTTTTGTATCGCTCGAAAACTTTGAAAAATCGCGCGTTTTTCCGCTTTTTTCGATTTTTGATGATTTTATAAAATACAAAATCCTATTTTTGAATTTTTTGATGGCATCATCTTTGAACGCGAAAAACGCGATCTCTTAAACGTTGAGTGCGATTTTGCAAATCTATTGAAAATTCGATGAACATTTCCGTAATTTATCGAGCACATTGACGAGAGAAACCAATGAAATTGCATCGGATAACTATTGCACTGTCTTCGATCATTGGAATCGATTTTCTTTCGCTTCATCCCTCGATATTGCTTTCTGGAACGTTAAACGAAGTTATCAAGTCAAGAGTGTATCCGTTCTTGAATCGAAAAGGATTCCCGTTTAGCCAATCGAGGTTATTTTTTTTTTTTTTTTTATTCACATTAATAAGAACTGCAAGACAGTATTTATAGAGAAATCGATAGGCTGATCGCGTTGATTTCACGAATGTTCCGTCTTTCGAGATATACCATCATAGAAATCAGAATAAAGACAATATTTTTAACTCGCGTTTCTGTGCAATTAACTATTTATTAACCATACCTGGAAAATCGATCAACCAACGGTTCATTGCACTACTCCGATTTATACTTCGGCGAAACCGTTGAGGTATTATTTAAGAGAATGGAATTGTAAAAAATTTTAATATAGAAAAAGGAAAAAAGTTTTGAAAAAGCTGAAGAAGAAAAAAAAGAAGATATATATATATATATATTTCTTTTTTTTTTTTTACAAAAACACTTTTAAACATAATAGATTCACAATCATAATCGTAGATTTTTATTATGGTGTATGGTAAAAAGTTTTCGCACATCCGTGACCGATGATGATGATCGTTTTTCTAGAAAAAAGTAAGTCGCGTGGGCGTGGGAGGAGGGGGCCAGGTTGGGCAAGGGGTACAAGCGGTCGAAGATTCCGGTGCAAGCGGTCAATGGTGGAGGCAACAGCATCCATCGTATCATCATCATCATCATCACCAACATCATCACCATTATCATCATCAGGCCGGTTATTATACGTCGCAATCGCTCTCTCACAACAACCCTGTCACGACCATGAAGCAGTCTTATATGCAGGTTGGTCAACTTGTAATGTCACGCATGTCACTTTGTTCTCGCTTCGCGTTATCATTGGCTAAGCGCTCTTGTCCTTCGAACACCATAATCGTGTTCACATAACGGCAAACTGGACAGCTTGTCTGATCTTTTATTAGATTTCCGACATATACAATCTTTGTCTCTCTTTTTTGGAACGAATTCATCCGGGTTTGTTTCTTTTTTTTTTTTTTTGGTTACAGCTAACGTGGGTGTTTCACGACGACGAGGCGCAGATTAATAAGAAACTGCCAAAAGAATTACTGCTTAGGTATCGTAATATGTATATACTTATACTCTGTTTTCGATTTTTCCGCAAAATATTTTAATCGATCTATTTTGCTTACCCTCTTCTTTTGTCGCTTCAATTTCTTTTCTCTTTTTATTTATTTATTTATTTATTTATTTATTTATTTATTTTTTGTTACTATTAGTTTTTCTCTTCTGATGGTGGTCTTGACGTGTGTCTTTTTTTTCGAAAAGAACGGTAAAACGAGTAACGCATAATTGTCATACTATTGACAGAATCTTCTCGTATCTCGACGTGGTATCGCTATGCCGGTGCGCGCAAGTAAGCAAAGCTTGGAACGTGTTGGCGCTCGACGGATCCAATTGGCAAAGAATCGATCTCTTCGATTTCCAACGAGACGTGGAGGTAAATCGAATTTTTGACGTTTTGCTTACCATTTTTCTTCGAACTCTATCGGTCTCTCAAATTCAAACATATTCGATTTTATTCACCAATTATCTCTATCACCAAGAATCTAAACATTAGAGAGATTCGAGAATAATATTTTTGTTATGGTAAGCAACGCGTCATTCGCGCAAAAAAAAAAAAAAAAAAAAAAGAAAAGAAAATCAATCTCGCGTATCGTTCGTTTGTCGGAAGCTCTAATTGTGAAAAAATGTTCGAAACACAGGAATCAGTTATAGTAAATATATCGAGACGATGCGGTGGGTTTTTAAGGCAGCTCTCTCTCAGGGGATGTCAGAGCATTGGGAACAATTCAATGCTTACATTGGCTGAGTCGTGTACTAACATCGAGGAACTGAATCTGAGCCAATGTAAAAAGATCTCGGACGCTACCTGCGCGGCCCTAAGCTCTTATTGTCCGAAACTCCAACGACTGAACTTGGACTCGTGTCCCGAGATATCGGACATCTCCATGAAGAACCTCTCGAAAGGCTGTTCGCTTCTCACTCACATTAATCTGTCCTGGTGTGAGTTACTTACCGATAACGGAGTGGAAGCACTGGTGAGAGGTTGCAGACAACTACGTAGCTTTCTATGCAAAGGATGCCGTCAGTTAACGGACAGAGGTGTCACATGTTTGGCTCGTTATTGCACCAATTTGGAGGCGATCAATTTACACGAATGCAGGGTATTTGCAAATATCAATTAACATGATTTCACTATTCGTATGATTTGCCCAGCAAACCTTGTCACTTCGATCGTCAGAATATTTTGTCTAATTCTCGATCCGATTGATCGTAAGTTCACCGCGATACGGGCAAGTATACGAGTGCAAAAATTATGGGTTGAGCGTCGTAAAGAACGTGAAATGTATGCAATTTCTCGTGCGATGGATTTATATAATTTTTAATCGTTAGAACATCCGTCAAACTCTTTTCCTCTTCCGATGCTGAACCTGACATATTAGTTATGTAACTATCTTCTATCTGAGAGCGCGGTTTATGAAAACAGATTCGTTGCAGAACATAACAGACGATGCGGTCAGAGAACTCAGCGAACAATGTCCAAGATTGCATTACGTTTGCCTATCGAATTGTCCAAATCTAACGGATGCGTCTCTGGTCACGTTAGCGCAACATTGTCCACTCCTTAGCGTGCTCGAATGTGTGGCTTGCACTCATTTCACCGATGCAGGCTTTCAAGCTCTTGCAAAAGTGAGTTGATCGTTCGTAAAATTGAAAAATCTGTTATAATCTAAAACGTATAAGTAAGTAATCCTTAGTCAACGATACATTTCTTTCGTCTTTCAGAATTGCAGATTATTAGAAAAGATGGACCTGGAAGAGTGCCTTTTAATAACGGATGCCACCCTCATTCATTTATCCATGGGCTGTCCCAGATTGGAAAAATTGGTGAGAAAATTTATGATTATCTAATATTAGACATATATCTTTTGCAGCCAAGAAATTCATCCTTCGAATTGATAACTTTCTGAACGTAGAGTTTGTCTCACTGTGAACTGATCACCGATGAGGGCATTCGACAATTGGCCCTTTCGCCGTGCGCAGCGGAGCATCTAGCGGTGTTGGAATTGGACAATTGTCCCCTTATCACAGATGCTAGCCTTGATCACCTTCTACAGGCCTGCCATAATCTCGAGCGCATCGAACTATACGATTGTCAGCTAATCACCAGAGCTGGCATACGTAGACTCAGAGTATCGTATCATAACATCTCATAATTATCATCTCTTTCATTATCTATCTATTCTGATAAAATGAAAAATGTTATGAATCAAGTGACGTGTCAAAGAATCATCGTAAAGATCTAAATCAATTAAGTTCGTAACTCTCATTAACGAACTACCCGTTTCTTTTATTTCAGACACATTTGCCGAACATTAAAGTTCATGCGTACTTCGCGCCAGTGACACCACCTCCAAGCGCGGGGGCATCTCGGCAGCGATATTGCCGATGCTGCGTCATTCTGTGATTCGCATAAAAATGACTCTGATGTAAATCGTCCGATGTACCACACTACCGGTGGACTTTTAATTTCGATAGTCGCCGATTCACGGCGATCGTGGGACCTTCTCTCTTCCGGCTATCAGACCGAGACTCTGGTCGCCTGTCATCAACAGTGAGAATAAGCCTCGTCGTGAATGGAATCGCGAAACTTTCGATAGATATACCAATTCGACTCGCAACACACGCAACGAGTACAAAAGAACAGTACGTCATCATTTATATATATATCTATACATATATATATGTATATATGTGTATATATATATATATATATGTATATATATACACATCACACACACACACACAAAACCACCAGCTGTTGCTGCAATTGTTACTAATGTGTCGCTGCTACTACCGCTCACTATAAAACTGTTTCTATCACCGATGTCGCGGTCTACAGTGATATCGTTTTTAGAACTCTATTCATTTCTTTTATAGTACGTGCTTTGCTAATTATCGTTGTCGTTTCGTCACGAATCTAAGTGATCGTTTAACGAAAAGGAAAGAAATTTTCGAGTTCCGATCGTTTCATTTTCGATCACATCGATTTCTTAAAAAAAAAAATTAAAAAAAAAAAAGAACGAGGAAAAATACGGGACGATTTAATTAAATATTAAAATTAATGACAAAGAAAATGATGAAGGAAAAAATGACGATGCGCGCGATAAATTGCGGGCATTTCGTTCTTTTTTTATTTATTTATTTTTTTTTCTTTCTTTCTTTCTTTCTTTCTTTCTTTCTTTTTCATCTAAGCGACACAGCTCCGCTCGTATGCGGGCTAACACACGATCGTACGTATCGATCGCGAGCCTGAAATTTTCGCGGTTGGATGTTCCATGTGAAACAAACCGATAGGCACGTATACATACGTATATGTATGTATTATATATATACATATATACATATATTTTTTTAGTACGACGCATTCTCTCTTCTGCTAAATGTAAACGTTAATCGTCAAAGAAAAGAAAAAAAAAAAAAAAAACGCGCAATCCGTTCCGGATGGTAAACCGCATACAACATGCGTCCAGTGATCATACTTTTCTCGAATTCAGAAAGGATTAATAATTAAAAGAAAAAGGAAAGAAAGGAAACCGTCGTCGCGTTGAACGTGTTTCAAGCTACGTATAAAGGTCGTGCTATTATTCTAGGCATTCAATTTCTATCGTGTGTGTGTATATGTGCGCGCGCTCGCGTGCGTGCGCACGCGCGTATGTGTGTGTGTGTGTGTATGTGTATGTGTGTTTCTGTAGCAGTTTCTCAAACGAACACTGCCTATTATAATGTTATTGATAGGAAAAAAAAAAAAGAATTCTCGATGGAGAGAAAATGTGGTTAAAAAAAAAAAAAGAAAAGAAAAGAAAAAGAAAAAATATAAATAAAAAAAGAATTGAAAAAAAGGAGAGAGACAAAAAGAAAAGGGAAGAAGGTAGATAAGAGAGTCGTAGAGATGATTGCAGATTTTTTTGAATCTCATCGCAAAATCGTAGAATAATTATACCCGACTTTCGTTTCGACTAATTGTTCGATATTAATTGTTCGTGAAAAATGAACGATATACGGGAAGTTTAAAAAACATTTTTTCCTCTTCTCGTCTATTAAACGAATATCACGATCTCAGATGCGCGATTGATCAAATACCGCGATATCTATAAAATTATTTTTCTTTTTTATTATGCGAGACGCGCGTATATACATTGCGAGCAATATAACGAGGACGGAAATGAAGAATATAATGAAAAATGCAACGCGGTTGTTGACTTCTCTTTTTTCTTAGGAGAAAGTTAAAAAAGAAAAGATAAAATAAAATAACGAAGAGAATGAAAAGGAAGAAGAAGAAGAAAAAGAAAGGAGAGAAAAAGAGACAAAAATGATAGTTCGTTGTATTTGAAGCTCCCATTTAATTGCTGTTTGATGATGCATTTTACGAGGACTCGCGAATATTGGTGGATAGATGGACAATTGACTGTGTTCGCGGATCACGTATTTATCGAGTCTCAAACTATATTATATTCTATCTTCCAACGACCCAGACATCCATATCATATATCTTTTTTTCTTCTTGTTTTTATATTTTTTTGTTCTAATTTTTTTTTTCTTTCTCTCATATTGTAATTCGTCATGGATTAGGAGAGCACAGACTGATAAAACGATTTAAAGCGTTGATACGTTAAATAATCGATTTATTTGGTCCCAGTGATCGATTTACTGGCCAATTCTTACTTTTTAAGTCTAGGTTTATAATATGGTGGCAATACGAAAACCGTGAGCGTATACAAGTCTGTGGCTTGCGTTGTAGATGAGCCAATACGAAGAAATTTGTTTGTTCCTTGATTTTTAGACTGCGGATATATATAATATATACAAAAAAAAAAAAAAAGAAAAAAGAAAAAAACGAAAGAAGAAGAAGTTAATTTCGAAATCGTAAAATAAGGAAAAAAAGAAAATCGTGATACATAAAATGTATCATAATCTGTCTGTTTCCATTTGTAAAAAAAAAAAAGAAAAAAAAAAAAAAAGAATTAAAATTTGACACGATGTTCAATCGTTTGGAAGTCTGGATCCCAGGATGACAAAGCGTATATGTATTAAAATCAATGGAAGAAATTTACTCGCATATATAAGAAGAAACAAAGAGTTAGAATCAAGACAAAGTTCTTATATTCTTATTCGAATTTGGTAATGGATGTTTTTTAAACATCTAAATACATCGCGTTGATACGAGAACACCATCCACCCGTATTTTTTTGCAATAGCTGGGATAACCAATGACAAAGAAATTTTATGTGTCATCTGAAATGCTATGGATGATAGAAATAAAAAACGTTTATGAAAAAAAATAATAATAATTATGACGGTCCATCCCGAAGTGCAATAGAGTCCATATGTACTCCGTTTCTCTCCTTCTCGTTATTTTGATGAATTTCAAGGAACCAGTCATGTAATGTACGTAATTCGCGTGTCGTTGCGTCGAGTAAAACATAGATTGTTAATCCTTGCTAAGATATAAGAACGTACATCGCGTATATATTTAATATATAGCGTGTAAACGGAATACCGGAATGAAGGAACTAGATATATATATAAATACAAATGCAAATATATAAAAAATATATATATATATATTAACAAAAAAAAGGAAAAAAGCAGTAAAAAATAAATACATAGATATGATATGTTTTATACGCTGCATGTCATCCTTAGAAGGAAGTAACGTGATCGTCGTAATGTGTCGTGTCAGAGAATTGAGTCATTTATTTTTTTTCTTGTTTTTTTTTTTTTTTTTTTTTTTAGCGATTAAACATGGATGCAAAGGGGGATCGGCAGATGTTTTAAAACAGATCTTAACGTGAAAAGACGTACAAATTATACCGTTATTGCATCCATCATTCGTGAAACGATTTCTGATCTTTCGCGAGTATCATTAAAAAGAAATCTTTTTGTTGTTTCACGATGCTATTCTTTGAAAATCTTTCGATTAACCAAAATAACCGTGATAAAATAAAACGTGTAAACATATGTATGACTGTCGGTCAACGCCTAATTTGATCAAGTTCGGTTCAAATTATAAAGTCAATCTCAGTGCCTGACCCGCCACAGAATTTGTGAATTACATATGAATTACATAGTCGAAATTTCACAGTTTCACAGTATTACTGTGTGGCGGAGAATATAGAAGATTTAAAAGAAATAATAATAAAACAAAACAAAGTATCTCGTATATGACAGCTGCTAAGAATTTTTGAGAGTCTTTCTCTCTTTTTTTCTCTCTTTTTCTCTTCTCTCTCTCTCTCTCTCTCTCCTCTTTTCTTCTCTCTCTCTCTTTGACTGAAACGAAACTTGTCGAGCGACCGACAGTCGTGCATCCACGCATAATTAGTGATATTTAGCGATGGACATTCGATATTCTGCCAATTGTAAATCAAGAAAAGAAAAGAATTTGCGATTTTAATCGATGTCGAAGCAATTCCAAATTGAATTAAAAAATGAGAAACTTTTGGATACGGTCAAAAATTTAATAGCGGAATTTTTTTCCGGAATATTTTGACGTTCTTTTATATCATATATGAATTTCGATGCATTTTTATGATATTTTATTTTAAGTTGAAACTCACCCGTTATGATGAGACTGTTAAGTTATTCATAGCTTTTAATCCACTAGACAGCATTTAATGCGAATCGAAATTATTCAACTAGTTCGGTTCAATCGATAGGAAAAAAAAAAAAAATAGACGCATGTCCATCGCTGTTACACGATTCTCAATATTCTTTGGAACTCGTTCGTGGCAATAAAAGAAGAAAAAAAAATAGGAATGAGAATTGACAAGAATAAAACTATCAAAATGTATAGTTTCCTAATTTTGATAATCGCTTGTAAAAATGTTATTTTTCATAAATTCGTTGATGATCGATGATCAAAATTCGTGACATGGATTCATGATCGCAATTTAATTTGATGATCGATTATTATGATCCATAGCTTCGTATATCGGCGTAATTGTTAGTAAAACAAATTGTATGTCGAATAATAGAATCGAGTCCCGTTACGTCGAAATATAGACGCAAGAGCCTGTCGGAAATCCCGTTGATCGGGCGTTAGGAAATCGTGACCAATTTTCAAGAATGGAAGAATTCATTTGCTATTGAAACGAAGAATTATCGTAATGACGAATTGAAGATTTGAAAAAAAGAAACAAAATAGATTGTAAAAGAGAAATGGAAATCGATCGCGGTGTCGTAGTAGTATTGGTATAATAACATACATAATATGTCGCCGTAAAAAGAGATCGTGTCATAACGACAATTGAAAGGAGTAAAGTGAAAAAAAGAAATGAAGAGGAAGAGGAAGTTAAGCAAGAGATATAACGAAGCTTTTAAAGCCGAGTGATCGAGCAAGTGTTTGGCTGTGCTGTAGAATAGGAAAGAGACAGAGAAAGAACGATAGAGAGAAAACGTGAGATTCGAGAGAAAGAATGAGAGAAAGAGAGGTGTGAACGAGAGAGATAAAGAGTTCAGATGTTAATCGAAGCCAGCGAAATTATCAAATATTATAAATTGTATATTCAAATTATGTTTTTTTAAATTTATTCCACTTGTGAATATTATTTCCAATTCGGAACAATATTTTGTCAAAAATAAAAAAGAAAAACACTCGATCACGATCGAGATCTATTCGATCCATAATTGAAAAATCGAAATTTTAAAGGCAAGGACTTAACATTTCAGAGTGAATATAGAATCTAAAATAATTAACTCCACTGATGATAATTATTTGATTTTTAGAAAATAAAGTGTTAATCGTGTATTCTGATATGAAAAATAAAGAAATTGTCAGAAAGTGGAGTTAAACAATTTGGCTTCTTTCACTGATTCGTTTAATGGTCTCTAATGGTCGTATAATGTCCTGCTAATGTCACGACGATCTTTGCTTTCAAGTAAAGTAAGAAAACGTCGCAAGTATAAATCGGGGGAAAAAAAAATAAAAGTTATATATATAGGTTCATATACGAATATTGTAGTTGATTATAAATTGACATTTCGCTGCTTCGACAAGTTACAGTCTACCATGTATATATTTTCATTAATGTATGTATAATAAAAAAGTATATTCGAGACAACGATCGGCTCTGTTTAGTGTGCGCTGTCTTGTCATTCTTTACGTGAATTATATGATCGAAAAATCGATACGTATTTGGAATCGATCGGAACTATTCCCGTTACGGAGAATATTTTTGGCTTCTAAATAATATATATATATATATACATATATATTATCGTAACGACGTATTTCTTCTAGAAATAAATTTTAAATGAACAAATTTCATAAGCTTTTGTATTATGTAAAACGTTACCTATTTACATTCACCATTTTCAATAAATTTTCGATGTTTTCTTAATATTTTATATCGCAATATAACTATATTCCAATTCTCTATATTATAAATAAATGATAAGTAAATGTGTCAGTGCAAACAAAAAAAAAGGATATATATAAATATATATATTTATAGAATACAATAAAAAATTGCTACGTTCGAAAAAAATAAAAGAATAATGAATGGTGTAACGTATTTCTTTATTCTGATGAATGAACTTGAATGCGTTGTGCATCATATGACACGCCATGTACGTTGCGTAGCAATGTATTTTATTCGTATACATAATTAAATTAATTCATTATTTAACTAGAAATAATAAAACATAAAAAAATTTGATGTATCTATAGTACTTTTAAAGAGAATAACGTTAGATTGTATTTTATAAAATTTATATTAATAAAAAAAAATATCGATAATTTCGATATCCATTTACAACTATCGATGCAACATGTAATCTGATGTATTTGTTATTGTTCAGGATTTGGATAAATTTTTTTTGTTCTTAATAATTAAACTCCTGAAAGTTATTTTAAAATCATTTGAAATGATTAATAATATTAAAATAGAAATATAAAATAAAGAATTGATATTAGAAGAAAAATATAGAAGGTAAAGGAAGAGAGTGTTTTATCCAAAATCTGTTAGAGGACTCGACAGTAGAGTTATTTAGACAGACTGTAGACTGTTTTCTGTATATATGTAATCAAAGCTTTTCACGTGATTCTTTGACAAAAAGTAAATATAACCTATTTTATACATACAAAGTGCAAAATGAGTAAATACAGAAAAGAAGAATCCTCAAGTGAAAACAGCGATAGCGAAGAAGAAAGACGTAAAAAAGATATCAAAGAAAGAGATGAATTTGCTAATCGACTAAAAGCAAAAGATGAAAGTAAAATAAGAAAGGTAGCTATGCCGGCTGGTTCAGGAGCAGGTGAATGATTATCATTTTATTTTCAAATAACTAAATTTATTTTTATTTATTTTTTAATACATATAAATTTTATTTCCTAAACAGCGGAAGCTGCTAAGAGATTGAAAATTATGGAAACTGATATGCGAGAAAAATTGGTACCAAAATTGCGTGTTGAATCTCGTCGGAAATATTTAGAAAAACGTAAAGATGATAAGGTAGCCGAACTAGAGGCTGATATAATTGATGATGAATATCTTTTTGAAGAAGAAATGTAATTCTTTATTTAAATTTACAATATTATACAAGAAAGTCACATAATAATATATAGTAATTGATACCTTTAATTAATTTTAGATTAACAGAACGGGAAAGAAGAGAACGGGAACATAAAAAACAATTACTCCAATTAGCTAAAGAACATGAAAAAGCAAGAGAACTTGAAAGAGTACAACGTTATCATATGCCATTGGAAAAAGGAAAACTTGAGCCAGAATTAGAAGTACATGATAATGAACCACCACAATCTGAACAAAGTAAATGGGAGTCTGATCAAATGTCATCTGCTGTTTTTCGATTTGGTGCTAAAAATAGAAAAGGTATATTTAATCATTTATATCATATAAAAATATATCATAATCATTAAATAATTTTTTATTGTTTACAGTACAACAAGATTATGATCTTCTTCTGGAAGATGAAGTGGAATTCATACAAGCATTACATATGCCTGGTACTGAAAAAGATAGAAAAGCAAGTCCACCACCGCAAGTTAAGGCATTGCAGACTATACAGGAAACAAAAAAAAGTTTACCAATTTATCCTTTTAAAAATGATCTCATTCAAGCTATAAAAGATCATCAGGTATGTTACTAATACATATATTAATACTATTTAAAATAAGTGCTGATAAATATAAGTTAATCAATGAATATAATATATCATCTATTTTGATTCAGGTATTAATTATTGAAGGAGAAACAGGTTCTGGGAAAACCACGCAAATTCCACAATATTTGTATGAGGCTGGTTTTGCAGAGGATAATAAAATAATTGGCTGTACACAGCCGCGAAGAGTAGCTGCTATGTCTGTTGCGGCAAGAGTTGCTCATGAGATGTGTGTAAAATTGGGTAATGAAGTTGGTTACGCGATTCGTTTCGAGGATTGCACTTCTCATCGTACTCGTATTAAATATATGACAGATGGTACATTGCATCGTGAATTTTTGAGCGAACCGGATTTAGGTTCTTACAGGTATCGAGATTCAGAAAGGATTTATACAAATTTATTCGTTCAATTGTTAATAAATTTAATCTTTAACATTTGAATTGATCATTCAATTATTAATCAATTTCTTCCTACTTACTTTAGCAAAACAACATTATTTTTAGTGTTATGATCATCGATGAGGCGCACGAGCGTACTTTGCACACCGATATCTTATTTGGATTGGTAAAGGATATAACAAAGTTTCGAACGGACCTGAAACTTCTAATTTCATCTGCCACGTTAGACGCAACGAAATTTAGCGAATTCTTTGATGATGCTCCGATTTTTAGGATACCTGGCCGTCGATTTCCTGTCGATATTTATTATACCAAAGCGCCAGAAGCGGATTACATTGATGCCTGTGTTGTCTCTATTCTTCAGATACATGCCACTCAACCACCTGGTGATATATTGGTATTTCTAACAGGTATTTAATCAGTACTTGATAATTAATATCATTTTAATTTTGCAATTTTAAAACACTTAATTTCTGTTAGGTCAAGATGAAATAGAAACGTGTCAGGAAATGTTGCAAGAAAGAGTGAGACGATTAGGTTCAAAATTAGGAGAACTATTGATTCTTCCCGTATATGCAAATCTTCCAAGTGATATGCAAGCAAAAATATTTCAACCTACTCCACCAAGAGCAAGAAAGGTATGATAAATAAATTTTTTATTTCTTTTTCGTTAAACATATTAATTTCTCTGTTTATTTTGATATTTTTAATTATTAAGATAGTTATTATTATAGGTAGTTCTTGCTACGAATATAGCAGAAACATCATTAACAATAGATAACATAGTGTACGTGATAGATCCTGGATTTGCAAAGCAGAACAATTTTAACTCCCGTACGGGCATGGAAAGTTTAATGGTTGTGCCAATTAGTAAAGCTTCTGCAAATCAGAGAGCTGGAAGAGCCGGAAGAGTAGCTCCAGGAAAATGTTTCCGATTATATACAGCTTGGGCTTATCAACACGAACTTGAAGATAATACTGTACCTGAAATTCAAAGAATCAATCTTGGTAAAAACTGTTATATCATATTTTTTTTTTTGCAAATTTTCTTCATCTAATCAAATAATTAAATGCTAGGCAATGCTGTATTGACTCTGAAAGCTTTGGGAATAAATGATTTAGTCCATTTCGATTTTCTGGATCCTCCACCACACGAAACATTAGTTTTAGCTTTAGAACAACTATATGCATTGGGAGCTTTAAATCACCGTGGAGAATTAACAAAACTTGGTCGAAAAATGGCTGAATTTCCATTAGATCCTATGATGGCAAAAATGTTATTGGCCAGTGAACAGTATCGCTGCTCGGAAGAAGTAGCCACGATCGCTGCTATGTTATCAGTGAATGGAGCTATTTTTTATAGACCTAAAGACAAGATTATTCATGCGGATACTGCTCGAAAGAATTTCCATGTACCTGGTGGCGATCATTTGACTTTGTTGAACGTATATAATCAGTGGCAACAAAGTGATTTCAGTACTCATTGGTGTTATGAGAATTTCATTCAACATCGATCAATGAAAAGAGCTAGAGATGTCAGAGAACAATTAGTTGGTCTCATGCAACGAGTTGAAATGGAACTCGTATCAGGAATTACGGAAACAGTGAATATCCGAAAGGTAAATGAAATAATAAATATCACTATCTTTTTTCTTTTTTTAAAAATTAATTTGTTTTAATTTTGAAAAATAATATAAAAAAAGTAATAATAATAATAAGAGAAACGAATTTAAAGAATTGAATTGATTGAATTTTAGGCTATAACATCAGGATATTTCTATCATGTAGCGCGATTATCAAAAGGAGGACATTACAAAACTGCAAAACATAATCAGACAGTTTCAATTCATCCTAATAGCTCATTGTTTCAAGAGCTGCCACGTTGGTTGCTTTATCATGAACTGGTTTTTACTACAAAGGAATTTATGCGACAGGTGAGTTATTGTAAAATATTTAATAATATTTATAGTATAATATATTAATAATATTTCAAAATTATTTTCTTCGCAAACAAATTTTTTTAACTAATTTAAAATAATCATAATTTATAGATAATTTTACTAATATATTTACTAATATATTATTTACTAATATATTTATAGATAATTTATCTAATATAATATTTAATATATTTTTATAGGTAACAGAAATCGAGAGTAAGTGGCTTTTAGAGGTAGCTCCCCATTATTACAAAGCAAAAGAATTGGAGGATTCTACAAATAAAAAAATGCCAAAAGTCGCAGGAAGATCGCGTCCAGATGGAACTAATTAATAACTCAAGTAATTAAATGAATCTAATTTATATAAAAATAAATTGTAAAAATAACCATGACTTTTGTAACATTAGTTTTTAAGATGTATAAAATATAAAGATAAGATATTTGTATTTTATAATGTACAAAACATAGTATATCATACATTTGTAATCAATTTATTACTTAAGAATTAAATTAATTTATGTACCTTTTTATTGTAAATATATTTTATTTTAATAAAAACATGAATGAAAAAAAAACAATTTTTCTCATTTCATTTCCTAAACCTAATTCCTTATTCCCTTAAATTTAAATAAACTATTTAAAAATATTTAATTCTTGGAAATATGGGAGAAAAAAGAAGTAAAAGGTAAGTAAATATATTAAATTATATTTCCAAAAATTGTCAAAATTCTTGGAAATGACGTCAAATTCTCAGAATTATCAAAACTCATCAACGAAGGAAATTTTTCGCCAAAAATTCGATTTTGTATTAGGAGAATATGAGTTGATAGGAAGTCGCTCGAGAAATTTTTCTGGGAAATTCAAATTCTTGAAATTATCGAAACTTTTGAAATTTTCAGCCAGTTTTACATAAATTTAAAATTTTTGGCCTGGAAGTTAAAATTTCGAGGTGTTTACAAACATTGGAGTATTTATTTACATTTTCAATGTTTATTTACATTCTCGGTTTGTTTATTTACATTTTGCAATGTTTATTTACAAAAATTTTCGAAAATTTGATGAATTCTGGACCCGGCAGTTGAAATTTCGGTTTGTTTATAAACATTGGTCTGTTTATTTACATTTTCAATGTTTATTTACATTCTCGGTTTGTTTATTTACATTTTTCAATATTTATTTACATTCTCGGGTTGTCTATTTACATTTTTCAATGTGTATTTACATTTTTCAATGTTTATTTACATTTTGCAATGTTTATTTACATTTTGCAACGTTTATTTACATTTTTCAATGTTTATTTACATTTTGCAACGTTTATTTACATTTTTCAATGTTTATTTACATTCTAGGTTTGTTTATTTACATTTTGCAATGTTTATTTACATTTTTCAATGTTTATTTACATTCTAGGTTTGTTTATTTACATTTTTCAATGTTTATTTACATTTTTCAATGTTTATTTATATTTTTCAATGTTTATTTACATTTTTCAATGTTTATTTACATTTTTCAATGTTTATTTACATTTTTCAATGCTTATTTACATTTTTGCAATGTTTATTTACATTTTTCAATGTTTATTTACATTCTAGGTTTGTTTATTTACATTTTTCAATGTTTATTTACGTTTTGCAATGTTTATTTACATTCTAGGTTTGTTTATTTACATTTTTCAATGTTTATTTACATTTTGCAATGTTTATTTACATTCTCGGTTTGTTTATTTACATTTTCCAATGTTTATTTACATTTTGCAATGTTTATTTATAAAAATTTTCAAAAATTTGAAGAATTCTGGGCCTGGGAGTTAAAATTTCGATTTGTTTACAAACATTGGTCTGTTTATTTACATTTTCAATGTTTATTTACATTCTCGGTTTGTTTATTTACATTCTGCAATGTTTATTTACAAAAATTTTCGAAACTTTTCAAATATTTGTAAAATACCTACCTTTACTTACCTTTATATACTTACCTTATTTTAAAGATGATTTTTCAGCAAAAAAACGTTTTTTAAAAGATTTTTTTAAATATTTTACTTAAAACTAATTATAGAGTATAATATACTTCCCTATTTTATACTTATCTTTTATACATGATTTTTCAGCATTAAAAATTTTTAGCCAAAAATTCGATTTTGTATTAGGAGAACATGAGTTGACAGGAGGTCGCTCGACAAATTTTTCTGGGAAATTCAAATTCTCGGAATTATCGAAACTCATCGACGAAGGAAATTTTTCGCCAAAAATTTTTTAACAGGAGAATATAAATTTATAAGAGGTCGGTAGAGATTTTTGGCTTATTCTTGGAAATGACATCAAAAAAATGTAAAATTTTAGGAATTTTGGGACTGGGAAAATAAATAAAAACTATGATTTGCTCAAAAATTGGCGTCTTTATTTATACTTTATTTTTCTTACATTTTTTACATATACACATTAATTTACATTTTTAGTATTTATTTACAAAATTTTCGATAGTTTTAAAAAATTAAAATACTTACATCTGTTTGTCTTAATATACTTCTATGTCCTAATATACTTCTTCCATTTTGAAGATGATTTTTCTACAACAAAAAATTTTTTAAACATTTTATTTAAATCAAATTATAGAATATAATATACTTACCTGTTTTATACTTATCTTTTAACATGTACTTTGTAATACGTACTTTTTAAAAGTATCAAGACATATATAGCAAAAAACTGACAGTTTAAAAAATAATTAAATTTAATGAAATATCTTTTAAACTAATGATTTTTCACCATAAATGGTCCTATACATTTTTATAGAGAATGTCATTACAGAGATGCATGGATTAGTGTATTAAAAAGTATATAATGCTATTTAAAAGAACAAGGTTGGACTCGATAAGTTTTTTATGAGTTCATTTATAAAAAAATTGAAGATACCAGAAGATAGCCCTTTCAAAACCATACAACTTTTGTTTCAAACATTTTTTAATATTATGGATAATAAACGAGATATTGATCGAAAAAGATTAATATCGAAATTCCTTGATGGACGAAAAATTTTTGTCCAATAATTCGATTTTGTATTAGGAGAACATGATACGATAGGAGGTCGATCAAAGAATTTTTCCAAGAAATGACGTCAAATTCTCGGAATCTCTAAATTTCTTGGAAATGACGTCAAATTCTCAGAATTTCTAAAATTCTTGGAAATGACGACAAATTCTTGGAAATTTTCAAATGAATGAACGAACGAATCTTTTGGCCAAAAATTCGATTTTGTATTAGGAGAATATGATACGATAGGAGGTCGATCGAAGAATTTTTCCAAGAAATGACGTCAAATTCTCGGAATCTCTAAATTTCTTGGAAATGACGTCAAATTCTGAGAATTTCTAAAATTCTTGGAAATGACGTCAAATTCTTGCAAATTTTCAAATGAACGAAACTTTTAGCCAGAAATTCGATTTTGTATTAGGATAACATAACTTAAAAGGAGTTTTTTTTACAATTATCATATACGTACCATACTCATTTTTTGACCACTTTTCTTAACGTTGCCATTTCTTTTACACCTTTAAAGTCTTTTTTGCACAATTTAAATAAATTTAGATGAAAGCTGTCATTTTTAGTCCGTTTCTTATTATTTTTTTTAATCTTTTATGAATTCAAAAATCCACTGAGTACTGTATTTTCATTATTTGAAATACCTCGATGTTTTTAATAACCCATTACGTAATATAATATACTGGGCGTATGTATCACGCTTGTTGTTGGAAATATTAAAAAATGTTTCAAATAAAAGTTAAAGGGTTTCGAGGAGGGTACATCATGCTGTTATTTATTTTTTCATATATAGAAGCATAAAGGAATTATTAAAGAGAATATTATTTCTTTAAATGGAAATATACACTTTTTAATACACCAGCTGATGTATGCTGGCATTCTTTATTAAAAAGTATTAAGACATATATAGCAAAAAACTGACAGTTTAAAAAATAATTAAATTTAATGAAATATCTTTTAAACTAATGATTTCTCACCATAAATGGTCCTATACATTTTTATAAAGAATGTCAAGATGTATCGATTATTGCATTAAAAAGTATATAATGCTATTTAAAAGAACAAAGTTGGACTCGATAAGTTTTTTATGAGTTCATTTATAAAAAAATTGAAGATACCAGAAGATAGCCCTTTCAAAACCATACAACTTTTGTTTCAAACATTTTTTAATATTATGAAGAATAAACGAGATATTGATCGAAGATTAATATCGAAATTCCTTGATGGACGAAAAATTTTTGTCCAATAATTCGATTTTGTATTAGGAGAACATGATACGATAGGAGATCGATCGAAGAATTTTTCCAAGAAATGACGTCAAATTTTCGGAATCTCTAAATTTCTTGGAAATGACGTCAAATTCTGAGAATTTCTAAAATTCTTGGAAATGACGTCAAATTCTTGCAAATTTTCAAATGAATGAACGAAACTTTTAGCCAGAAATTCGATTTTGTATTAGGATAACATAACTTAAAAGGAGTTTTTTTTACAATTATCATATACGTACCATACTCATTTTTTGACCACTTTTCTTAACGTTGTCATTTCTTTTACACCTTTAAAGCCTTTTATTTCACAATTTAAATAAATTTTTATATCTCTGTATTTTATGTATCTTATTCGTAGTTATTTTTATTAATTTTTTATTCGGAGAAATATGAACGTAAACAATTCTTTCACAATTTCTGAAAATAGAAGATTTATTTATTAACAATTTGTAATATCATATTTTATTTATAATCTTTATAATTATATTTCTTTTTGTTATCTTATATTTTTTTAATTAACTTTAAATAATCGAAATTATGTAAAAAAATTTAATATTATTAATTAAATTATGTAAATAATATTTATATTGTTTGTTCTGTATTCTCTTTTCTAAATATTCACGATATATTATTTGCTAATTTATAGTTTTACAAAGAATTTTCAATTTTTCCCATCTATTCTAATTTTTTTATAATTTAAAACTTCTTCCAAATGGACAAGTCGATTTTATAATAAATGATAAACTATCCTATTCCTCGGATAAGTACCTATCTAAGAAGGTTCATAAAAATATAGCATTATAACCAGCATTGTATAACACAGTACATATTATGATAATGATACGGTATGTACACATCAAGGTGGAAAATTGTGGACAACATTTTTCTCGTGAAAGAAAAGCTTTCTATAAGCATCGTTTACTTATAATAGTCAGTGTTTTATAAAATTTTTTCGAATTCTCTTCTTAAGCAAGTATTATAATTTCCTCGAGACAAAAATATTTTTTTTAATCGACGAGTGAATGTCCAATTATTTATTTTGATCAAAATTATTTCATTAAATGATAAAGCGAGGGATCGTGAATCACAGAAATTCGTGCACTGGTATAATAGGATTAATGAAAGTATTTCTTCTATTAAATTTTTCTTTTCAAGAATTATTATTTATTTCATCAAGAAGAATTATTATTTTTTCTTTTCATTATTTATCGTTTTATCAGTTGAAAAATGACCATTCTACAGCCAATTTTTAATATACTAACAATTTGCGGATGTCGGATGCCGTCCTCGTGTCGCACATCGTACAAGAAGATGCTGTATATTTTGTACGCGATATTTGTGCTACTTTTGCTCTACAGCTTCTGTATCTCGCAATTTTTAAACGTGATAATTAACGTGAGAACAGCAGACGAATTATGCAACAGTTTTTACATGTTCATTGCGTCGCTCTTATCCTGTTGCAAGATCGTCGCGCTTCTGATGAATCATAAAGCGATTAAAATCTTTAGAAGGAAGCTCGAGGAGGAGCCTTGTAAACCTATGAACACCAAGGAGGTTATGATCCAAAAAAGTTTCGACAAGAATATCGGGTAAACGTTTAAAATGTATCCAAAAACTGTTCTTTCGTTTCGTTCTTTTTCATCGATTTTTAATTAAAAAATTTTTTGTTATAAAAAATTTTTTAAAGAACCATGTTCATTCTCGATCAGCAACGAAATAGATAATTGAATGATGAACCTTCATCAAACACTTGACAGGTCGATCACTACTTATTATACGATCATGGTGGAGTTTACAGTATTTTGTATGATTGTATCTTCATTGGTAACCGACTTTAGAAACCAAAGACTGGCGTACGAAGCTTGGCTACCTTTCAACTGCTCTGCACCAAATTATTATTACTATTATATCGCGTACGTTCATCAGATCATCGCTCTGATTGGTACGTCGCTTTTAAACGTGGCCTGTGACGTGACCATTTGCGGATTGTTCGTCCATATGTACAGCCAGCAAGAAATATTGAAGCATAGATTGAAGGAAAGCGTAAATGTTGGAAATAGATTGAATATTGGAAAGATCGTACATTTTCACAATTATCTATACGGGTTTGTTCACTTTTGTGTTCAGTCTAAATGTCTGGAAGAAAAAAATCGAAGATTCGAAATATCATCGTAAATGATTATTCATAATTCTTCCTTTTTTCTTTTAATTTGTGAAAAATCTTCGAACGAACGTATAGATACGCTTTTATGGTACAGGAGAAGTTCAAGAAAATAATAGGTATTCAACTTTTATCGAGTACTCTGGTAGTGTGCTTTATTCTTTACGAATTGGCAAACACACCATTGATCAGCTCTAAATTTCTGGAATTCGTCCTATATTTGGCGTGCATGATGACACAGATCTTCGTTTATTGCTGGTACGGGAATCAGCTCAAATTAAAGGTAAATCACGTTGAGAATTTATTCTTGTTAAAATTATGCGAGTCTCGAATTTCAATTTCATAATCCATGCTCGAAAATTTACAACACAACAGAGTGCCGAGATTGTGGTCACGATTTTCGAATTAGATTGGATCTCCCTTGACAATAAAAGTAAGAAAGATTTGATAAATATAATGAGAAGAGCGATGAATCCGATCGAGTTGACCTGCGCATACATCTTTACGATGGATTTGAGAACTTTCGTGAGCGTTAGTATAGATATTAAAACGATATTGATGTTAAAAAATGTTTCTTTTCAGATTTCAATATATGCGCTTTTTGCAGATATTGAAAATGTCGTACTCGACGTACAATTTCCTTCAGAGAACGAAGGAATCGTAAGTTACAATGTTTCGATTAATCTTTGCGTAATTAAGGATTAATCTAATTCGTAAATAACTTGATGTGAAAATTTTCAAGATCAAGAACGTAGAATTTTTTCTAATTCGAAATTTTGTAATTACAACATTATAAAATTTGACTTAAAATCTGAAGTTTAAAATTTTTCCATAAAAAAGGAAGCGAATCTTAAACTTTGAAATCAAATTTTAACAAGCTATATAATAAAATTATCTATTAAATCGTATGAGTCTCAGTTTAAAGTATCAAAGTATTTATCTCACCTATTCTATCTGTCTTCTTTTATCTTCTTGCGAAAGAAAATTCCTCTCCAATTCTTTGTTTGAAACAGACGAGATGTACAGAAGACCAATTTCCTTGATATTACTTGATATTCGTTAAATATTTATTCCAACTCGATTATTCTTGTCCTTTTCCGATGTTAAACGACTATTGAGAATAATATAATTGATGGAGAGAAAATAAAAATTGACGTTTCTCGAACAACGTTTTCCACTTTTCCATTTTTCTGAAATTACAACACATAATAATATAGTATACATAAAGAAAAAAGAAAAAGTTTCATGAATGATAATCTATGCGCGCGCGCGCATATATAATATAGATAACCGCTCATTTATTTCACCCAAAGGTAAAGAATATATTGATGCCCGCTTAAATATATTATATGCCAACGTATTTCTCCCTTTCTTTTTCCTCTTCTTTCCATCTCTTATTTCCGGTTTATTATTATATCGTAATAATATCGAGTGACGGAACGTCGAAAGCATTGTAGAATCGAAACGACAAGTAATTGTTGTAAAAAGGAGAAAAATTTACATTCTTTGCTTGTTTGACTTCGTTATCTTTGAAAAATCTGAGCACGTTGAGTAATGATTAATCGAAAGATTGGTTAAAAACGTCGAAGGAAAACAAGTCGAATTTTAATGTTGAGAAAAAAAAGTTGAGAAAAAGAGAAGAGAAACGATGCAATTGTTACGAACGATATATCATCTTTTGACGTCGTGCGCTTGTTGGCGACCACCATTCTTGTCCCCATTAAAAAACTTCGCGTATACAGTTTACTATTGCTATGTGATCCTATTGATATACGGAACCACGTTTTGCCAATTCGTCGATTTGTTATTAATCGTGGAGACCGAGGATGAATTTTACGACAATTTTTACCTTACATTGGCAATTTTTATCTCGTGCCACAAGATGTACAGCATGCTGGCCAATCGTGAAAATATCATCCTGGTAACTAGCATGCTGGAAAGCAAACCGTTCCAACCTGAGACAGAGGAAGAGATGAATATGCGAGACAAATGCGACAAGCAGGCCAGGTGAATATTTTATTTAATATTTTATCGTTCAACGATACGTTTCCTTTCTTAAAATGTTATCAATATACCTATTCTGTATTGAAAATTAGTCGATATTAACATTATATATATACAGATTGAGTCAAAAAAGGAGATAAAACGGGTATGATTTTATAAAAATTGATTGATTTAAGAAAAAAATAAATGTATTTGCAAGCTAAATGTTCGAACCATTGTAAGAAATGATATTTACATTTACTTTACGATCGAATTTTGATAGATCAAATACAAATCATCTTTCTTGATTCATTCTGTATTTATATATGATAAAAATCGGATACATACCCAATATCATTGTTTCTTTAATGAACGCTGCAGATTGAACGCGATTTATTACGCAATTCTAGTCGAATTGTCAGTGATGTCGTTGTCGTTCGGCGGCCTGCTCAAAACTGAGAGTCACAAGTTACCGTATCGAATGTGGTTACCCTACAATTATACCTCCTTATCTGCGTATACTTTCATTTACACGCAACAAGTCGTAAGTCTGATCGTTAGTGCTATGATACACGTGGCCTTCGACAGCTTCGTCTGGGCCTTGTTGATGCACATCTGCAGTCAGATCGAGATTTTTAATTGTCGGTTAAAAAAGATCAAGCACGAAAAGAATAAAGTTAAAATAAAGAAATTGTGCATACATTATCATAATCTTATATATCGGTATGATGTAATCCTCTTCTCCCTTTTTAACTTTTCTTTTATTCCCTTAACTGGGCCAAAATACAAAAATCTTCCATGCTTGGTCTTAAAAATTTCATATTTTTAAAATGAATTCAAACTTACAAGGAAAACTCGTCGCGCAGTTAAGGGATTAAGTAAATCGAGAAAATTATTTCTAATTAGTGTGCAAACGATTCCAGATTGGCTACGACGATAAACGAACAGTTTAAAATGGTGATTTTCATTCAATTCACAGTGAGTACATTAACGATATGCGTTAATCTTTATATATTAATGGGAACACAAATTACGTTCGAGAGAATTATACAATTAGCGATATACAGTAGCTGTATGTTAACGCAAATATATATTTTCTGCTGGTACGGGAACGAAGTTAAACTTAAGGTATATTTTATCCGCGATAATAACGAATCAATCCAAGTATTCAATCTGTTACCTTTTTTTTTTTCTTTTTCATCCAGAGCCTCGATATTTCTAACATGATTTTCGAACTTGATTGGCCGGATCTCGATAATACAACTAAACGTGACTTGTTGATGATCATGATGCGTGCATCGTATCCCATCGAAATGACTAGCGTTCATGTGGTTACCATGAATCTCGATTCATTTGTGATCGTTAGTACGAAAAAGATCAATTTTTTTTTTCAACTTTCTGTATCTCAAAATAGCACGTGAACATAAAGATCGAATTTCTCGTTCTAAATATCAAAGCATAATATTTTTTTTCTAATATTTTTTCTATTTTTTTTAATAATTTTTCTCGTAGATGTATGCATTCTTTTTTTTTCCAAATTTTGTATTCACATTGCACAATTTGTTAATCTTAAACATATATTCACAGCTGTTAAAAACTTCATATTCAGCGTACAATCTGCTTCAAAGTAACAGAGAATAGCGGCGGATGTTCCTTCACCGTGCCTTTGACCACTTTTATAGGATGAAACGTGATTTACGACGAAGAGGAGTAAAATAACTCAACGTTCGTTATAAACCACTTAACGTTATGAAAGAAGATAGTGAAGAAAAAATACAATAAATGAAACAATAAATGATATTCAGAAGCGGTAGGTTCATAACGGAAGTCTTTCTTTTCTTTTTCTTTTTTTNACGTTCGTTATAAACCACTTAACGTTATGAAAGAAGATAGTGAAGAAAAAATACAATAAATGAAACAATAAATGATATTCAGAAACGGTAGATTCATAACGGAAGTCTTTCTTTTCTTTTTCTTTTTTTCTTTTTATTTCTTTTTTTTTTTTTTTCTTATTCCCTTGCTCGAATTCATTTACAACAAACGATCACCGCATTATTATTTCACGAGCTTTTATATCTCAAGCTCGAACCGTGTTTCATCAAGAACATGTGAATTTCCGGTGAAAAGAAATGGAAAATACAAGAATGAGAGGTAAAATTATCGATGCTATTGTTGGAAAAGTAAGTTACAACAACTGTGTACATGTTTATAATAATTTTGATATCGAATATTGAAAATTCACTCGCTAATATCTCCATGAATCTCGAATCTTTCGTGTTGGTCAGTTTCGAACGTTTTACTTTAATTAATACAATGCACGGCAATAATAAAAGCAAATGATGTTCTTTTTAAAAGAATATTGAAGAATAATAAACGAAACACTTACCTAAGATCTTGTACAAATGTTCTTTTGTACGACGAGCAATAATAAATGTCAGCTCTGTTAAAATAGCATTGCTGAAGTTACTTTTTTTTTTTTTTTTTTCACTCGAAATTGAAATGAAGACATTCCGTGAACGACTGACTCTCCTCGATCAGTCAGATAAATAAATGATAATTATCATTTCGTGTCTTTCACGATCACAATTTATATTTCAACGTAGTTTGAAAGGATAATTTTAATATGAAATGTCAGAAAGCCAGAAATAGGGGAAGAAACTACCACGATGTTTTTAAAGATAGATTTTCTGTTTCTAAGATAGGCCTTTGCATCATTAACAAACATAATGACGTAGAACGTATTGGAATAGAAGAAATAGCTTCGTCTACTAAAAGGGTTGAACTTGTCGATATTCTGGGATGGTCAGTGGTACTTGAAATACTTACACTTCGACTTTTGCAAAGATCCACTTGTATTGACGATTCGCTATATTAACAAAAAAAAAAAAAATTATTTTTCTATTTACGAACGAAATAATTACTTTCGTTCACGTGTTGCCTAAATTTCTGTTTCACGAATAACAATAAACGATGTTAAAATCTTAAGAATCAAATGTAAAATAATTATAGCCGATGAATTTTCATAAAAATGGTCGTGCAGGCGTTGCAATGGACACGTTTCCTTCTCTCTGTTTGCGGATGCATGCCACCAACGTCGTGGAAATCATCGTTTAAAAAATCGCTGTACAATATTTACACGTTCGTCATATGGTTGTTAATACTGAGTCTTGTATCCAGCCAAATATTAGATATAATTATCAACGTGAAAAATAAGAATGAATTCATAGAGAATTTTTATATCACGCTGGTTGTATTCGTTACAAGTTGCAAAATGACCATTATATTAAGGTATCGTAAAAATATTTTATCTTTGATGGACGATCTTCAACACGAGCCTTTTTCACCGATGACACACGAGGAAAACGAGATCCGTAGAAAATTTAACAAAATGAACGAGTAAGTCTTTATTATTTTTCAACGCTCTCGAAAAAGATCCCGATGCGAATTTAAAATCAATATTTTTTTTTTTTTTTCTTACAGGAGGACTTCGATTTGTTACACAATTCTGGTCTTAGTTTCGGCGACATGGATATTCGTGAGATCGTTCTTCACGGATTTCAAAAAGAGAAAACTGACTTTTCGAGCTTGGCTGCCGTACGATTATTCGGAATTGTTACCATTCACGTTGAGTTACGCTCACCAAGCGACAACTTCAATGTTCTGCTCTTGTCAGAACATTTCATGCGACACTCTGTTCGGTGGTTTTTTGGTACAAATTTATTGCCAATTCGAAATACTGGAGGAACGTCTGAAAAATGTTCAACAAGACGAGTCTAATTATTCGGTGAAACAATGCGTTAAACATTATCACCAAATATACAAGTTTGTTCAAAACTTCTTTTTTTTTTTTTTTTACATTTTACCAGTTTACAGAAGATAATTGCAAATATTTCAAATTATTGCAACAGATTCTCTAGAACGTTGAACGAGAAATTCAAGGTAATACTCTTCTTGCAATTTTGCGCGATCGCGTTCATACTCTGTTTCAATCTCTATCGAATGACCACTATAACGATGATTCCTAAATTATTGGAAGCGTCTCTATATTTAATTCGCGTTTTAGTTCAGATATTGTACTATTGTTGGTTCAGTAACGAAGTCAAATTAAAGGTTAGTCGTTGAGGCGAAGAAACGAGATGTGTAAAATTTTTCCTAAATATTTTGCGATTTCTTTTTTTTTTTTTTTCTCCTCATTACAGAGTCTCGAGGTGCCTGGCATGATATTTAAAAGCGATTGGACATCGTGGGATGACAAGACGAAAAAAATCTTTCTAATAATCATGACACGAGCGACACAACCTTTCGAATTTACCAGTGGCTATTTGGTGACGTTGAACCTTGAATTTTTCGTGGCGGTTAGTATTAAATAATACAATGTATTCTATTTTTATCCATGCAATTATTTATTATAAAAAACTTACCCTTTGCTCTTACGGCTGTAATGGATTAAGCATCTAAGAATGAAAGTGTCAGTAATGTAGATAAATTGTGATTAGAAGTTTAGAACTGTGCCAATCCATGTCCTTTCAATAGTATTTTGACTAGAAATCATTATAATTAATGTAGAAGAGAATAAATTGTATTAAGAATTAATTGGATGCATGGATTAAAATAGGACGACACCTTATGTGATTTTGAAATGAAACATTTTTAGACTTCAATCTAATTCTAATTGAATATAATTTTATTAAAGTTAATAATTTTTTTTATTACAGCTAATAAAAGCTTCGTATTCCGTCTTTAATTTATTGCAACGAACTAAATGAAGATCTTAAAATTATTTATTCCAATCGAAACAGATGTATGTAGCGATACGGATAGCTGAAAATGAATTTCAAACGAATGCTATTAATCCCATTAATCCGTTCTGTATCACGAAATTACAACAGATTTATAAATAAAACTGGTATAAATACTTACTCGATCGTAGAAAAAAAATATACTTCTATATTTATTTCTCGCCTGTTGAATCGCATTCTTTAACCAACTTTATGCTATAACGTTCCTTTTATTTTACGAATCATTATAGAGAATATATATATCGATATAACATAATATAGTATATATATACATATATTTATATATATATTCGACTTGCAACATTGCATCGCGGATAAAAACTATATAATAAAACTATGAATGTATAAAAGTTAAGACCATTATTATTTAAATTGTACTTATACATAATATAATGCAAATGCAACTCACGATACTATTACAATAATGAATATGTATGTACCGAAGGGTAAACTCTGTACGAAATAACTCGATTCGAGGGCGTACGACGGATATCGATATTTTTACGCAAGTCGTAAGTAACAATCGAAACTATACGTCCAACGATAGTTATGATATAAGGATATATATCTATACCCTTTTCGAATTTGTCCCTCTATACTTTCGATAATTGTTGTCGGTTGCGATAAGGTCTAATCGAATAAAAAAGAAAAAAAGAAAAAAAAGATACACGTAAAGATTTTTTTTCTTTTTCTGACATCGACAATGCGCATACTGCGATGGACGTTTCTCTTGTTCGCGTTATGCGGTTGCTTCCCACCCTCGTCGTGGACAACGCGTCTCAAAAGATACTTGTACAAGATTTACGCGGTATTTTCGTTCATAGCGTTGAACAGTTTCTTGCTTGCACAAATATTGGATATGGTGTACAATGTAAAAGACACGGACGATTTCAGTGACAATTTCTCGGTAACTGTAGTAGTATTCGTCACATGTTTCAAACTGATCACTATACTTATACGCCGTGAGAACATTCTACTTTTGTGCAACACCCTAAAGCAGGAGCCACTTTCGCCGATAAACACGGAAGAATTTGAAATTTTCTTGAAATTCGAAAAGCTCACCGAGTAAGTTGATCGTCTCTCTTCAATTCCCTTTACAATCTGTATCTTTATTAAATGAGATTAAACTTTTCATCTTTCTCTCTTTTTTTTTTTTTTTTTTTTTTAATTTTTCCAGTTGGAACACGCTTGGTTACTTCGTCCTACTTATGTCTTCTTCGTTGTGTATACTGATGGGATCGCTTCTCGCAAATTTCAAGATCAGAAAATTAGCGTTTCGAACGTGGCTGCCTTACGATTATTCGACCGCATCTGCATTTCTGCTTGCCTTCGCTTACCAAATTGTGGTTGCAACGGTATGCACCTTCGCGTGCGTCGCCAGCGATACTTTGTACAGTGGCCTGTTGATACATATTAGCTGCCAATTCGAAATACTGGAGCATCGTCTGAAAAACATTGGATCGGATAAAAATTATAATATGAAACAGTGTGTTCGTCATCATAATCACATATACAAGTTAGTTTGTCAATTTATAGTGAATTTTCATTAAGCAATATATATATACATATATATTGGAACTTTGCAGATATGGAGAGATGGTGAACGATGCATTTCAATCGATCATGTTCTTTCAATTCTGCACGAGTCTGTCAATGATCTGTTTCAATTTCTATCGAATAATGCAAATAGAAATGGATTCAAGATACATAGGTACACTCCTCTACATGGTGTGCTCGTTAATGCAGATATTTTATTACTGTTGGTTCAGCAACGAAGTCAAGCTCAAGGTTCGTTATTGCCAAGTGAAAGATACGATGACACGTTATGATTTTTTTTTTTTCTTCATTCTACAGAGTTTGGAACTTTCCGATATGATATTCAGAAGCAATTGGACATCGTTGAATAGCAACGTTCAGAGGGCCATTCTATTGGTAATGAGGCGTTCAATGAAACCCATTGAATTTACCAGCATTTACATTGTATCCGTGAATCTTGATTCCTTCATGACAGTCAGTATCCCTTTTTTCTTCTTCTTATGCATACCTGCATATTCAGTTGTACAATATATTTATGTTGTAGTTATTGAAAAGTTCATATTCAGCGTTCAGTGTGTTGCAACAGAGCCGAGAATCGTAAAAACGAGCAAGAAAATTTGCTCAACGTAGAGCCGTCTTTCTTCGATTCTTCCTGGTGGAATAGATCAAGAGAAAAAGGAAGAGAAGAAAAACTATGTTCCTAGATCGAGTAAAACATTCTAGAAATAACATACAAAAGTATATCGAGAAGTAAATTTTAATAAATCATATGGAAATATAGATACTATTACGCACTTGTGTAATAAATTTCATCTTCTGTCAATTTCTCTTTTTCTTCCTCACTTCTTTCACTTTTATTCGAACGTACGATGATCACTTATCTGTTTCACTCTCGAAACGCAACTGAACTCGTATTAATTCCACATGTAAATAAAACGATACGCTCGGGAATAGAAATTGACTGGTATAGATATAGATCCTGTGTTGTTATTAAAAATGTAATTACATAAGGGTGCATCTAAATTACTCGTGTCACTTGAATCGTCGAGTTGAACTTCAGTTAAATGGTAGGGATGCATCGCAACACGCACTATAATGATCCTTATATGGTCGGTAATTACGCACAATGAGAAAAGAAGGAAACAGGAAAGAAATATCGATATTTTATAGTCGTTGATGACATGAAATGTTTAAAAATAAACAGAGAAACAGTAAAAATAGAAACAGCTCGTTTGTAAATTACGATTAGAAATGAAATGAAATATCTTGTCAATGCTTAAAAACATTTATTTAAAATGATTTGCATTGAACGTTTTATCTTTCTTTATAATCGTGATTTGTAAAAAAATAATCCTCGAAAATTCTCCGTGAAACTTTAGTGCTTAATTTTTCTACAAAAATAGAAATATTATTACAAAAAAAAAATAGCGGAAAATAGGAAGAAAAAATAATGTAAAGGAACATAGAAATCGATAACAGTAAATACTTATGTACTTACAGTTGTCAGCTTGTTTTTAAAAATGTAATTCCTCGCGTTATATCGTCGCATCGCAGTAATATCAGTAATTACGATAATTGCATAGGGGTAAATTCCAAGAGAAAACTGTCCCATTTGACAGAGCACAAAGAATATTGGCATCTTATAATGGTTGGTAACACTTAATGAAAGAGCTATCCTCTAAAGGTATCCTTTGTTTTTATATATCACGATTAGAAATATAAAATTACTCGAATAATATTTTCCTTTCTTTTCATTTTTTAAAATGTATTGTATTGTTGAAAAATCCTATTAATAGAATTTATCGAAATGTAAACAGAGGAGAAGGAAAAAAATTTTGATCATTTGGTCCCGATTTTGATTTACATTTACAAAATAAATATAAATCATATTGACAATTAATTTAAAATGCACTTATTGCGATGGACATTCAAGCTTTTCGTTGCCACTGGATACTTTTTATCACCGAAAGTCAAATCTCCCACAAAACGATTTCTCTACAATGTGTACACCGCCGTCATGACATTATTTTTATTAAGTTTCTTGCTCACGTTAATTATGCAAATCGTTTTCAACGTGAAAACTGCGGATGAACTCAGTAAAAATTTCGGTATAACCATCACGGTATTCACCACCATTTGTAAGTTTATCAACTTACTATTCCGACGAGGAATTATCATAAGTTTATTGGATTTGTTGCAAAAGGAGCCCTTCTTGCCTATGAACATAGAAGAAATAAAAATTCACACGAAATACAACAAGTTAATCGAGTAAGTTTTCCCTTCTTCTTCTTCTTTTTTTTTTTTTTCGATATATGGATCAAACAAAGATATTGTTCGACTTTTTTATTTGTTTTTACAGGAAAGTCAGTATTTTTTATACGTTGCAAAACATATCCTGCCTGGTCGCTTTGATTGGCGCCACATTAATCACCGATTTCAAGAAGAAAAAATTAACATTCGAGGCTTGGATACCTTTCAATTATACTGCCTCGTGGTTTTTGTTCTCTTTAACTTTTATTCATCAGTGTGCGTGCGCGATGGTCACTTCTTTTGGTATCAGTATCTTCGATACCCTATTCGCCGGCCTCCTACTTCAAATATGTTGTCAATTGGACACGCTTGTACACCGACTGCAAAATATCAAAGAAGACGCGATTCGATCGTTGAAATATTGCGCGCGTCAACACGAATTGATATACAGGTTTGTGCTCTGTATTATGATTAATAATAATGATTGATAAAAAGCGGTGAAATTATATTTACCTCGTTTTCAGATTCACCGAATTGATGAATAAATTGTTCAGTTCAATATTGTGTTTGCAATTTTTGATTAGCGCGGTCGCAATATGCTTTAGCGTTTATCGGGTAATATATACGAAAACAGATTCACAATTTGCTGGAGCGATAATATTTGTTTTTTCCGCATTAATTCAAATCTTTTACTTTTGCTGGCACGGGGATATAGCAAAATACAAGGTGCGTAATTACGATCTCTCTTCGTTCCTTTTGCAGAAACGATATTTCAATCATTTTTTTTTATCTACGCAGAGCCTTGAGATTCCCGACATGATATTTAATAGCAATTGGCCGAATTTGAGCAACGACGCTAAGAAAATTCTCTTGATAATCATGGCACGTTCATTGACGCCTGTCGAGATCGTCAGCGCTCACATTATACCTCTTAACCTGGAATCTTTCAAGGGTGTCAGTATATATACGTAAAAAAAATTATATACATATTATATATCATAGAATACTTTATAATATTGTAACGATTTTAAAATTTTTGAATAGTATTTTTCACTTTTTTTTTTTTTTTTTTTAATCTTTTAATCGTCCAAGCAATCTTAGATTCATTATAAAATTTTACCTGCGCGCTACTTTCGAATAATTTTATATTATTTTATAAATTTTCTCCATCTAATTGTTGCAGGAAATGTGTATTCTATAATATATTATATTCTGTTTGTTATAGTTGATAAAAGCTACTTACTCGGCGTATAATATGCTGCAACAGACTAAGTAGAATTTATGTGGTTAACGTTAGTGGCAACGTTTTCTTCTGTTCCTTTATGGTCCATGGAATAATAATGATAAAAGAGAAGGAAAACAAGCTATTCGAATAAATAAATTATGTAGCTTTCAGATGTAATAAATTTATTATAAATTTAATATTCAAATGAGATTTGAAATTTGAAATTTCAGAATGGGAACTTAATATAAAATTTTGAAACAATTCGATGATGAAAATGAAAAATTATCCATAATCCAAGCGAATCTACCAAAAATCTGATTATACAAAAAATTATTATTTCAAGTCAAAATTCTTAAATATTAGTAAAATTATATTTACCTGATTGGTCATAAAATTTGAACGAAAATTGATTATTAATTTGCTTTTCTCATTTATTTTTTTTTATTATGAAACCAATGTAAATTATAATCTATAATTCGTAATAAAAAATATCTTTCTCATTAATAATTTGCGCTTTCTGTTTTACAAAATTGTTCATAAAATATTATAAAAAATAATATCTTTTTTTATAATATTAATTATAATTTTTTTATAATATTTTTTTTAATTATCATAAAAAATAATATCTTTTTTTTATTACTTACGAATTTCAATTTCTCGTTCGTCGATTAATTCTCATCAATGCGCCGCAACCTTCTGTCTCCTGCGAACGATAACGGTAAACTGAGAGTCTTTCGTATTCCATACTCTATTGTTTATTAATTTTCGTTGAGGGGAGACATATAATAGTCGGTGACTCATTATCTATTTCCGGTTTCACAAATTCGACCCTTTCTTCATGTTTATCGACATGGTATTTCGCCTTCAATCGATTTATATTGGAAAATTCTTTCGCGGAAAATTGAAAATGTATCTATGATATATAATCGTGAATAACGATTATCAACCGATCAAATCGACAGTCATCAATTGCGAGACTTTAGAAACAAAACTTCGATTTCGATTGCAATTCTGTTTCTATTGAAAGTTTGAAACCAGGAAATAATTATCTTATCGTAACAATGGTGTAAGTATTGGTTATGTAATAATAATTACGATGCATTAGGCGGAGGAAAAGATCAATGGAAATAAGACTGGTCGAATCTAAGAAACGATACGCAGTCGAAAATAGTTTGTTCATAGTGCAACTATTAACAAGTTTTTATCGATTGTAATTAAACACCTCAAATCCGCACAATTAAATTTTTCTACGTTTCTATTTGTATCTTCTTCCGATTAAAAAATAAGAAAAAAAGAAGAATAAAGATACGTTTCAAATCCCTCTGACAAGATTCCTTTTTTTCGCCAACTTTTTAGAGAAAAATTTTGATACTTTTCGCTGATCTAACGTCGAATAATCTTCGTCGAGAAAGTTTTATCGTCTTTTAAAAGAGAGTTTAAACGGAAATAAGTAATAGAATGCACAAACTTTCTCTGTCGTTTGCTCTGCTCACTTACGGTGGCTATTGGAGGCCAACAAAATGGCCGGCTTCCTCGTACAAATATCACCTGTACAACGTTTACTCGGCATTCATGATTTTCCTCTTATATTTTATCACGTTCTGTACTTGCGTGGATTCGTTGATCAGCAAAAACTTGAAGACAATGAGCGAAAAATTTTCCCTCTGCATCTCGGTCCTAGGTGTTTCTCTCAAAGTGGCCAACTTGTTCCTTCAACGAGGAAAAATTATAAATATAATGGACAGTCTGACGAAGGAGAATTCCATTCCAAGGGACGAACAGGAGAAAATCATTCAACGAAGAAACGACAATTACGCAAGGTTTTTTTCATTAAATCGATAAAAATTTCTTCTCTGTCAAAATATCTCTTCACGGATTTGTTTCTCTTTAATCGTTTAACCTGTAGATGTAGCCTCGCTATCCGTAAAATTTTTTTCTTCCAGAAAACTGACCATATACTGCGAGATTCTGAACGAATCGGCAGTGTTCTTCGCGACCGTGGGTCAATATAAAACATTCATAAATACCAGGACATTACCCGTATCCGATTGGATACCATACGACTTATCCTCGTCAGAATTGTACACGATATCCCTGTTGTATCAAACAGTTGGACTGTTGATCTGTGCGAACGCGAGCGTGGGCAACGAGACCCTGATTGCCGGATTGATGATACAAGCTGGCGTGCAGTTTGACATATTTTGTCATCGAGTACAAAATCTGTCCTCCCTGTTGACGGTAACAAGAAACAGCAACGTGTCCAGAAAGGATCTGAGGATAAGATACAATAAGATTATTGGGGATTTGGTTCGACATCATCTTGAAGTATACGAGTAAAAATATATAAATTTGCCATTTTTATGTATTTAGTAATAGCTAAAAATTAGAAACGATCTCGTATTACGATTACCATTACAGATTTGTCCGAACGGTGAACACCGTGTTCCAGTACATGATTTTTCTACAGTTCTCCATAAGCTCGGTGGTTTTGTGCCTGAGTATCTACAAATTTTCAACGGTAGATCCGTTGAGCATGAACTTCGTCTGGAGCGGCTTCTATTTGTGCTGTATGCTTATGCAGGTGTATTTATACTGCTGGTTTGGGAACGAGGTGACGTTGAAGGTTGGCACTGTCTTTCATTTCTACTCGATTATTATATGCTCGAGTAACATTAACACGAATAAAAAATTGATAGACAGGTGGAAATGAATATTTTCGAATAACAAAACGTTGATTAATTGCACAAGAATAATAATTTTTCAATTTTTCAATTACGATGCGATTTGTCTACGCGTTAATTTTTTTCGTAATCAATTCGTTGGTTATATATATTTATAGAGCAATAAAGTAAGCGATGCTATTTACGAAATGGATTGGACGATACTTCCTTCTAACGTAATGAAGGATTTATTGCTCGTTATAGCAAGATCTAAGAAACCGGTGAAAGTAACCAGTGGTCAGATCTTTACCTTATCCACGGAATCCTTTATGAAAGTTAGTTGAATAGAGTCGAACAAATGATTAAGCTTTGTTGTGTTATAACGATTCTAATCAATTGTGAATTGTAGATCATGAAAATGTCATACTCCTCGTTCAATATTTTGAAAAATTCAACGTTGAAGTAAGAAAATTCAATCGTTACTGCTTTAATTTTTACCTATATATATATAATTTATATATTATAATATATATATAATTACCTATATATATATAATTATTCTCGTTCCAATTGTACTTTTTTATAATTATCGTAAGAAATATTTGTGTATCCTTTTTTATCGTAGCGCATTATCACACACTTTCATCGATGTATCTACTCATCACAAGCAGAGTGAAATAAAAAAAAAAATAATAAAAAGAATTGATCATCGAGAGTTGTATCGATAACGAATTAGAAAAATCGGTCATCGAGTATCCATCCACAGAATTCATCATTCATGATATTTTAATTTTATCGCATTGTAATCCAAGGCAGAGATTTTTAATAGAATTAGTCGAGACAAGTTGAACAACTTCTCTACGTTTAATAAATTTCCCTCAATTTTTTTCAATGCTCTGTCCAATGTCTCTGGCTTACTTACTCAAAGCCACCATATTTTTAAGCATTAAGAATTTTTAACAATATTTTTATCCGACTAGAATGATGTTACGCAAGTTTATTTATCATTCTGATTGATTGCTCGATCGTATTCGGACGACTAGCGCGAAAGGAGGATAACTGGAGGAAAGTTGTGATGAACTGATTCGAGAAGCATTCAAAGCATTCAAAGCATTCGCTTTGGAAGAATCGATTTCTTCGTGATCATCGATAATATTACACGTTTATCGCCTTTTTTCAAGGTTGGTTACGCGAACCACTATTCCAAAAGTTTATTGTTTCTGCCCCTCCGACTTGTAACTAGTTAAAAGTGTGCTGTTCGGTGTATGTAATCGAAATACTCGAAAATAATAACGATCGACGAGATGTTTTCGATTTCGATCGTGCGTCGAATGGCCGGCGAAAAATTCCTTATCAAAAATTATAAAATAAACCTTCTCTAATTATTCATTAGATACAAAAGTATATCATATCTTATCATTACTAACCAAGTATATATCTCGAATCATCGACGAAGATAAAACCGAAACATAGTAAATGGAAACATCAGTTTCAATTTCTCTGGTTTCGTAACACATCGATCTATATAAATTCGATAAAATCGATGGATCCAGCTAGCCTGTTCCGATCGAAAGGTGAGAGAAATTTTCGAGGAGGCGCGAGCAGAAAATAAACGTGCAGGGCCCCACCCCCGTAGAACTTTCTGTGGCGGTCCATTTTTGGGCTCCCCACCTTGGGAGCTTCGCTTCGATTACCGCGTCCTCGCCGAGGAAGAAGCTTTTCGAAGCACCCTCGGGACACTCGACTCGCGCCACTCTACTCGCTCGGGTTAGGTAAGTGAATTATCACGAAGATTCATTCTCGACGATCGCTTCTCCTCTATTCTCTACCTGTTTTTCTTCGCTTCGTTGTCGATGATGACCAAGCTTGTTCCGATATCTTGTGTTCGCGACGCGAGTGTGACAGGAAGAAAGAAAGAAAGAAAGAAAGAAAGAAAGAAAGAAAGAAAGAAAGAAAGAAAGAAAGGAAGGAAGGAATGAAGGAAGGAAGAAAGTATGTGGATGAACGTGTGCGTGGGATTTTCACTCGCGCATAATTTACAAACACGTGGAGAGTTCGAGACGTTGAAGACTTTGATCTTCGACGAGAGGAGCTTCTTTGGTGAAAGAAGAGTATAATTCGACTAATCGTTAACTGTTTCGTTGCTACGAAGATAAACGACTGCTACTAATGGAGCTGCTTCGACGACTAACAAACGTTTCGAGAAAGAGCATCCGTTCGAAACAGTGTCACAGTTTAGGAAGGCTATGGATTTAATACGCTTTAACTTCGAGGAATTTTCATCTCGAAGGCTTTGTAGGCAAAGCTTTGATGTTTCGCTTTGACAATGCTTGTAAGTAGCTTTAATCCTGTAACATCGCTTAACAAAATTTCTTCGAGTGTAAAGTAAAGCTCTTTTATACGATAAGATTTTTTTTGTTTCTTCTAATCACGAGATAAACCAGATAACAAACCAGATAACAAAAGATATCCGATAGAAGCGTAAACGAAAAATCCTGAAAAGAACGAAATGTTCTGTTCCACTTCAACGGCAAAAATAAACCGGTTGCCATCATCGAATCGTTTCGTTTACGTCTGCTATTTTCAACCGCAGAACATTCAACGCTTTCAGTCACGATTCCGTTCGTATTTTGAAAAACTAAGATCGATATCGATTGTGATTATCGATCAATTATCGATAATTAATTGTAATCGATGTTAGTACAGCGTATACACCAAACTATCCACTATCGATCAAGCCAGTAGTTTTAGTGATTTAAATGCTTGCAGGAAGATCGACAGGAAGCGGAACGCTTTCGCCACATATTAACCGCTGCCAATTAACAACAGCATTTTTAACAGCTTCGAGCAAATTTGCTTTCGGATTTAACGTAACGCAATGTCGTAAGTAGCATTAATAACAATTCAATCTATATTAATTAATCCCTCAAATTAATCCCTCGGCCATTTTCTAACGCGACCAAAATCCACCTATTAAAGATCTAACGATACCTGCCCGAGATTAAATAACTCGAAGAATCCGTTATTGTTATTGACCATCAAGGATCCGTTTTGTCACGTCACTTTGGCACTCGTGAAATGTTGAAACTTTCCAGGTGCTATTAATATCGAGAAAAGAGGGTCGAACGTAGCCCCATTCACCCGAAATCGAAATGCTTCTTTACTATCTCGTATCGTTCCGGAAATCCTATCTAAAATCCTATCTTTAATCGATTGAATCTCTTCAACAACAGAGTTGTCCAAATAATGCAATTGTATATAATCAACAATGGATACTAGATCCGGACGAGTGATACCCTTATCAATTTCAAAATAATAAAAATAGAACGCGATGAAAAACTTGTGCCTCAGGGTCGGTCGTAAGAAATCCTAAGAAACGAATATGCAGGATCGAGATCGCGAGATCGCGAGGTGGCGGCGATGATTTCGTAAATGCTATTAATACGCGGCAGTTAGATCGAATGTCGGTCGTTGGTGGCGGCCAAGTAAAGCCCGTTCTTCTGGGTTACGCTCGTGCTTTTTGGCCTCTCGTCTCCTCAACGCCGGCCGCCGTCCTCTCTTCGTCGTTCCGCGCATATTTATAGAGCCCGCCTATGGATGCTATTTCCGTAGACGCACCGATGTGCCCCGTTCCTCGTCATCGCGAAGCCGGACGAGATATCATCTGCCTTCGAATTATGACTCGCGCAACTCGCTCAATTCGTGAAAATATACGCGAGCGTATTTCGTCCACGCGCGCTCCTTCGCCTCGTTTTCAAGGCCAATTATTACAGTCACCGCCAATTATTCCATCTTTCACGCGAAAGAATATTTCGAAAGAATATTTACGACAGCAAGGGGACGACCGATGGTATCGTTGAGGTGCCGAGGTTATCTTTATCCCAAAATACCCATTTCGACACCCGTTCTCGTTTCTGTTTGGAAAGTAGGCAAATTTTTAATTATTAATTTAATCCTTGTCGAGATAAGGATTCTGAGTATCGTCATTAACGGAAAAGGAATGCGGCAAATCGCCATACCTGACTGCCATCGTTTGGAACTTTCCTATACCTCTAACGCTATCTGATCCGAATGAGATTGCACGATCTATCGGGCGGTCGTTAAACGAAAGGAAAATGGGAAATTTCAGCGAACTCGATAGTTTCTTGAAGGAAGGGAAAAAGGAAAAGCCGCCACCATGGACGCGATCAAGAAGAAGATGCAAGCGATGAAGCTTGAGAAGGACAACGCGATGGATAAAGCCGATGCCTGCGAGGCGCAGGCGAAGGAGGCGAATATGCGCGCGGACAAGGTGAACGAGGAGGTCGGCGAATTGCAGAAGAAGCTCGCCCAGGTGGAAGGCGATCTCGAAGCGAACAAACAAAATTTGGAACAAGCGAACAAGGATCTCGAGGAGAAGGAGAAAGCTCTGACCAACGTGAGTATGTTCCTCCCCATTTTTCCCCAAATTTTTTTTTACCCGACCTCTCTCGAAACGAGCGAGATCCAATTTATCTTGGACCAGATCCAAATGAATTTTTCGCCGGGAAATTTTATTTATATTTATATACGATGGTTCCTTCAAGATCGATGAATCACACGAGGTTTTACGATGGCACGATCTTACGAACGACGCCTCGTAACTTCGAAGAATCGTTCCTTCCTCTTTGTTCCTTCGTTTCTTTTTAGAGGGTCAATGAGTCACGGGAACGTTTTAATTTCAGGCCGAGTCCGAGGTCGCCGCTCTCAACCGAAAAGTGCAACTGATCGAGGAGGATCTGGAAAGATCCGAGGAACGATTGAACACCGCCACTGCCAAATTGGCCGAAGCTTCTCAGGCCGCTGATGAATCCAGCCGGTAAATCTCTAATGAAATATCAATGGATCGTAATATCGCGTCGATAAGATAAGGGGTGGAGCTACGTTAACGAAATGCAATTGCAGTATGTGCAAAGTATTGGAAAATCGTGCACAGCAGGATGAAGAGAGGATGGATCAGCTGACCAATCAGCTAAAAGAGGCACGTCTGCTTGCCGAGGACGCTGATGGAAAATCGGACGAAGTATCGCGAAAGCTGGCCTTCGTTGAAGATGAGTTGGAAGTCGCTGAAGATCGAGTCAAGTCTGGTGAAGCGTGAGTCTTCTCAATCCTCGAAGATCACCGGCCAATGAATTAATTATTTCCACTTAAATAGTTCCGTCTTAACGTTACAGCAAGATCATGGAACTGGAAGAGGAACTGAAAGTCGTCGGTAACAGCTTGAAATCTCTGGAAGTATCCGAAGAGAAGGTAAGATTTATCGCGTCTCTGTAATTTCCATGAAATAATTCGTTTTGGATTGGGATACGATTAGGCCAATCAAAGAGTCGAGGAATTTAAACGTCAGCTCAAGACCTTGACGGTGAAACTAAAGGAGGCCGAAGCTCGCGCTGAATTTGCTGAGAAAACTGTCAAGAAACTCCAGAAGGAGGTCGATAGGCTCGAAGGTAAGCTTTTAATTTTTTTTTTTTTCTTTTTCCTCCATCTTTTGTTACGTCATGTTTAAATATAACGATTTAGATACTCAAATTTCAAATAAATTTTCAAAGCTCGTTTTATAAATATGCGGGTGGATTTATTTTTCTTAAAAAATATTCATTATTTTGTTACCGCAGAATATTTTCAGAGTGCTTTTGTACCGAATTTAAACGGGTATCTGATGTAATTTGGCAAAATGACAACAACGCTTCCATTATCCGATGTTCTACCGAAATTGAATATCAAAGATTCATAGTCAATTTGCCAAAATATTGAATATCGTCATACGAGCAATGATGATTCGGTTAATCTAGATCTTTAAATTGAATATATCTTATTATTCATTTTTACTCGTACAAATTGCTTTATAATTACAGAGATTACGAACATAATGTTCGTTAGTAAATATTCGTGTTAATGAACGACACATCATCGAGCAACATCACTGATTTTCTTTACAGACGTATTGCACCAGCAGAAGGAGAAACGCAAAACGATTTGCGAAGAATTGGACAAGACATTCTCTGAGCTTTCTGGCTATTAAAAAAAAAAAGAAAAAACAAAATACTACTCGTACTCATACTCGTTGCAAATTTTCTCATTTATTCCTGTACACGAAACATGTCTAGCCGTTTCTATCTCTATTACTTTGTCTTTACTTTAAAAAATACATCTCTGCTTTAGCTGTCTTTTTTCTTTTCTGCTGCAATAGCTTCCAAAATTGGGCTTATCGTTTTTTATCGTCGTTTTGATAAACTTTTTCTTTTTTTATAATCGAAAAATCAAGCTATGAAAAAAGCCACTTTATGTTTTTGTCCCTTTTTCTTGCGTATTCACACTCACATAAGATGAACATTTTTTTTTTTTCTTTTTTGATCGATCATCTTTAAAATTGTGTTCATTTTATATTTAATGTCTCGATATTTAATTGTTTCTTCATCGTCCGATTTGGGAGCGCTTTGCTTAACTTTTTTTGTAAGAACAGATTAATTAGTAATTTTGTCGTTTTACGTTGAGCATTGTCTATTAATATACGCGTACAAGAACACAATAGCACACAAGGCGCTTAACAGAATAAAAATAAAACAAAAAGCTTCGCACGTTTATATGGGCCATCGTCAGGTACATTTGCCAACCCCTCGCAAAACTGTTTGCCTTACATTCGTGCAAAGGTATACTACACCTCACGATTCTTGCATGCTTCGAGTAAAAAGTTGACCAAGTATTAACACTTTCTTTAATGTTTGCCTTCACACGATGCTTTTTGTGTCTGTGCAATTTTGTATCGTGCAAGCACACTATCGACATACACCGCGTCGTTACGACGTTCTTAAATTTTTAAACAAGGCTATATTATAAGTGTGCACTTTTTTTTTTCTTTTCCTTTTTTAGGATGAATGTCGTTGCATCAGATAATAATTTCTTTTTTCTTTTTTTTTTTTTTTTTTGTGTAGGGTTTAACACATCCCTTCGATAGCGAACAAACAATGACTTTTAAGTTCATTGAAACAAGTAGTTTATCGATTCGTGTTTGACCGGTAAACGAAAACTCATAACAACTTGAAAAATCATTTTCAATTCGGAAACGAATTGAATCTGTTTACCGGGCAAATGCACAAGGATCGAATAGAAAATACGTAGGATTGTTATTTCTTAGATGTAAAGAAAGTGATAGAGGTTTAAATTGGGATATATGTAAAAAAAAAAAATTCAACTATTCTATATCAACTTTTCCAGACGAATTGGGCATCAACAAGGACAGATACAAATCACTCGCCGACGAGATGGACTCCACATTCGCCGAATTGGCAGGATATTAAGTTACTTTGTCCTTTTATGCTTCCTATATTAATTACATGTCATGCGTGGGGATGGAACTAAAATGTTTCGCATAAAGGACTCTAAAACACGACCAATCGTTGCACGACAAATCAGCGAAAGAGGTATAGGCTGAGGATAGATCGTCGAAAATCGGATATCATTCGTCTAATTATACGACGTTATCGCGACGAAGATGGTCAATGTATGGAGATCCGTAAGGAATTTTACTCTGTTACACTGTTGTACGAAATATTACACAAGACCCAATAAACTGCTGTAATGTGGTATGCGTTACTAATTACAAGGGCTTTCAATAGATTTTTTTTTTTTATTGCAAAATTATTTTTACCTTTAGCAGGATTTCTCCGTTTCTTCTATCTCTATCTTTCTATCTTTTTTTTATCTCTCTTTCTCTGTGCGGAAAATATCATCGTCGTCTATCTGTGGAAAGAAACGGTGAGTATAAAAAAAATTAAATAATTATGAAATACAAATAGAAATAAAAATATACGATAAGAAATAAACGATAAGAAAAGAAAATGTATAATATCTTATAGAGGCACAGTTATATGAGATATTTATTAATTACCAAGGTACTTATTAAATGTACACTGAATGTATAAATGTACACCGAATGGCATATCAATTCAGGAGTGCTGCTCTTGTACTATATCTTCGAAAGTCATGATTAATTATATGCACGTTTCCTCTTATCTACTATTTACATTTGATAATATCTTAGAAACGTCATAATTGTGCATAATTTTTATACAATATTAGTCTATTTCAATGATCCACAAATATTTGGGACCATTTTATTTTGATGAATGTACCTATTTAGACACATATGACACGCCAGATATCTAACTCATAGTTAAAACTCAAGCATGCAAAACGAAAATATAAAATCTCGCCTGTAAAATATGAATTTACAAAACAGGAAAGATAAAAAAAAATAGCACACATACATTCAGGTAATTATCATTATTGTATATAAATATATATGTGTATATATATATATATATATATACACACATATATATATACATATGTATATATATATATATATATATACCAAAAAACTATAACAGTCAAAAACAACGAATACGAACAATTCAGACATTCGGCAAAAAAATCTTTCCCATTCATCACATTTATGACATACTCCTCATTACTTCATCGATAGAATGAGAGAATTCAAATTATTTCGTGATATACACTTTAAAATAAGCACTCGAACATTCTTTTTTTTTATATATCCATTAGTAGAGGATTGAATAAAATATCTTTTACAACAAACGGCATTTAAACTCTTAACATTTGACTAACAAAGGATAGTATGCTTTTGTAAAAATTTACGATTCGAATGACCGGTTAAAATTGTTTAATTAATAACAATATAAACGATGTATCGATAATCTGAATCTAAGATCAGAATAAACATCCTGCAGGTTCTAATAATGCCCTTGCTCTAAAAGAATTTTTTTGATTCATAGCATGCATTTGGCGAATACATTAACAATAAAATAAATATAAATTGTACGAAATTGTTTAAATTTGTACATAATACGGATTAAAAAAAAAATATATTTCAACATCTCGAATGATTAATCAGTTCAATTCACTTTTCAATTTACTTAACAACAACCTCATTGTAGTCTTTGTTTCATTTCGATTTTCCCTTTCTAACATTAATAAATTAATGTTACAAAGGTTTTGGCAACGCGTTGTTCGAGTGTCGCAAAAACGAGCATAGAAAATGCTTAATACATATGGTGCCAACTGGCGCCGATTGAAATACTTTCTCGTTTAATCGACAGTCATTCCTTTTTCTAATACAATAAATAACTGTACTGCAAAAACTATAAAAACTACGACGGTATTTATCTAATATACAATCTTCATTATACAAAACATTAGACTATTTGGTGTATTAATTGCACGCAACATCATGACCGCTCTGTGACATTTTATGATCAAACGAATAATATGAAAAAAAAAAAAAAATGTTTCTAATGCCTCGATAATACATTCACACGATACGAATCGAATATATCGATGTAATTTTCGCGGTACTTAATTCGAAAAGGATGAAAAGACATGACAGGTACGTGCTGTATTTGTGAAACGAAATATCGATTTTCACTCGAATTAAATTCAACTCCAATGCATCGTGAGACGAACAGATAGATGAAACATTGACGCGTATAAAAAAAAAATTTATAAAGAAAGTTATGATATAGAATATATCAAAAAAATTAAAATTCTTTTTTAACATTTTCGATCTTTTTAACGTTGACGTATCAATGTTATTTATACTCGATCCAACTTAATAATACTTAAAAAATACTCTGTACATGTGAATAAAAAAAAAAAAATTGCATTAAATGCATTCTATTACCGCGTGTCAAATATTTCTGAAAATTTCTCTTATGAAAATTTGTGGAAACAAGTTCAACGTTTCCAATGTAAAATAATAATAATAATTATTATTATAAAATAATAATAAAAGAATATGCCGATGATCACATAGGATATAAATTACCAAATGATTCTTTCGCTCACTCTTACATTAATTATATCGCATACGAAAATATCAATAAATATAATAGGTGTCTTCGGTTCAGGCAGATGAACCTACGCTAAATTCTTCGCGAAATATCAAGAATATATCTATGTTACAAGGCAATGTGATGCACAAAATCTTCAAACGACCCGACTCCACCCAATTACCTTAAAAAATCAACATAATTTTTTATATTTACGACGTAAGAAATCAAATATATATTTATAATATAAATATACATATATGTAGGTGTATATATATATATATAAATTTATATATGTATATATATATATATATATATATGTCGAGTCTACATAACATAAATAAATGCACTGTAGACCACATTTTAGTGTTCCCCAGAAAAATGATAAATACTCTATATTATACGATAATATAATATAGAATATCACAATCTATGTGCATTATTACACATATATTATTATACATTATATATTATTTATGTAAAAATAACGAATATTAGAAACATGTAAAAAGATTTTAGAAACATGTAAAAATATAAGATATATAAGAAAATAAACTGATCTAGTGAACAATGAAGAACATATAAACAATATATTACGTCTTATTGTGATACATAAAATTTTGTTTTTACACATATTTTCATAATCTAATTGAAAATATGCAATTGAAAAAAATTAAGACGAAATTTCAATCATATCTCTAGATAAAAGATAAAAGATAACTTCTTTTCCTTTTTTATCAAGAAAATTAGTATTTACAAAATTCTTCTGGGGTTTTACTTGTTTTTTTATATATGTGTATATATATATACACACACACACACACACATATATATATATATATATATACACATAATACGCGAAAGAATTTCTCTTATAAGTTCAAATAACTTAACGACTTAATATACATAGAATAACAATGTATATAATAAACGATGTCATGATTTAAGCAGATGGTCACGATGCGAAGAATTGTTGGAGACGCTGTACCGTTCTACGGTCCAGAGCACACAAATCAAAGTCAAATGTTTTCTTCGTAATCTCGTATTGACCAGTTTCTGCAATTACTTGAACAACTCTTTGTAATTCTTGATTATCTTGTAAAGTCATTATTTTTTGTTGCAAGTCTTTTAATTGAGACACATAATCTTCCGAAAACACTGGTGGTTCCCCCATATCTGAATCAACCAAAGTACTATTCGTGGAATCAGGTGCCACTTGTTCCACTTCTGCTTCGATATTTTTTTCAACCATTTGTTCTATGACACCACGATCCTCTTTATCTTTCATATGAACAGTTTCCTGATCTACCACAACGGGTGATTGACTCGAAGAAACAGGTTCTAAAGGGGGTGACGATGATTGACCTCTATCCTTTTCTCTTTTAACTACATGTTCGTCATCGCCTTTACTATCACTCCTTCGTTTTCTCTTTCGGGTATCCTTCTCCTCCCCTTTGCTTCCTTTAGGTCTCTCCCTTTTACTTCGATCTACTTTTTCTTTTTTAATATCTGGCGGGATTGTGGGTGAAAGAGCTTTCGCCATATCGGTTGGCGGTGTAGACACTGTTATATTTTCTACTTCTTTCTTAATGACAGGCACTGACAATTTTGATTCGGTAAAAGAATCATCATCTACGGATGGCGCTGAATCGCTACTATCCCTTTCCGGCATTTCTGCCAATAGAGTTGAAAGAGGATTAGCTACTGAAACATTAGGCACATTATTTTGCTTCTCTGTTGAAGATTTTATCCTATCACGTTTTTCTTTTTTATCCCTATCTTTACTACTATCTCGTTTATCTTTTTTATCCCTTTTCTTATGCTTATGTTTCTGCCTATCCTTATCACTTTTACTGTCCTTCGTTTTGTCGGATCTTTCCATTTTCTCTGATTTTTCTATCTTTGGCAGCTTATCATCCTTTGGTTTGTCACTCTCCTTCGGAGGTCTCGGCGATTTTCTTCCATCTTTCGTAGATTTATATTCTTGATTTTTTTCTTTCTCGGATTTTTCCGATTTGTCTGACTTATCATTTTTCTTTTCTATTATTTTTATAGTTTCTTTCGAAGAAGATCGTTCTCCTTCTTTATATTTATCTTTTCGTTCTCTATCCCGATCTTCTTTATGTTTTTTCTTGTCCTTTTTTTTTTCACTTTTAGAAGAATCGCTAACACTCTTACCATTATCTTTTATTTTATCTTTTTCTTTATATTTATCCTTATCTTTGTCAACTGTTTTTTTTAGTTCTTTTTCTTTTAATTTTGGAGAAGACGGTCTCTTTGCTGGAGGGAGAGAAGGACTAGAAGGTCTTTTTAATGAGATTGATGTAGGTGAAAGAGGTCTTTTATTAGAAGGGCTAGAATGACTTTTATTTCCAGGACTTGGAGGTCTTTTTGATTTTTCTTTATTACGAATTTTATCTTTAGATTGATCTCTAATTCTTTTATCTTTTTTGTCGTCTACTTTCTCTTTTTTATTATCTTTGTGAGGGCTCTCTTTGAGTTTTGTTTTATCCACTTTATCTGACTTTTCAGTGGTAATTAATGATTTAGAACTTGAGGATTTTTCTGATTGTATAGGTTTTTTAGTATCTTGAATAACTTTTGTAGGTTTTAAAGGAGTTCCAAATAGCTCAGCAAAAGAATTAGAAGTTTTTGATTCTATATTTTTGTGCTTTTTTGTATCATTTCCATTGATTTTTGGTTTGTTAACCATAGTTAATGCTTTACTTTCACTTTTCTCAACTGAATTTTCAGAATTAGATATGAGAACCTAATCATATAATGTTTATTACGATTTATATAGTGATTTAAGAACCTGTAAATATAAGATTAAATATACTTACACCACCACCTTTTAACAATTTCCTTTTGAAATCATCTGAAGGATTATTAATTATTTCAGTATGCTTTATAACACTAGTAATTGCAGGACCACTTTTTTGTAAATTAAGGTCATATAAAATTTCTATTTTTTTGCTACCTTCATCCTTGTTTTTTAAATAAATATGAATTGGAATCTCAAAACCAGCATAACCAGATTCTTTTATCACAAATGGTGGTTCTTTTATGATTCTCTTTGGTTTTGTAAATGTTTCATGTAATTGAAAAACCACTGAAATACAAAATAAAATATATCAGAAGATGATCCATTCTGTATATTTAAGTATATATAATATACATTAAAAAATATATTTACCTTTTTCAACATAGTGGTGAATATCAGCATTATCTATACCCCGCACAAATACTTCCCAATCATGAGTGTATCCTTGTGGAGTGGTCCGCATACGTAACATTGATGCGTGTCCACATTCTAATGTGATACGAATTGCCATTCTCTCATATGAAATTTTTGATACACACTTTTTAAAAGAAAAAATAGTGGAAGCTAATTATGCGGGTAAACACAAGAATTATATTACATTTTTATTGTGAATGAAAATCTTCACTATCAGGTCCTTCACAGAGTATTTGTAATGTTGTAAACCATTGTTCAGCAACTTATGCTAGATGTATAAGTTATGACAGTAATTCTTTCCTAATTTTCGTACTTTTAAGATTCTGGTACATCGTTTGGTTACACTTGTTTTACATAAAAAAATGAAACACCACATTAGTGTGGAATATTATGTTAAATGAGATATTTATTAGAGGCAATTTACCTCGTAAGAACTATGGTAATTCGATAATTTTTCTTAAGCCAAATTCGATTCGATTATCAACAGGTAAACTTTACATCAACTAGAACTAGTCGCCATACTCGTCATTCCATATATACTATACTAGAACAAAAAGCTCAATGTGTCGCCATCTAGGAAAATCTCTGTCCTCCATTAAACAATACCAATATCAATTCTTGATTTTATACAATTTTGTCCAATCCTTGATTGAGCACACACAAATGACACATTGTTTATTAATAGAACGTACTATTCTCACATATTTAAATATTGCTTATTGCTGAATTTTAATGTATGTAAATTGTTGAGATATTATTTATATATTATTTAATAGTGTAATATCTTAATTTTTATATTTATATTTAAATTAAAATATAATTTCTTTTGTTTTTTGATAAAATTAGTAAATATATTAATATAACATATTAATCGTAAGTAAATTTATTACAAACAATATATATTTAAAAGAAATACTTAAAGAAATCAATAATATTATTTATAATTTAATGAAGAAAAAGAATTCTAATCTTCACTATAAATGTAATCTACTGATATCTTATTAATACAAATTTCTTTATAAAAAATGTTATCTACTATTGTAAAAGAGCATCAAAGCAAACAAGCAGCAAGAAAAGAAAGACAAGGTAAAAAAAATAAATTTTTGATTTTATAGAAATTGAATAAAATTATGATTATACAGTGGATATTTATATATAATAATATTTTTTAACAGAACAAAAAAGAAAAGAAGCTGTACAAGCTGCAAGTAATTTGACACAAGCTTTGGTTGATCATCTAAATGTAGGGTGAGTTCAAGATGTCCTTTAACAAATATAATTATTTATTGAATATATATTTTTATCATATAGTGTAGCACAAGCATATCTCAATCAAAAGAAATTAGATGCAGAAGCAAAACAATTGCAACATAGTGCAACAAATTTTGCAAAACAAACACAATCATGGTTGAACCTAGTAGAAGCATTTTCTAGTGCATTAAAAGAAATTGGTGATGCTGAAAATTGGGCACGTAGCATTGAAGGAGATATGAGAACTATAGCAACTGCTTTAGAATATTCTTACAAAGGTAAATATAATCATTTTTGTTATTAATTTTTTATATATATATATATACATATATATAAAATTAATTAATTAATATACTTGTAGCTACTCAAGAAGCTCAAGGGACCAGTACTTCTTGAAAGCACTTCAAAAATGTACATTATGTTACAATAATATTTAAAAAGAAACTTAACAATAAGTGTTATAAAATTTAATATTGTTTTACGCTTGTATTATTATGTGTTATATAAAATAAATGGATTTATCATGTTTTTTTATGTTAAGAATTTATTTATTTAGTATTTAAAGTTTATAATAGAATTGAAATAATTAATTGATCACTGTCTAGGGATTTAGTTTGATAATGTTTTTAAAAACCAGGGTTACCAAATAAATTTAAGTAAATTTAAATCACTAGAAATATATAGATAGTAATCATGGCAGCAGGTCCTATTGCTGAACGTAATCAAGGTAAATTAAAATGTTTAAAGTATATGTAACAATATTTTTCTTTTTTTTCTTTGTAATTAAAATATTTATTTAAGTAATTTAATTAATCTTAATTACATTAAAAATTTTACGTAATATATTAAAATTAAAAATGTATCATATTAGGTTATGTGTTCATAAACATTTTGTAGATTAACAATTCTAGAAATTTCATTTATAAAATTGAATGTAAATGAAATCAGCTTTTTATATCTCGAATGAAATGTTTTCCGATGCTTTTAGATGCCACAATATATGTGGGTGGATTGGATGATAAAGTTACAGAGTCCCTTATGTGGGAATTATTTGTTCAATCAGGACCAGTAGGTACGTATTATATATATCCATTGTTATATTTTCTAATTTTTAATATTCGAATAATTAAATTTTCTTTATAATTTTTTCAGTAAATGTCCATATGCCAAAAGATAGAGTGACACAAATGCATCAAGGCTACGGATTTGTAGAATTTATGGGAGAAGAAGATGCAGATTATGCTATTAAAATAATGAATATGATAAAATTGTATGGAAAACCAATAAGAGTAAACAAAGCAAGTGCTCATCAAAAAAATCTAGATGTTGGAGCTAATATCTTTATTGGAAATCTTGATCCGGAAGTAGATGAAAAACTTTTATACGACACTTTCAGTGCATTTGGAGTAATTCTTCAAACACCAAAGGTAATATATATATTAATAATAATAAAAATTAATCAATATCTTGAAAATAAATAATAATTAATATTATTATATAAAATATATTTTTCAGATAATGAGAGATCCTGAAACAGGAAATTCAAAAGGTTTCGCATTTATAAATTTTGCTTCGTTTGATGCATCTGATGCGAGTATAGAAGCAATGAACGGTCAATATCTATGCAACAGACCAATTTCTGTTTCGTATGCTTTCAAACGCGATGCGAAAGGTGAAAGGCATGGTAGCGCGGCTGAAAGATTGTTAGCTGCTCAAAATCCACTAAGTCAAGCAGATAGGCCACATCAATTGTTTGCCGATGCCCCTCCATTAGCACCACCTCCAATTCCAAATTCAAACACAGCAACTCATCAAACTACTCATCATCCTCAACATCATGTAATGCACGGTATGGTTGTACCACCTCCTCCTCCACCATCAACACCAGGACCTCCAATGGGTCATCCACCACCACCACCTGTTCCACCTCCACCTTCGAGTGGTTTTCCTCCAGCGAGTATTCCTCCGCCACCTTTACCCCCAATGTCAATGGCAACTCATCCTCCTCTACCACCTGGAATGCCACCTCCACTGCCACCTATGCCCGTTCCAACGTCTCAAGCACAACAAACAACTCCCAGAATGATAGCGCCTCCACCTACTGCTCATTGGGGTGTAAGCGGACCACCTCAAGGTCAATTTCCACCACCACCACCGCCTTCATCCACTGGTGCACCTCCACCTCCACAATTTGGACAATTTCAACCACCACCTCCCCGACCACCTCCAACCTGGAGGCATCCACCACCCCCTCCAGTGTCTCAAGGAGGACCACCGCCACCTCCACCTCCACAGTTTCGACCTCCCTTCCCACCGAGAGGTCCTCCTCCTCCACCGCCACCTCACGATTCCAGTCAATATTAAATTTATCATTTTTTTCCTCTTCGATATGTTTAATTTAAAAACGTAATTTTGACTATGTTCTTATTGATTAACATAATTAAACTAATTGATTGTACAAATATTCTGTAAGACAAATTCGCAATAAATTTTTTTAATTTTATCTTATTTTTTTTTTTTTTAAATTCCAAATTCCTTTCCTCCTTTCCTTTCCTTTCTTACAATAATAGATCATAAGTTATCAATTTATCTTAATTTCTTAATCTAATTAGTTAATCTAACGAATAAAAACGCGGTCATTTAATATATCGATTAGGGAAGTCGCGTGTGAATAAGGACATGCCAAGTTTGTTCTATTGATTATTGCAAGCTTGACCAGTCCAGTCAGTGATAACAACGAACAGACAAATGAATAGCAAAACAGTTGTCTACGAGCTTGTCATCGCGTTGAAAGGATTCAACGTTGTTTCGTTTATACGGAACGGAACGAAAAGTAACAAGTGAACGTAAGGAAATCGTACGTCGCGTATCAAAAACCGGGTAAGTAAGGGGAACAGGTGTCTATTAAGTGGTAAATTAAGAGCATCGGCGTGCATTCTGAAAATAACGCGACTTTTTTTTTAGATCGTTCGTGACTCGATGTAGTTTCATCGATCCATGGAACGCATCCTTGCTTGCCTCTTAATGAAATCGAACCATTTTCAATCAATCCGAGATTTGACGATTTAAAATGGTTACTCATCTATCCAATATTCTATCCAAAGGAGAGAATCATGTTTAACTTGTGACATGGCTCGCTTCTACTACGAATGTAACACAGATTTAAAAAATTATACCGAAGACAGTGAAACTATCAAGCCTTACGCTTGTACATCCGACAAATATTGTTTGTATTGTTGTTGTAATTCGCAGTGTTGTTTATTGGTACAAAGACGGCCTCCACGACATTTTTGGGAAGCCTGGTACTTTTGGCTAGGCATTGCTTTACTCGCTGTTTTTATCGTATCTTCGGTAAGTGTGTCAATCATCCAATCATCGAAATTTGCATATAATATATTGGAAAATTGTGTTTGATAATTGTCATCTCCCTTAGAACTAACTCCTTTAATTTGAGAGCGTACTCGTTTAATTTCATGACCGTCAATTTTCTAAGGGATTCTTCGATTCCTTTCTTCTTTTTAAAATTAGGTGAGCAGTTACATAGTGAGTAATTGCAGACATAATATTCAAGGTGTACCACTAAGACATAGCGCACATGGGAATCGACGAAACGATCGAAACGGCGGTCATTCGACAAACAACCAAAATGAAATATCGATAAGCATAATAACTCCAACCTCGGAATTTTTCCCGTCGCACAGAAAAATGTTCGTGATCACCTCTCAACCAGCCGTGAATCATCTGAGTAAGTAGAAATCAAATGTCTGTAGAATTTTCTTGTAAAACGTCCGTGTGAGTGTTTAAAACTTTCGAAAGTCTGACCGAAATGCAACGATACTGCGTTCCATAAACTGCATAATTACGTACGATAAGGTATATATATAATGATGTTAACGTAAATACATTTCGTATCGAGCAATTAAGCTACAGAAGGGCGGGGAGAAGTAACTGCGAGCGGTTGAGAAGAAAGACGTAAGTGAGCAAAAGAAATCTCACAGCGTCGATAAAAGGGGGAGGGAGGGACAATCATTTTAATTTCTGTCCGAGATTCGATTAAAGTTGAGGACTGATGGAATAATTCGTGCAATTTCGTGTAATAATAATTTTGTGCATGCATTGATTTATATTGCAGCCCCTGTCGTTGCGTGAAGTCGTTTCATTTTAACGGAGCGATTATGTCGGCGAGAAGGATCCAGCGCAAAGAGCTGGAATCACATCATCCTATGGCGCTTTACGCGGTAATACTTCTTGAAAGACACCGCGTGTTTCATCGGCCTGTGGTTTGATCGGCTAGAACGTCATCATGGCCTCGTCGTTACATCGCGGGAAATATTTACGATAAATGCATCTTTTTTACTTAGCCCCAGGATATAATAACTATAAGCGGTTTAAACAGCTACCGATCACGACACCGACCATTCTGGCCAAATGAGAAACGATTTTACCTAAGAGCATACGCCTCGTAATGATCAATTTGACAGCGAAGCTAGTTAGATCGCGATCCAATCCCTACTTTCGTTCTTAACTCGCCACACGCGATGCGATCTTATTATATATCATGAAAACTTCCGGTCGGCCTGTTACGATTAAGCGATTTACCGTTTCAATGGGGGTGAAAAAAGAGAAAGAGTTTGAAAATATCGCAGGAATAATATAGGATCGGAAACCGATACCGTGAATACAATTTCTATCGATCGATATTTAATCGTTTCCAGAATTACAAATCATCGGACCTCTGTATTCGATTGGATCAATCGCTTCTATATTTTATATCGGAGTAATTTAGATTTTTTTTTTTTAAATCCTGATTCCGTTTGGCTGGGCGGAGCGCAACCCGATCGAAACTCGTTCTCGAGAATGGAAGTAACTACCATTAACAATTAAGAAGACACACTCGAACCCGGTCGACGTATCTGTCTGGGTACCAAGAAATCGGGGGCTAATTAAAAAGGACAATCGAGCGAATACAACTCAAGGCGACGTGTACTCTTTATCTTCTCGCGCATCTCTCTTACCCTCTCTTCCTTCCTCTTTCCGTACCTTTACATCTTTCTCTTTATCCGCTCAATTCCTCGTCTTCCTTTTCCCCGCGACTCGTTCCTACCGCTCTCTGTTTTCAGATCGATCCAGCGATAGCGGTTAATCGCGGTAATCTTCACAGAGGAGAGGAATCACGAAAAACTTTGCCGCTCGTCGAATCGTATCGCGGTGAACGCGGAAACATGCACGCATTTCAAAACGATAAAAAATGAAAATGATCACTGTTGATCATCCGAATCTGAAAGTTATTCGAGCGACGTGCACATAGATTTCTTAGAATCGATGCTCTCAGAGATTAGATCTTGTGCCACGTGCTTCGAATCGCCTTCGGAAAATGAAAGGATTTGATGTAAATTTTCATTGTCTCGTTCCATTTGCGTAATGATTGGCTGTGACAGCGTCAATTTGAAACAGCGATTTTTTCGCGAAGCAAAAACGTCTCCGTCTTTTTTTTTTTCTTCTTTTTCTCGAAATGTTAGTTACAGAAAATAATACGTTTATTTTAATACGAAATAACGTAGGTTACAATGTATAGTATATATATATATATATGAGATATATATATAGATCACGATATCTTTCTCACGCGAGAAATTGTATTAATTAATATGCATCGAAAGATACAGATACACGTTTGACATTTTGCACAAGTGTGATTGTAATTAGCTGCGTAGGATGGGAGTGGAAACTACTGTGCATGATTACCATAAAATTCTATAAATACACACGATTAATAATATTTTCTAACCTTCTTTTTAATTTTTCGCCAATCCCACGCTACAATACGGTTGCCCAATGTTACAACATGCAACGCCAGAGTTGAAAGATTTACACTTCTTGAGAAAATCCAGTTCTCACGATTGATTTAATTGGGGTTAATTAGACTACTTTCGTCGTGGGTGAAATTTTGAAACGATTCTATTCCTGGAAGAAAAGACTCGGAATTAGAGAAATTATAATCGAAAGAATCGGTTTTCAACTATATATATATAGTAGGCATGCACAGCGTATACGAGAGGAATTTAAATTGCCTACTCTTCACCTCGTTGAAATCGGTCTATTCGAGCAACGATCCTCGATGAACGGTTCGCGATACATCTCAATAAATTATCCGCGTGAAAGAAATCCTTGTGCTCCCTGTAAATCTTTTTACTGCGAACACTTGATCGTTCGCGCAATAAGAAGTAGCCGCGGAGCCGACTGCCGGCGACCTCGTTCAACTGTAACGAAGTGTCATTCCGATAACCCAAGCCAGCTTTTACTGTCATTCGACGGATGACGATAAAGAAATGTGCAACCAGCGGGGGCTCTGCTTAACGTTGCATGGACGGGAAACCAAGCGGGGAATTAAAGTCTCTCGTCTGCTTTACCGTTTCGATAACTACGATTAAGACGTTCGAGCACGACCCTAAATTGTGAATCGTTCGCGGACACAATTTTTATCCTATTCATCTCCTCGATCACCTAGCCCTAGATTATTTCGATCGTTGTATTTGGAAGGAAGTAAAGATGAACAAGTTGGATTAATGGGGCATTTCTTATTTCCATAGATTCCTCCCTTTTTTTCAAATGCATGCATTTTGTGGGTAATAGAAGAGTCGATTTTTACAACGTGAATAAGTAAACGATGTGAGAAACAAAATTAGAATTTAAATAAATAAATCTAAATATACATATATATATATATAAAGAAATAAATGTAAATTTATGTAATGAAACAAATATTGTAATATTTAAATATACGTTTTCAACACACGTGTAATAAACTTAATACAGCCTTAACACAGTATTATAGGTGATGTTATTCTATCGAATAAAATCGGTTGCATCTGGATGGTTGGAAATAGTATATCAAAGAAAGATACGAACGTGCATCCAATTCAGATATTATTGTTCCAATAAATCGGACGAATTTAGGACGACTTTTCGAGGCAACGAGTTCTTTTGAAAAAAAAAAAAATGGAATTCGTCGCTGGAATTCTTTGAAAGCGAGACATCCTAAGTTTCGAAATGTATAAACAAGATGTGAGAAAAAATTAACCAGCGATGCTTGGATCGAATAAAAGATGGCGATTAATAATTATAAGCTACGAATAATTTTCGATAATTAATTAACGTAATCGAAATCGAAGGGGTTGAATGAAAATCACCGTTCAACAAAAATTCCAACTCCTTATCGTGATATCGAGAACAGTTGTATACAAAGAGGAGACACATTCCTTCATCTGGAAGTCGTTTGTGAAATCGCATCTCGTGGCTGCGTAGTACACGAATCTGTGATGTTGATGTAATAAATCGGGTTTAAAAAGAGAATCAACGGAGTCAACGAGAAAAGCAAGAAAAAGACGAGCAAAATCCAGCGCAAGCGTGAGTATAAATTGCGAACACGAAAGAGGGTTAGCCGAAAATGATAACGTCTGTTGGAGCGAGGCGACAAAAGACAAAAAGAAAGAAAAAAAAGCATCGAAAAACTCCTACAATGGATGCAAAGGATAAAAATTAAATAATTATCTCAACAAATACATCAAATCCTTACGATTTTTCTTCGACTTGTTAATGGTCTCCCATTTCTTAGTTGAACTTAGTCCCCTCCTTGAGTTAATTTTATCACCATGATTATCACCGTGATACGCTATTCAAAAGGACAACAACAAGTTTTATTATGAGAAAGAAAGAATCGCGAAAGAAATGAGATCGGATCGGAAGAAGAAATGTTCTGGAAGGGATTGGTATGTCGCCTTGATGACGAAAGCTACACTAGCGGTGTATGTTTAATATCTTCGATGACGGAATTAAAATAGATATATAGAAATAAATGTTTAAGGTGTGAAAGAGGAGAGGGGAAGGAAGGAGGGGAAGGAAGGAGGACGAAAAGAGAAGAAGAGAGAGAGAGAGAGAGAGAGATGGAACCGTTCTGTGCGGTTGAGTGGTCAACGTGTAAAGCAAAAGAAAGAGGAGGATACGTTTTCTGTGTTCCAGTGGGAGGAGGTACTAAAATTAGAGGAGCCCACGCGGGTAACAGTTTCTTCTTCGAGCTTCCTTCAGACATTTTCAAATAGTCCTTTACGCCGATAACACAACGTGTTTTCGCGACGTCTCGCTGTCAGTCGCGACTCGGCGCCGTGATTCTGCGTTCGATTCGATTGGCTTACAAGTGACTTCCTCGGGAGACACGGTTCCCTCCTTGGAACCCATTCAACGTCCAAGTGACTCGAGATATTCCAACTGGCAAACGAAAACTTTGAATAATCGTCCTTTCATTTTTTTTTTTTTTTTCTTTTCTCCCACCAACGATTATATCGTAATCGATGATTCTCGGCGAAAAAATGAAAATTAAGGAAGATCGATCCCCTGTTCCAACCGTTCGTTTCAATATCGTCCAGTGACTACGAAATAATTTCAATAAGTAGCCAAGTGCAAATCGAGTTTCTTTCACCATTAATCGTGGTTGTCTCTAACGAAATTGCCTCCAGCATTTAATACAAGCTAGCCTTTCAAGACGATAATATATATCCCTGTCTTCATGCATGCGTTTCAAGTGACTCTCTCGCGAAGATAGCTGGCTCCTCCTACCTACTTCATCAATTTCCTTCGTCAATTTCCTTATCAATGAAATTGTCCCTTCAATCCTCGCCGTATTCCACCGATTCTCCCCACTGTGATTTTTTTCAACGTTGAGAATCTCTCTTCTCGATTCCCGGATTGGCCGATTCCGTTAAGGCTGCGGCATGTATTTCAATCGATCGGATATCGGCTCGTCAATCTGCATACATTTCGTTCTGCTATTCCTGATTTTTCTATCGGCCAGCATCGAACGAATCGAAGGTAAGTTGTTCAAGTTCGATCCAATCGAGTCGAGAAACGTTATCAACTGCTTTTTTATCCAATACAATCGTGTCGAAACACAACGTAATCGATACACGTACGTTTATCGTACGACTAATCAACGTATATTCGTGAAAAATATAAAATACATATATATATATATATTTAATGAAGCACATGGAAAGAAGAATGCACCAAAGAAAAAAGTGGATAAGATGAACACATTTGCATGTATTTACACGCCACGATAAACTCGTTCGAGCTAAATATAAAAAAATTTATTGAAATTGGCAGGTAGAAAATGCGTGTGCACGAGCAAGGACTGCAAAGCAGCCGGGGTGGACACGTGCAAAACAAAGTTTTCCTGTTACACGGAGTGGATTTTGACCAGGAATCAGGAATTGGAAGAGAACGCTACAACCAGAGGATGCACGTATAGGTATATACATCCATTAATTATCATACAATTGTTATCCGATGTGATTTCTCCCTATATTATTCCTTTAATACGACGGAAAAGATGTGATTGAATTTTAATACGCAACGATGGATATGTATATGTAATAGATATTTTACGATATTTATATTTAGAGAACGGAAACTGGTTTGATACGTAAAAATTTCGTGGCTCGTTTATTTGATTCCGCGCAAATAATATTCGTCAAAAGATAAAATGGAATTCGTGTTTTAAACGGGTTTACAACGATTATAGTGGTAACACTTTGGTAAAAAAAAAAAAAAAAAATAATAGCCTAACCTCTGACCTTTCCTCTCTCCTTTGGACAATAAATTTCAACGATATAAGTTCGGTTTATTATTCGAAAACGATTTAATTTGCTGAATTTCGAAGCGATCGGCGCACCGTTGTAAATTCACCAGAGCTCTGGCTAAAACAGATAGCCTTGAGGAGATAATCGACACGAGAATTTTCGCAAATTCTTTTCGAAACGCGTCAAGATGACGAAATGTCGAAATCGAAAACGAGTTTTTATTACTTCCAATTAAATCGTCCAACGAGTTATCGGGAAGATAGAACGTGGCATCAATCGCCAAGATAGCTAAGGAGAGGAGGAGGAACAAAAAATTAATTTTTACCAACGATAACGTAATTCAAACGCGAGCGATCATCGAAACTGACCCCCTTTTTCGATCAAATTCCTCCACCAGCGATATTCAATAGTCCGCGAGGCGATTCACTTTCTCTCTCTCTCTCTCTCTATCTCTCTCTCTCTGTCGAGGCGCGATATAAGCGTGGAATATTGAAATCTTGCGACGTAAATCGTGGAAAATGGTTATTTAAATCCTGGCTATCACCGGGGTCACGGAACTTTATCGTGGAGTGGCTATTTTATCGGAACGTTGTACGTTGCCATTGCCCAGGTTTGCCACGCCATTGTTGTGCGAGACAAAGTCCTGGGTCACGAGGTCGAAGTCGAGCGACAACGTGGACCGATCGTCGGCTGCCTGGATCCGCATGCAAAGACTGAAGTGTTGCAACAACCACGACTACTGCAACGCTGATCGCAACGTGAACGCGTCCACGAGGATCCACGACAAAGACAGGCCCGATCCCGTCAATTCTACTTTAGACTATAATGGTAAATATAATCCCTCCCCGCGCTTTTTATCGTCTACTCTCGTTCCTTATATATTAAAAGTACCATTAAAAATGTCCGGTTATTGGAAAATATATTCGGCTTGGTTCTATTCGCTTCGAGGAAAAACTTTAGCTTTATCCCAAATTCGTACGGGTTGGCGCCGGTCGGAAGTATCCACCCGGACGTTCGAGCTCACAATAACAATTTTGAGCTCTTGAGTTTAACTTTAAACATACGTAACGGTTATCAATGCGATACGCGTGATTTAAAACATTCAAAGACCTATTATTCCCTATATTATGAAAGTAGCCGGAGGAATGGATTTTCTGATCCAATCTTGCGCTGTGTGTAAAGGTTCCTTTAATGGGATGTCGTCGAGCCGAGACGTAATGGGATCGATCGAGCCTGATCCAGGCCCGATCGCCGAAGGACGGGAATCGTCAGATCCGTTTCACGAGAGTCGCGTTAAGCCGCTTCTCGTCGCAGCTCTGGTCTTGGCGATCGCTGCCCTCACATCGGTCCTAGCCGCATGCTACGTTATTACAAGGTCTGCAAATTTGTATTATCTCGATTACCATAATGTTCCCCCCCGTCAACAACGAGTCGCCTGGCGCGGCGAGAGAAGATACAAGGAATTTCACGCAAACCAATTTTTATAGTCTTTGTTTTTGCCGCGAAGCATACATCCGTTGGAGGAGGTAAGGTGCATCAATAAAACGTGTATTTTACGACGGCAACCACATATATATGCGTATAGAATATCTCGAAGGAAGGTTTGCCAGAAATATTCCAGACGTTTTTTTATGTAATAGCTGCGACTGCTTATGAATAAGTAATTTTTAATCGTTCGCCTCGTATGTTTTTTTTTTCTTTTCTCTCTCTCTCTCTCTCTCTCTCTCTCTCTCTCTCTCTCCTCGGGTAATATTTTCCCCCATATTTTTCTCCCATTTTGATTCACAATCGAGAAGAATATCCTTGTATTTTTGCTTACATTCCTTGACACGTTGCCAAGAATTTGTTCACCTCTTTGTTAAGAAAACAACATTCATACGTAAGCTCGTAATTGTAATTGCTTGGCATTGGCCGTTGGCATACGTTCTCTTGCCAGCCCGATTCTCCAGCGAATCGATTCGCGCGTTAAACGCGTTTTCGAATTCGCGAGTTCAAAGTAAAAGTTTCGATTCTGCGACGGAAACAATAGGCGCGCCAGAAAAATCCGAAGGCGAGCTACTGCCTCTATCGATACGACACTCGTTTACTCGTTCGCAAACGGTTTGAAAAGTCTTCCATTGGAAAGCAACGGCACCACGATGAAAAACCTTGTGCTAATATTAACTCGGCGACCCGTTAACAATCACCGTTCACGACGTTGCAAACTCGTGTCTTGATACTCGATGCTACACGGTCAATTGACTGCTCTCGCGCGTCGAAAATCGGCTCGAGATTATCGCCTCGAAAGACAGTTGGGACTTGAATATTATCCTCGCACAAGGAGCTTCTCTCATTGCCGATCCCATAATTATTGCCACGTGTCACTTCTCGACCGAACGATCGAGCCCATAAAACTTCTTGTAAACACAAATTTTCACGATCGACCGAGCCGATCCAATCTCCCATTGTTCGTTTTCCAATAGGAACGATAAAACGTTTCATCCTTTTCCGAAATCGATTCCAAAGTTGACCTCCCGGCCAAACAACGTGGCACCGCTTCCTCTCTCTCGAGCACCACTTTTTTATTATCTGCCCACAAGTTTCCCTCTTCCTTTTCTGAACAGGCCGATTTCAGTGGGTTCGTTCTTGGGCCGGTTTGTCGCTGCGCATTAAAACCCGCCCAACTGCCTTCTTATCAACACTCCTTTTTCTTCGGGACCCATCGAAACAGATAGCGAAGGCCGAAAAGGGGGCGCTCTCTCTCTCTCTCTCTCTCTCTCTCTCTCTCTCTCTCTCTCTGCCCTTTACCTCCCTAATCTTCGAACGGTTAAGTGCGTTTTCGAGTTTGGGAACGCCCTGGCCTTTTCGAATCGCGTACACCTTGGCGGACGTGTCTCTTCCTTTCTTCCTTCTTTATCTCGTCTTCGAGCGTGTATTTCGAGCGTCGCAACGAGGAGGAGGGGGACACCGCGTTCCTTTCCCGATTCCTTCGTGTTTCACACGAACGAAAACCTTAACGGCTGGCCACGTTTCTGTCCGCTTGTAATGACGTTGCCTTGTCACCACGGATAATGCGCCGCCAATGGGATCGGTAGGGACGTCTCTTTATCGCGGAGGGTATGGCGCCTCGAGTGCAGAGAAAATAGAGGTGAATTAGGATAAGGGGGAACCGATAACCGAGGCGGTGTGCATTTTCATGAACGCGCGTTCCCACTTTACCTCACCGCATCTTTATCGCGTATTTTTTTTTTTTTTGGATCGTTCAATTTCGTATTTTTTATCAATCTCACGATGTTTTCTTTTTTTCTTTCTATCTTACATTCGTTTCGTTCATTTACAGATTATTGAAAACGAACCTGTACGCAGTCAGAAACGAGGAATTCATTCACGTTTCTTAGAGACGTTCGATTCGAACGAATCAGGTAAGCCGATTATCGATTATGCATTATCGTATTATCATTGCGCAATGAGAAATTGCAGCTTGCGTATACGTGTACACATCCAAGTTAAATCGGTTCGAACGTTTGCTCATAAACGTTTGCACACGGATACTGGTCTTTAATCGTATGCCCCTGATCGACTAACGAACGCAAAATATAAATAGATGCCACTATGCAGGAGATAAGTGTCGCCGACAAGCCAAACGAGTCTGAGTACGAGAACAGATTTTTGTTTTCGATAATATCGAACAGTGCCTTCGAGCTCTGATCGCTCCATTGTCAGAGAATACGGTAGAGAAAAAATAGTTTTATCGATATTAATATTCCCGTTCAAAAAATTACAATCGATTCCATGCCCAGTTTACCATTTTCGTTTATATATAAATTCTTAATTATTTGTACAACCATTGTCTCTCTTCCTCGAACATTCGAATATTCTTCGTGTTTGTTCAGGATGATGGATCGTGTGGCGCCAAATCGACGCGAGGAAACGAACGTGGGATATCCTGCGGTTTCAAGAGTCATCGAATGCATGACGAAGCTCGACGAGGGACAGTTTTGGGCAAACAACTCGGTGAAACTCCTTTGTTTCGAGCGGTATGACTAACATCGAGCCTCTCGTTCTCGAATTCCGTCCTCCCTGTTCTACGGGGTTTGAAACCAGGTGCTTCGATTAGTAGTAATTAGTCATCCTTAAAACACTCGCCACGCAGAGGAAAACGAGGAACACGTAGCAGGAAGGAAGGGGAAAAGGAAGGAAACGAATAATCTGTGCGAAAATCTGTGCGAAAAGTCGGTCATATTCGGGAATATTTTCGAATCGTTACGCGATGTAACGAATTGCATGCAACATAAGTGTGGTAAAATGTCGATTGTGAAAGTAAATTTAACTGTAGCCAAGAACTGTCGAAACCGATGTGCGGTATCTAACGCGATAAGATAAATTATTATGCGTAAAACAAACTGCATTCCCGTTTTACAGGATTTACTGTTCTGCTGTGATTGTACGTCTCGGCTCTTATGCATAAGAAGCTTATAGAATAAAGCGGATCTTGATTTACATATACCTTCTCTGTCTAATAATTTTAAATAATGGGTTCGATTCACGTGGCAGGAAATACCGATAATGTATAAATCTCAAGGATTAATTAACATATATATATATACAAAGACAAGCAGTTGTTTGTACCGTTAAGTTGTTTCGCGATCGACAATCGCGTTATAGGAAATGAAAAAACTTTTTTTCCGAGTGTCTTCAATCATAGGATGACTGACAGTCTCTGCCATGTTGGAACCATGACAAACAATAGCGTATTCCATTAAGTCTTCCCTGAGAACTAACCGAGCCACCCATAACCAGGTGCTCGTCGGATCCAACTTTGGATCTAACTCGACCGCCTTGACCACCACATTCGCTGCGCCCGACGAAAATCAATCACTCGGTTAAACGTATAGGTAGACGCTCAGGATCTCTCCCCCCCCCCCCCTCCAGGCATCCACGAATGACCAAATATCTTAGATAAATATCTTCAGCTTGTCTAACTGGTTCATCCACGAGCCACTAACAAGATATTTCTCTTTCTTTCTCTCTCCCTCTCCCACTCTTCTCGAGTTCTTCTTTCCTCTTCACGTTTTGTTCTTGCTCTTGTTTCGAACAAGTTCAATCCCCTTTTATTCGCGAAACGATCTCTATAAACGTTCTCGACTTCTCTACATACTACGTAAGCATAATTAATATAATATAATAAGCGATAATAATTCTTTCCTTCGTCGTGCTTGTATCATGGTGTCAACGAACTACACTACGATACTTCCCTCGTATTCGCGTTGTTATCTATCCTCGACTGTAACAGTGAAACGCTTTGAATTCGCACACGAGGAAGAAACGAATAAACTGATTAGAGTTTAGCCCGATAGACTCGTTAGACGAAAATACGAAGAAACGGATTTAAAAATAATATCGGTGAGGCGATCGTGCCAGAAGTATATTTCATTTGCGAAATGTCCGGGTGACAGCGTTCAACATCGAGCGCGTCACTTTGGATCGGATTATTCTCGGCTAACATACCGAAGATTCGGAAGAGGGCAACGATGCATTTCTCGTGTAAGAAATAAGCAAAAATAGGAGCAACGCCGTGGCGCCAACGAGTTAATAGTTAATTGGCTAATGCCCGGCTAAAAATAAACTTCGACTTGTTCGTTGACTCGGTGGTTATATTCAAAGTAGCCAACACCAGCGAGTCTGGTTCCTAAAAAGGAAATCGCGTAAATATTTAGAACTGAATATTTTCCTTCTCTTTTTTTACGATCGATCTAGGAAAGAAGGGAGGATCAAACAAACGCGAGATATATATCGAACGAAACGAGTCGGGAGGGAAATAAAGCAGAAATGAGAGGCCGGCGAAACAAGAAGATTGAAATCGGCGACGAGAGATTGTGAACGTCTGTGAACGAAATACCATCGACTCATTTCGAGGAAACCACTTAGGAAACAACGAATTAGCCGAGCGGATTTAATACTCCGTTCCTCTGTTCCTTCCTCTGTTCTGATCCGCACGCGGTCGCAACCGGTCGTCGATCCAGGTGACGATCCCTGCCTATCGACGATCGATCGCCAAGCCCGGGACGACGAAAGAGATCTCGCGCTTAAGTGAAAAGGTCTGTCGAGGGGCACGCGTATGCATAATGCACGCTGAAAGGGGAGGGAGAGGACGGGGGGGTTGACCGATTATCCGGACAAAGGTTGATTTATTTATCTCGTTTATCATCCCCGTTAAGCGAGCCGATCTTTGCTTAGGTGTCGACACGTACGTACAATTGTACGGAATAGATTGGACGATGTATTTATGGATCTTTGTACACCATTCCATTTGCTATCATTGGCATAGCAAATTTTTCATTTAACCAGACTCGGATAATGGCGATCCTGTTCGAAAAGATTCGCGACAACGACGCGTTTAAAACGATGCGTTACGTATACTGGCGCATTATTATTCCATAAGTAGGGAAGAAGAAATAAGCGGAGACGACGAATAGCGCACGACAAAAGTTAAAAAGGAGGCCGCCTGTCAGGAGGAAGGCTGACGATCCACAGCAGAAGTAAGTTGCTGCTCTTTTCATCGTCCCTCTTCCTTCGTTCAGGAACCGTGTGTTCGCGCGCGCGCGTAAGAGAGAGAGAGAGACAGAGAGGAGGAACATGTGTGCGTATCTTGAGCTCCACAGACACTCACCCACACCAAGGAAACGTGGCGTCTCTGCCTCGGGGCTCAGGCGCCACTGTCTCCCTTCTCCCTGTCCCTCGTTTCCCTCACCAGCCGCCCATTTCCCGGCGTCGATCCGCACTACTCAACCTTTTACCAACACACAACTCTACCGGCCTGGCCGCATACTACGTTCTGGTACAGTGGCTGCCATTAACGTAAGTGGCAGAGGCCATGTGCGCGCTCTTGATCCGATGGCTCGACTCCATCGAATCGCTTCGATCAGGATCTGTGATGATCGGCGCGATGAGTCCCACTGCGAATCGTAATGATATTTGGAAACAATCCCATGCTTATTGAACTTGACTTCGCTTTACGTTACGCATTCGACGCAAACTGAAACTTGTTATCAAGCTTCGTCGAATTCGAGCGAGAAGAGCGAAAATTCTATTTCTATCTAGAACGAGAAAACGAGCGGATTGGAACAAATTTCCAGACTATCTGGACTAGAGTCGAAGAACGATTTCGAAGTTGTGGCATAAAATTAAGCAGAATGGTGGTATATAGCTAGATCACAGATTAAACGACAGCCGTTGAACGTGCGTATTGTACGCGTTCACGGTGCGTGGTTCACCGACAAGGGGCACACTATCGCAGCCGGAGGCGGGACTCGTTTAAAAACTATCTGGCGAGTGTTCTTCGCCGGGTGCCCCTGGTGCGCGCCAGCCGCGGCGGAGTCGTCCGGCTGCACGCCGTTTGCTTTTCGAGACCGAAGTGAGTCAGTCAGTCAAGCGTCGACCATCGTCGGGATTGGACGCTCGTGAAAAACCACTTCCACGAGTCTCCGTATCTCGCGTATCTGCCGGTTTTTCTTTTTTTTTCTTTTTTTTGCTTCGATCGTTATGAATTTTCGTGTGACGGGATCGCGACGGAGACGAATCGATCGTGAATAAAAATAATTTCTGAATTCGAGTTCAGAACGACGATCGTATATTCGATGGGGTTTCGATCGTTTCACCGCGATCGAAAACAGTGTCGAGAGTGAACGCGAAGGAAATCGGCGATTCGCAAGTGCGCGTTACGTGATTACGAGATTAAAATAAAAAAAAATGTTGTCGCGGGACTTGTTGACTTTCGCGACTATGGTGTCAAGTCTAACTGTGGTCGTTGGTGCTTCCGTGGATCTCGATTCAGGGGACTACGAGGTGCTCCCCGATAACGAGGGAAAATCCGATGACAACGGTAACGTTACATTTTGAGTGCATGATTTCATGGGAAAGTCTGGGGAAACGGTCCGCGGCACGAGGACGGCTCGAAACGACCCGCGTGAACGGGTGTACACGTGGGTGGCGCCAGACACGAACGACCAAATCAATGAAAATAATGGAATTGTCCGTTCCGTTGCCGGTCGAGTTTCAATCGTTAGTATCGGTACATCGATCCAGAGATTGAGAATTTTTACACAATTTTTTATCGATTGCGTTGTTCCATTGCATGTTGTTACATTACGTCTTAAGGCTAAGGTTTATTATTACACGTGGCCAGCGCAGCTCGAACGTATCACCCGAATGGAATATCATTTATTCTCGATACATGTCTTTTCTTCCGGAGGCATTTTAGCCCTGATTAAACGCGAGCGATTCGTATCGATACGAATGGCATAATAAATAAACTTGCGGCATGTAGCTAAGCTTTAAAAACGAGCTTCATATCCGATCAATGCAAATCAATTAAGACGGGGAATGCAATTATTCTCTTCTTCTTTTTCTTTTTTCCCCCTCTCTTCTTTTCTTCTTTTTACAAAATTAAAATGCAGAGAACGGCGCGGTGTAGCACGTGTGACGAATCATTTTTCTCGTCCTCGAAACTTTTCGACTGGCTGCCACTCGACTTTGACGCCAGAGTAATAAAAGTCGGGAAACGCCGCTCTCTAAATTAAGACCACTGAAGTCACTGAAGTACATTAATTGGCTCGGCCTTTTCTGCATGCTCCATGACACTCGGGATTCGTAGAATGGCCCTCGAAAATTCTGAACGCTTTGTCAAACTGCCTCGAATTACAAGGTCTGAGTACGGCGGACATCGTTCGAGTACGCGTTCGAAATTTATAATTTGTAAGGCTAATGAAAGGCTCGATAAAGGCTCGGGGTTGGTTTTATCGTTCACGTGGAACGTAACCAAGGGGAAATGGCAGGGGCATAGGATGCGTTGAATGGTTGGAATCGTTTAAGCAAGTGTCCCGACGATAAAAGGGAGGGGGGAGGGGAGGGAAAAAAAGTGAAGATAAGAGGGAAGCAGATGCAGCCGTGGTGCGGCTACGTCATACGGCAGCTCAACCACGATAATTGCAAAATTGTACGTTGAAACGAAAAAAAAAAAAAAAAAAATAAAAAAAAAGTAAAAAATAAAAAAAAGATTTACACCAGCATGCCATTTTAAAACTCGTTTTTTGTGGCGGGCAAGCAACGCGGGGCAATTAAGGACGCGTGCAATTTCAACGTTTTATCACGATGCACGTGAGTATTCGAGCGATAATAAGAGTAAAAAGAAAAATACCGGAGCTTCCTCCTTCCCTCCTCTCTGCGACACAAACTGGGCAATCTTGTTTTCTCGACGAACAGGTAAAGCAAAAGTTACGGAGAAGAAGGGTTAGAGTGGAATGCAGGAAGTGGATAAAGAGAACGATCGCGACGAAAATTGAGTCGGCTTGAGTTGGCGACAAATCGGGGGGGAAGAGGACAAAGAGGGGTGGAAGGAAGGGATGGAAGCGCGCGATCGAAAAAGGGAACGCGACGAGCGATCGTTGGCC